CTGGTGGAATTTCGATCGATTTCGGTTCTAAGGGTGTTTTGGTCCTAATCAAAATTCTACCACATAAGTTCTTTTTATTTAGGCTAGCAATTTGATTTTCAATCGAAAACATGCATGAGAATCGAAAATCACAACATATCGAAAAAGCTATTTTTGGTATTTTGTATTTAAAGTACTGAAAGCAGTAAAACTATCGAATCGAAAAACAGAATGTTAAATTGCGAGGAAATGTAAATTACGAGAACCCCAAGTTTGCAATAATTGTAAATGACAAGGAATCGGAAATGACGGAAATGTAAATGGCAGGAAGTTAAGTTTGCATGAAAAACTAAATGACAGGAAATCGAAACGTGCAGAAAATATAAATAACTGGAAACTTAAACGCAGAAACTTAAATTTTCATTGAATTGAAATGACAAGGAATCGAAAGTACAGAAACATAAAACTGCTGAATTTAAATTGCATCAAAGTAAATTACCAAGGAAAATATAGAAAACGGTAAATGAACTCGGTGAGCATGGAAATCCAGATTGCCAGAAGCTTCATGGTGTTCGTCGTTCTCCGGTAGACTTTCTCACTACTGATTCTGTTTTCTGCCAATTTATGCTCCCTTTTCTTCCTTCTTTGCTCTATTTATAGGGCCTCCTTTAAGCCTTCCAGGAACAGTTAATAAGACTGTTACCACGTTCTTTCGTGCATGATGGTTTCTTTTTCTACGGTTTCCCACGTTCTCACGATCCTCGACTCCTTCCATGGTCCCAGAACTGCTTTCTATACGTGCGTTTGACTTATTCTTCTCTGTGGTTTGTCCAGAGTTTCGATGTGCATGTTCCCTTCACATTCGATGATATCGAACACTTTGCATTGCTTTGGGTTTAACCTTAACATCATATGATTCTAGTTTCTTAGTTTTTTATTCGACAACAAGCATTTGGTTATCATTCACCCAATTTTCGATTGTGTCTCTCGATGTTATGTACTACGTACTTCTAATTGGACATCGAATGATTTCTTTTGTCTATCTTACCGATTTATCAATCGATCATATTTCTCGATTCCACAATAACAGTTAGACAAAAAAGCAGAAACCATGTGAGGGAGCATTGGATTCCAATCTTAGACAAAATCTTGGATTCCAATCTTGGATTCCCTGCATTGGGTTAGACAAAAAAGCAGAAACCATGTGAGGGAGCATTGGATTCCAATCTTAGACAAAATCTTGGATTCCAATCTTAGATTCCCTGCATTGGGTTAGACAAAAAAGCAGAAACCATGTGAGGGAGCATTGGATTGAAACCAATGGACTTCATTATAAATAGACTACTTTCATTCTTTGAAGTTCTCACATTGCACACTCCTAAATCTCTGAAGCTATTTGCATTATTTCTTCTTCTTACCTTTAGTCTTCTTTGTGTTCCACACTCCTCAAATGGGTGTAGTGTCTACTATTGTCCACTATGATGGTTTCATGAACCCATGTCCCATGGAGGGAGTTACCTTCAATACTGGGACTGCAAAACTTGTTCCTTTAAAGAGAGGAATTTCTCTACAAAGGCTGAAGAAGTTGATCCACAAGAAATTGGAGAAAGAACCCCATGAAAATGTAGCAACCATCCATTTTCGCTGTCCAACTAGACTTGGAGTTGGGATCAACAACTTCATTGTTGTTGAGTTGAAAGATGATGACGACGTGGAGGCCATGTTCGATGTGCATGATTCAAACTCAAGTCTATGTGGTATTGAAATTTTTGTTTCATTTAAAACTTCTTCTTCTTCATACCCCAACACACACTCACCAGAAATTTCACCCTTACCCTACCAAGCTTTGCCAAACACTCACCCAGAAATCAAGTCGTATAAGAACTGAGATGAACATTACAGAACATCAAAGTAGGATTAAAAAATGTTCATATTGTCATACCCCTGGTCATAGCAGAAGAACATGTCCCAATATTGCATGTGCATCTACTTCGCATCATTAGATTGTGTTAGTTAAGAAATGTCTCAATGTATGAAACTTAGGAGTTTTTCAATTAATTGAAAATGATGAAGATCTTATTGAATCATTTGATAAAACGAAGATCTTATTCAATGTATGTTTAAAAAGTTCAAGCAAACTGATTTTAAAGAGTATTTTCATAACTGCTGCATTAATTAATCTGTTGAAAGTTTGTTTTAATCTGTTGAAAGTTTGTTTTAATCTGTTGAAATAGCCGTTTCAATATGTTAAAAGTCCTTTCAATCCATTAATACGTTCTTCATTCTTTAACAGATTTGTTTTAGCTGATACTACAACGGTTATATCAATTAAAACACTTTACAAAACTTTTCTAAGTTTGATTCAATCGATTGTTTCGTGTTTTAATCGATTGATATACTGCAAAACTTTCTTATAAAAACTTTCCAAGTTATTTTAGCTGATAAAAAGAAGTTTTAATCGATTAAAACTTTGTACAAACTTTTTCGAAGTTGTTTTAATCGATTAAAACGCGTTTTAATCGATTGAAACTCTGTACAAAATTTTTCCAAGTTATTTTAATCGATTGAAATACGTTATAATCGATTGAAACAGATTTCAATCACTTTGTCGCTCGAGCGAAAGTACGCGTCGCTCGAGCGAAACAGAACCCGAGAGTCCCCCTTGTTTGAAGGCTTCTTCATCCCCCATTTTTCCAGGTGTCCTCGCTCAAGCGATGTGATTTTCGCTTGAGTCACCTTAGATAGCGGTTTATAACAACCGCTTTTAAAAATATATATTAGATAGCGGTTAGGCTTTAACCGCTTTCTAATGTTGTGGTTTAGATAGCGGTTGACCAAATAACCGCTATCTAAAGTCATATACTGAAAGTGATACTAGCAAAGATCTCATTGATTTGATGAAGTCAAAGATAAAGTCAAAAGTCAACTCTGCAGCAGTCAACAAGTCACCCAGATAATTGAGCTGAAGATTTAGTGTGTCTTAACGGAAAGTTTAGGTAAAACCATTTTACCTTTTACGCTGCATAAAGTTTCTTCATCATTTTGCAAAATGCCTCAAAAATAGTTTTAAACAAATAAAAAACAAAAGCATTTTGACAAAGAACTTTCTTAATAATGTTTTTAAGCTGATATAGTTTTAAAAGAAATGATTAAAATCACTTAGAATGTTTAAAGAAGTGTTTTTACAGTATTTTAATCGATACAAACTTCTTTTAATCGATTAAAACCACTTTGGAAGTCAGGATGATCGATCAGAATGAAATTATGACCGATCGAAGTTGGTTATGATCGATCAGAATTGAATTATGACCGATCAGACCTATTTCAATCGATTAAAACGAATTTCAATCGATTAAAATGACTTGAAAATTTTTGTACAGAGTTTCAATCGATTAAAACGCATTTCAATCGATTAAAATAACTTGGAAAATCTTTGTACTGAGTTTCAATCGATTAAAGCAGCGTTTCAACCGATTAAAACAACTTAGAAAAATTACATGCAGGTTTTTAATCGATTAAAACTTCTTTGTATCAGTTAAAATAACTTGAAAAGTTTTATAAGAAAGTTTTAAAGCAAATTAATCGATTAAAACGCGAATCAATCGATTGAATCACTCGAGAAAATGTTTGTAAAATGTTTTAAGCTGATATAAACATGGTTGTATCAACTAAAAACATTCGTTAAAGAAACAAGAACGCATTAATGGGTTGAAAGGACTTTTAACAGATTATAACGGCTATTTCAACAGATTAAAACAAACTTTCAACAGATTAATTAATGCAGCGATTTGAAAATTCTCTTTAAAAACAGTTTTGCTTGTCCAATGGTAATCTTGTCCAATGGTAATCTTGAAAATGTCAATCGGGGATTGCTAAGAAGCGGAGGAGAGCTCCAGTGGCTTTTTCTCAATCTAATAAAAGTGTCATCAAATTTGACGCCCCAAAATACGAGAGCAACCTCCAAATTAAGAAATGGGTCCAGAGCCTTCAAGATCAAGGGCGAAAGAAAGCTCGGATATTGAGGAAGGTCGATTGTAACGAGAAAAATGGGAGTCATCCACGGAGGAGGCTTCGTATCCGGGAGAGATGCTTCGAAGGTCCAACAGTGGTCGACGAGTGTGAAGAAGAGAATGTCACAAAATGAAGGTAGTTCGACCAATGCATTGGTGGATATAACGAGAATCCCCCATTTTTCCAGGTGTCCTCGCTCAAGCGATGTGATTTTCGCTTGAGTCACCTTAGATAGCGGTTGATAACAACCGCTTTTAAAAATATATATTAGATAGCGGTTAGGCTTTAACCGCTTTCTAATGTAGTAGTTTAGATAGCGGTTGGCCAAATAACCGTTATCTAAAGTCATATATGTCAAAGTGATCGACTATAATTGGATAATAATCGATCATACTTTTCGCTCAAGCGAGGGTTTCTTCGCTTGAGCGAGAATTTACCCCAGATTATCCCTTCGTTACAGATTTCCTCGCTCAAGCGAAGGTTTTCTTCGCTTGAGCGAGAGTTCAGTACGCGAAATAATATTATTTTAATACGTGAACAGTAAACAGTTGCGCAAAATAATATTATTTTATTACGTGAACAGTAAACAGTGCTAGTTGTGTAAATAAAGTTGCAGAGGTGCTATTTTGGTAAATATTTTTGAAAACAGTATTATTTATGAAAAAAAGTCGCATTTAACATGTTTTTTTTGCTAAAACACATTTAATATTGGTAAAATGTATCAAATTTAAAAATCTGATAATATATATGTATGAGAGAAAACATTTTGAATGGTAAAATGAAGAGTTTTATAATACTTGAGAGGTTGTTTTGATAGTAATGAAAATGTTGTTAAGACAAAACTATTTTTACATATAATTCTTAAATTTTTATTGTTTTAATTTATCATGTTATGTTAATACAAATTTACGATTTAGTACTAATGAGTGAGTGTTTCTGAGTTGGGTCGGGGTGGCACAACACAATCAACCAGCGCAGGAGTAGAAGCATAGTAAAAAGTAAACAGAGAAATGTGGAAGCGAGCGTCGGTGGCCGCCATCGGTGCTCTCCGGCGGCCATTTTCGTCGAGAGGTAGCGGCATCTCCCCCGCCGTGAACTCGCTGCTTCTCCGCTCCCTCAAGGATCACTATCTAGAAGTCTCCAAAATGAATATGCCCCCTGTACGCACTCTTTCTCTTTCTGTGCCTTTTAGGGTTTTACTTTAGGTTTATTAGACATTGTCTCACGTGACAGTGGCACGTGCCTCGCAGAAAGTGAGTCCGCCGTCGCCGTTCACGATCGTGAAGGGGGCTCTGGACTCGCACGGTCCGGTTCTGAAGCGCAGCTATGGCGAGGAAGAGGTGAGTGTGTACGTCATGCGGTTGTCGGCCCCCGAGGACGACGATTCTGCCATTGACCAGCTCTTCATCCATGTCGACGTCTCCAAACCTTCGCAGAAGGAATCGTTGATTTTCCTCTGCGGTTTGTACGAGGATGCTCTGGGGATTCACTCTGTTTCCATGAGGCCTAAGCTCCAAGATTCCGGCTACCTCCTCATCCCCTCCCAATACACTGGCCCTGTTTTCGCGTCAGTATTCCTCCTCTCTTCGTTTTATTTCTTCTTCTTTCCTCTGAATTTTGTTTAGGGTTTAGGGTTTATGTTTGTGTTTGTGTAGGTTTAGAGATTGGGAGTTAATGTCATTGCAACCTCTAGACTTTGTAAACATAATATAAAAACACTATTTGAGATTCCACAATTGCTAGTGATACACTGATATGATTCGATTTAAGTGGAGAGTTAGCTCTTGAAAATTGAGTCACGTCAAAAATTCAAATGTGAAAATTGCATTAGACTCCTAATGATTGATGTTGGACTTATAAGGTCAATTTGTTATATCAAATCACTGTAATGATCCTATTTTTTTTGTCTAGTATTCTGGGTGAGGGATGTTTTCGAGATCTTGCATTGATCTGTGACATGATTAAATAGTACATATAATTGAGGGTTCCTCCTATTAATGAACTTTTGGAGTTGAGTAAATACGAACCTAAAATCTAAGACCTTGTTCTATTAGCCATAGGATGTAGAGATACTAGGAAGAAACTTTTAATTATTATTTGAAGGTGTTGGGAATTTAGTATTAGAAGAATAGCCCTTCAATCAAACAGCACTCTTCCTCTATTTCTGGAAGCCTAACACGTAACAGACCTGTGCCGTATTGGCTCTTGTTTTTTATAGTAACTATTTTGATAATATTTCTACCATGCGAGTTCCTTCATTACATTTTGGAGCTCAATGTGAGTTTTTAATTAAGGTAAATATTATGTGATTCATTTGGATGCTTTTTCCCACTGAGAAAAAGATAGGCTGAGAGCTAAGGAGAAGAAACTGCGGAATTGTGTTTTGCATTTTGGGGGAACAAAAAGTGCATTCGTTGTTGGAACATATTAGCACTCTTGTGTTGTCCTAGAGTACCCGTTTTGTGTTTTATCATGTACCTTCTAATTTTCTCTTGGCAATCATCTTGTTTTCAAGTGGAGAAACTGGAAATGCTATGGTCTTTTTTTGAATTTTGACTGACTATCTGTAAATTGACAGAGAACTAGATGATAAGATGAGAGATGCGTTTCACAGTTACATTGAGGAGCGAGGAGTGAACGAGTCTCTGTTCAAATTTCTTCAAGCGTGGTTATATGTGAAGGAACATCGAAATCTGATGCGGTGGTTCAAAACGATGGGATTGTTCATTGATGGAAAGAAACCAGCTACAGGTGCTTAATCCTCTGAGGCCATCTATTTTGCAAATGGAGTTATATATAGTGATCACAATTAATGAATTCAAACTTCAAACTTTTCCAATTTTAAAGTACTTAAGCTTCATATTTGAGCATTAGGATACTTGTTTTGGAGGATCATCGCACGCACACAGGTACATGACTTTACCGCGACTGGTAAATTTTACCAATTTAACTGTTGATAATGACAAATATTTTACAAAATTTAAGATGACTTTTTTTTAGTATCAAAATGGACTAGTTGATATTACATTAAAAATTTAAAACATTTTTCTTTTACTCTTTTTTTTCCTGTAAATTCTTATTTTATTTTTCATCCTTATAATTAATTTTCTATTATTTTAAATTTTAACGGGACATAATTTACGTAATACATAACCTAATTTTTTCGTTGTCGTGAAACGTAGTGACGTCAGCTATGTAATATGCTTTTTAACTAAATTAGATAATTGAGTTTAAAATGAAAAGTTAAATGATACTGGAAAAATAAATGAACACTAAATTATAGGGATGAAGAGCTTAATAAACTTAAAATTTAGTAACATTTATAGACACAGAGTGACTGAATAAAAAAAATGAGAATATATAGTCAATTAGGTTTTTGAAATTGTATATTATTATCATATTAGTTCTTAAAACTACCCAAACCAAATAAATCTTTAATTTTTTAGAAGTCATAACTTCTGAATTATTTTTGTTAGTTCCTAATTTGGAGATCAAAATATAAAGCGGTTACTTTTCTACTTTTAATTAAATAAAAATGAGTATTGTGACATATTTTGGGATGTTATTTAGCAAAATATTTTTCGTATGATTGTTAAAATAAAAATGTAAAACTTCATACTTAAAAAAAAAAAAAACTAATTCAAGACGCTATATTATTCTAGAAAGTTAAAGATTTATTTTCTCTATATAATACCTAAAACTAAATGTTTTCAATTAAAGTTTGGAAAAAAAAGTTCTTTCTGAATAAAAATAAATCGTTGAGCAGGTATACTTTATTTAGATATATAATTTAATTTACATTTATGCAAAGTTGGAATGGATACTTGCATTTCGAATAAATATTTTAACATTAAATCTTAAGAGCATTTTGCATTAGTATTTTGATTATTTAAAAGACTAAAAACACCATATTGTAATTGTGCTAAAATGATAGCAACAATGAATCATCATATTATTAAAATAACAAGTATTACAAAAACAAATCACTGCCCTTGGCTTTTTTTTTTTTTTTTTTACCAAAAACAAAAGGGAAAAAACCTCCTAAAAATTGAGGTTTTTAACTATGAAATGAAAGGAAAAACAAAGCAATGCTTTTTACAACTGAAAACTGTACCGTCAATTAAACCAATGAACCTGAATTGGCCGTTGAAACTCTCTTGGGTTGCTACTTTGTGCTGCTGGTATTCGAAAATTTGGTTCAACTTCCATTGTTGACAACACATTGAAGTTTGTTTCTGCATTTTTTGGGTGTGGAAGTTGAAGCTTGTGACAGGTAATCTGAGTTTGAACTTGGGCAAGTTCAATTTCTGTATTGCGGATTTGCTCATATAACTTAGAGATTATCCCAACACACCCATAAACTGGGTCTTCAATCCTACATTGTGCTTCAAAATATAAAGAATTTGCAGTTTGTTCTCGCAAGTGTGGTGGAATTTGCTGCAACATAGATTTACAAAGGTTATTTTGCTGCAATATCAAATATTATTACTAATATTGCTATGATAGGTGAATCAGTAGTAAGTGAAATTTATACCTGAAGCATTTTGCCAACGTTGCTGCCACCATAGATTTTATGAACAGAGGAAAATCTTTGAGGATCTTTGGCAGGGAAATATGGAGAGAAAATGCAATCTGAAGGGCATCTTCTTCTCTGATTCCTGCAAGCTGCACACCTACCAGATATCATGCTATCAAATCTTGTTAAAAGAAAATGAATCAAACAATAATATTCGCTATCCAACGAAGATTTCTTCTAATTCTGTACCAGAGGATGGATATGATCAATCTTACGTAAGATTTGATATATCATTTGCACAACTCTTTTTCGTTGTATATTAAGGACAAGATCTTAACGGCTACGTATACTACAAAAGGAAACTTTTTTAAATTTAATGTTTTAAAAAAGAAATTGTTGTAAATCAAGACAATCATATTAATCACATTAAAATTAAAAAGAAAACCTACGATCTGACAAAAAAGATTATACAAGTCAACTAAATAAAGAATTCTAATTTCATTTTAGTACAAATCCATAATAAAATTTTGTATTTTTTTCAGATATGTATTAATATCTAAGAATAGATACAAGAGAATAATACATTTACATAAAAGTCAAAAGAAATTTGATACGAATCCAAAATTACAAATATTAATTACTAATTTTATCTTTCATTAAGACCCTTAATGATTTATCGTATAATTTCATATATATGGTAACTATATTTTTAACAAAATATATTAGTTATATAATCCAAGACTCAATTCGATTAAATTTTAATTTATAATATGGTCTTCTAATACATTTATTTAGTATATATATATATATATATATATATATATATATATACCTAGTTATGTTTTATTTGCGATTAGATTTCTTCTTTTCTGTATGAGAAGTTGACAATCTATCTTATATGAGATATGATATTTTATTTGTAATAAGATTTTCTTTTGTGTATATAAGAATATGAACACCTATCTAATAAGATTTAATGACTAATTTTTCAATATTACAAAAAATAAACATAAAAAAATATAAAAAGAGAAATCATCATGAATTAAAGAAAATCAGGCAATTTGTAATATATATAATTAAGTAAGTAAACAAATACTTCTAATATTTTCTAATTTTCTTTATTATAGAGGATATATATCAAATAAAGAAGTTTTTTCATATTTATCCGTAAGTCATAAAATAAGAATAGAAGTAATTGAATGCATTAGGTATTATATATATCAATTGTAAACATTATATTGGAATTAAGTTATTCGTGCTGGAAATTTTTATTTTCTGTCTTTGTACAGAAAAAAAAATTTTACTTTCCTTTATTTCTGATAAAAATAATATTAAAAAAAAATAAAGAGCAATGTCAACTGTGTTTGTGTGATGTTATCACTATCACTATAGTGAGACTACAAGAAAATAATTTTACATGAATTAAAAAGGAGAATTTTAAAGAATAAACATAAAAAATAAAAAAATACATAAATAAAAGAAGCCAGTAAATAAAAAGAAAATGATTTATTTTTATGTTTTACAATTCCTTGATAAATATATTATTTACAGTGGATATTATAAAAGTAATATGTTTAAGTAATTTTTTAGGTAAAAAAATAAATTCCTTGGTATATATTATTTATAGTGCATATATTATAAAAGTAATATATTTAATTCAATTTTACAAAATTAATTTAATAAAATAAAATTTATACCTAAAATAAATATATTTTTCTTTTTATTTCCTTTACAAGTAGGTTTCACTTGTTAATATTGACTTTTTTTCTTACAACTGATTATATTAATAAAATATTAACAATATTATTATATTAATGTATTTGGTTGTATACGGAATGTGTTTGGGGTTTAAATTAATCATCCCTCTTCTCTTTTAGCAGAGTTTGTGAACGTAGGAGAGATAGTTCCCTATTCCTATAATCTAGGGTTTAAAAAAGGAATTTTGAAATGGAAGATGTGAACAGATAGAAAAATAAGCAACGAATCAACACGTTTTGGTACAAAACAAACCATTGACTAATATGAAAATTTGTGAGGGAAGGCAACGCGTACCAGACCCTAAAATTCATAAAGAAATAAGGAACACATATTTTGTTAGGTAGTGAGCCAACCAACCTTGACCATACATTATTGCAGAACCAGTGGCTGCAATTATAACCCTATATAACAAGGTGCTTTCACATTCCTTTGATTACACTAACATTGCACATCGCATTATATTCAAAATCTGGTGGTTTCACATTGAATTGAGGATGTTGTTCTAGCATTGCATATCGCCTTTTTCATCATTCTCAATGGCTAGGCCTCTCTCGAACCTCTTTCGGTGCTTCTCCGATTCCCCACCAGATTCTAAGAGATACACATGCGATGGCAATGTTTGTGTTCTGAAAAACCCAAAGGATAACCTCGGAGAACGACAAAAACAGGCCAACAGCGACAAGAAAAGGCACAGCCTTCGCCATAAATTTCCTAGGACACGGGCCTTCATGCCATGAACTCACAACAGGTTGCGTTGGTTGTGATTAGGTCGCTTTTTTCTGTTTACAATGTATTTTTTGTTGCCCTTAGAGTTATTCTTGACGGGCACAAATACAACGGTGGTAGTAGATAGCTTATCTTAGGTTCTTGAAGAGATTCAACTTTTAAGTTGAGTCTCCGGTAAGATATATTATGATATCAGTACATTCTGCAAACACTGCATATTCTTTTATGTTCAGATATTGATTGATACAATTTATGTATCAAATATATATGCTACGTTGTTGTTGTTGTCATCCATCTGAATGGATGTTCACAGCCTAATATTAAGATTTTCATCTTCGGTTTTTTATTTGATATCAAATTTAAACTCACCACATTTACAAATTAAAATCATAAAAGTAATCATCTTGAAAAGATAAAGACTTTTATTAATCAACTGGTAAAAAACAAAAACTACACCCAATTTTCCATTAGATCCTTAAAATATATATATATATATATATATATATATATATATATATATATATATATATATATTTACTTCCTAAATCCAACTAATAACCTTTACATTATGTTTCTTGTGTAAACCAAATCTCTGTTTAGAGAGAGAGAGAGATTTTCTGGCATAACGTTCAATATGGTGTGTGCATATATAGGACATGATGTAAGAGAACCATCAATCATCTCTTTTATTCTAGATTCAATTTTGATGGGATTTTGTCTGCTGCATATGACGTGACATGATGTGAGTGAATCAACCATCATCAACCCCAACATGCATGCATACCATTTCTCCTATTCAATAAGTTGGGCATGTTTCTTTAATTTTGGTTAGAAATATTTTCAGCAATAAGACATGTGATGGAGACATTACTTATATTTTACGACTTTTCATAATATTTCTGTTTAACTTGTAAAAGATATAAACTAAAAATATTCATGGCATAAACTAAAAGATTGAATCTATAAGATAATTCATGCAAAGATAACTTACTTGGTTAAATAATTACACTTGAAGTTTTATGAATTATTATAATTGATTTTTAAGTTGATCAAATTAACAATTATTTTTTTTATTTTTTAAATGTGATAAATAATTATGTACGTTGTATATTCACGTGAACGCGTGACACTACATTGTTTTATATTTATATTCAAACAATAAAAATTATAAAATGTATTTATATATATTTATAAAGATCTATTTTTTATTTCAATGTTAATTTTGATTTAAATAAAGAAAATAAAACTTAAGTTAACATTGAATTACACTGTCTCTCAATAGCTTATAAAACAGTTTTTGTGTACCTCTTAATATATTGATAAAAAACACTAACCATTGATTTCTTAACAAATATCAATCCCTTGAACATTTAATAAAATAATTTGTTCATAGATTAATAATGCATAATAACTAATGAGGAATTAATTTCAGATTAAGATATAAAAAGTACTTTTAATTAGATTTTAAAAACAAATAACGATTATTAAGCATAGGAATTGAATTACCAACCTACATTAGATATGAAGAGAATATATATATTAAAATAACTATTGAGTTAAAGATTAATCTGACTTCAAATATAAACTATAAAAGAAGTTTTTGATACGTAACTCTTTTTTATCCACAAATAAATATATTTTTTAATGCAGATTCAAGCTATTTCTTTAGTACTATTTAATTACCAATCACAAGAATCAAGTAGTTGGTGATAAAGAAAAGAAAAGGTATAAGTTGCTTTATAATAAATGTCACATGACATATTAATTTTCCTTCAGGAGTCATATCCTCCCTCGTGAATTCTTGTTCTTTATTGTTTAACAAAGAGGTTATGTTTTTTAGATATTTCTATAAAGTAGCAAATTATCTTGAACATTTTTGCATATTTTTTTAATTTAAGTAAATTTTATATCATGATTTAAAACATATTAATTATAAATTTTTTTAATAGCTTATATTCGATAAAGATTCAAATTTTTTAAAATATTCAAAAAAATAGTTAAACGAAATGAAATTGAAAATTTAGAAATGAATAATGGTGTTGTCATCTTTTTAAGAAAGAGCGCACTTATTTGACACATTTAGTGTTTTTTTGACTCACAAAAATTAGATATGAAATTTATGCTGGATCTAAAAGAAAAAAATTAAGCATAACTTCTTGCGTTTTATTTTATTATTTCTGATTTGGATTTTTCATCTTTTAAATTTTTTTAATTTGTTGCTCTTTTAAAATAATTATCATTTTTAAGATAAAATTTTAATGTATTTTTTAACCTATTCATCCTATTAGATGAAGAAGAAAACTATCATATATGAAAATCGAAAATAATTTTGAATTTTTTTTAAAACACTTAAGATTACAAAGGCATGTATTTAAAAGAGATAAGTGTATATTATATCTTAATTAATTTAATTAGCTAGAGTAACTTCTTAAATTTAATCATTAACCATATTTTTCTATAGTTTTATTTAAATCCCCTTCCCATAAATAAAGACATTTAACAAAGCTGAATATATAGCTTAAAGTAAGAAAAAATTTGTCTATTCAAAGTTTTTCCCAGTTCACGTGTCCTTTAATTAGGCTCAAATTATTAGGTAATTTATTTTGAATTCAAAACTTTAATTTAATTAATGTAAAAAATAACTAAAGTTTCATTGTTGATTATCAGGTTATTTATTTTGAAGGACCCAAAATGAGTGGTGAATTTGTTTTTTTTTTTTTTAACTATTTATGATACATAATAATACAATTATAATAAAATAAACACGTAGCCTAAGGATTTTGTTACACGATAATTAGCTAGAGAAGCAGAACTTTTCTATCTGAATTTCTGAAAGTGGAGTTAAGAAAAATGAAATTAAAATGATGTGGAAATTTAAAGATTAGCGTGAAATGAAATACATCTTTTTGTTATCATGTACTTTTTAAAGTAGGTACTTCTACGGTAAAAAGAACTAAGAATTTTCTTTTCTTCTGTTTCCTTTTTCTTAAATTACTTTATTTCTTTTGTAAATATATCAAAACATCTTAAAACAAATAAATCCAAAGACAATATTTGACACCAATGTTAGTTATTAATTCAAAATTTCATGTTTATCAATTTAAACTTTCCCGGCTGTGTTTGTCATACTCTAATATCCTTCGCAAGCTGATTTTCTGAGTACTCAGAGTCCATACATATTATAGTTGTTTTGTGATGGTGATGAATGTTAAATAAAAGTCTATACTTTCGAAAAGGAAAACACAAACAAACCTGAGCGAGGTCCACATCAAGTTGTTATGATATGAGCCCCGAAGCCATGCAAATTTGGAAGTGGGAACCACCAAACTTTTGAATTTTGGTTTCATTATTTGGTGTAACTTGAGTTGGTTCAGCGTCCCCATATGGCAAACTAAATTTGTTGTACCCCAATTATGGCCATCACCTACCATCATCGCTCAATATAACGCCATTTTCGCAAAGCTATTATTCAAGTGCTTCCAAACGACGAAAGTTCCACTTTAGGGGTCAGACAAGGATAGGAATAAATAATGTACAGGTCATTCATAGCTTCTGATCTAATCGATCACCAATTTTCGTTCAAAAACTTGGTTTACCACCAATCTCTCTTTTCACCCATGATTTTAAGAATGGTTCGCGTTATTTAGGTATGACATAAATCAATTTGTATAACATCATCGATCATCACTCATTATGAAATAACATGTACTTCGATAAATTCTATGTGCCCTTATCATTAAATAGTGATATAAAATGTTTTAAAAGATTAATATTACAATAATTAAAACTAACAATTTCAGAAAATCAAAACTGAATAAATTCGTATTTATGAGAACTAAGAAACATGATTTAGCCATTTATATTTTTAGCAGGTTTCAAAAAAATGGATCAATCTAGAACAACTTTTTTAATCACAAACAAGCCAATTCAATAACCATATTTCCATGTTAGTGCTTGGTTTGATACTTCGTAAAGCAAACCACTCCAGCTTCTTCCTTCATGCTGCTTCTCAACCTACAAATAAATTTACACGAGACACTAGTTCCAACCGGGTGGGTGCATGGTATTGCTTAAAAGTTGAAGCTGCAGAATGTTGAGGTTTTGCTTGAGACATGTACATAATAATAGCAGCATTAAGAACTAAGAAGTGATGCCTTCCCATCAATTCAGATAAACAAGTAATCATCATCTAATCAAATCAATATCTAGGCAACCGAATTTCAACCATATGTAAAGAATGTACAACGATCATCAACAGGATTTCTCGCCTGCTAATCGAAAAATTAAGCATCTGTTGATCTTGAACGACTCCTAATTGTTTTATATGGTTTCAACTCCAGGATAGAACATAGATATGATGCATTCACTCGGTAATCCTCATCTGGAAAAGATGAAAAGTCGTGGATTTGTCTTCTGCCAAATCCACCCAAATTTCTGAAACAAAGCAAACTCATTGGATTTACCTTGTGCCAAATCCTACTTAAGAAAACCATAAGATCCCCGACATAAGCATCCAAGGGAAACGATCTTCCCAAGCATATGGTATTCATTTCATCTCTTCCTAAAGTAGTAAAATGGTCGGTAGCCTTTTCCTCATTTAGCAAGGCTTTTTGGATCAAAATTGACGTCCAATGACAGGAGCCGCAATTCCATAATTAGTCAAATTCTTGTGGATACATCCACAACAGAAATACTATTACTGTCACAGTTGCAAAGCAAGGTCTGGCTGCTGAGAGTCAACCAGCACTCCAGATGATTGTTTTGCAGGAGACCCAGGAGATTGGAAACCAATGTTCAAGTCAGGAGGAAGTGTTTCCTGTTTCTGTCTTGGTTGATTGTGAGAACGGATACCCCCCCAAGGTGGTAATTGAAATCTTGATAGGTCAGAAGCTGCTACTTGAGGAAAAACCATTGGTCTGTTTGGAAACTGTGAAGCACCAACTGGGTGAATAGGTTGAGGTTGGGGTACAAGTGCCTGAAATGGAAAATTGTTCTCAGACTGGAACGGTGTTCCACCCGGTGGAAACTCTCCCCTAATTCGGGAAAAGGGCTGATGGAACTCTCGTGCTGGGTTGTACAATGAATCTGCAGAAATCTGATTTTTCGGTGAGCTAGAACTTTCAGGGCCTTGTTTAAAACCTGCTGCCCCAACTGACATCCATGCACGGGCAGCTGCTGCTGAAGCATTGCTCGAATCCTCCCTCCGTCCTGATGGAACTGATGGTGTCACTGGTGGGGTGTCAGCAGGGGAATGATTTGATGAACTGGAAGTCTGTTGCTTGTGTGTCTTTTCAGCTAACATCCTCATCAACTGCACTGGGTCACTAAGAGTCTGCTCCTGCCCATGTGCAACAAAGGGAGCCGATCTGCCTGTTTGATTTGATGTGCTTTCAGATGATGGACCAGGCATCCGTCTATTTAAACTAGGATTCCTAACTTTTCCATTGGGCAACTCTCCACTAACAACTCCGTTGGAATCTGGCTGCTTGAAAGGCATAGACGGTAAAATAGTCATGTTACTTGGTACCATGTCTCTGGGCTTAGACACAGGTGCAGGAGTATTACTTGTAAGCTTTGCAACTAGACTGGCATTATTCTGATCACTCGGGGGTAAAGAGTTCAATTCCATTTGTTTCAAACCCTTGTTCTCAGACTTGTTCAGGTTCCTACTTTGGACGTTAGACTGCTGATAAAAGAGATTGACATGAGAATTGGGTCTTGGTCCAGCAGAACCTAATAAAGAAGATTTTCTGTCTGATGTAGGCCCATTACTAGAACAAACTGAAGGCAGTTTTCCCTCATGCATTGGTCCATTAACCGGATGTTCTATGGTGGATTCCACATTCTTACAACTTTTGTCAACCTTCATTAATTCAGTAGCAGACTGCAACTTAGTCCCCAAACTAGGTTGCTGCTGGGCAAGATTATCAAGCTTTAATACTGGTGTTGGAAGTGGTTCATATTCTCCAACCCAACCACGACCAAATTTACAGCCAGGTGGCAGTGCCTGCTGAATCCTCTGGGAAGCGATTCTCCAAGCTGTAGGTCCTAGTGTTGCAGCAAATCGAGCCAAACTCCTGGCATAGGAGTGTTCAGCTTGTAGTCCAACCTGTTGCCAAAAAACACAACATTAATGCTTTAAACAAGATACGAAAGCTAAATTACTCAAGGATTAGAATTCACTTCTTTTGATACATACAGTAACTAGCTGCTTCACTTCACCCTCAAATGTCGTAAATACAGAATCTGGTCTTGTAACTGGTGGATTAGGCATATTATAAGTTGCACGACGTTCCATATCTTGCACAGATGGTTTCCTTCCCAACCTGGAGAGCATACCCCTCCCTGAAACAATCGAGTAACAGTCAGAAGAGTAGCTCAAAGATGACAGTAATATCCAACTGAGATTAAGCAAAATTGAACAATGAAGACATGAAATAGAAGGAGGAGGACTTGATCTCTGCTGTGATACCTGATATGTATTCTTCTGCTTTCTCCTGATTTGCATCAATCATGAATGCATTTCCATCCACAAGGCCATCAATATTGCCAGGCCTTTCACATACTACACCTTGCATTGGATGGGATGTGGGAAGTACATCTCCAATAGTAGCAAGGGTTGCACCTGAGGAAAAATCAGAGCCAACAGGTTCCTGTGAAGCATGACCCAGTGGCTTCTTTGCTAGCTTCTTAACCAGGGAATTTGATCTTGTTTTTGGTTCTGACTTCAGTTCACTCTGAGAACGATCAAAGTCTAACCGTAACTTTTCAAACTTTTTCCTTGCTAGCTCTTGTATGGATCTTGCCTGAAATAAATATATAGGGATCATACAGCATGCACAACAAAATAGCTACTTGCGATCTTTTGTCTAGGGAAAACAGTGAATTCTGTACCTGTTTGTGGTATATGGTCTCCGCTGCATTGTATTGCATTGCATTCGAGCAAATCAAAGATACATCACTCTGCATTCATCAATTGCATCCAAAATTCAATGTAAAATACAGTAAAATAATTTATTTGCCTTTCAAAATATAGCTCAACCAGGAAGACAATATGCTACAAACATTATAAAACACTAGTTCAGATGATAATGAGGGGTAGCGAAGTGCACAATTGATAATAGATGCACACAACCTGACCCAAAGCAATGAGTTTGTTTTCTCAATATTTGATTAGACCTCTAGGTCACAAGGCAACAATCTTATTGTTATGCTATCCTCCTCAGTGCGATAATGGATTCTTAGTTTAAGAAAAAAGTTCGTTTCCTGCATTTCTTGAAAAGCCTCTATCTATAGTCGCAAAAATCATTTTCTTCTCCCTCACCTATTTATCATCTAAAATAGGGTTTTACCCAAGCGCCATAAAAAACAGACAACCTAATCACGATAAATTCCCCCTACTGCCTATTAGCATCAACATAAATTTTAGTCCCCCATAGCCTCATGGGTGACTCTAGGCATTATTTCTAGGGATCTAGGCACCAAGGTGCTGAACTGCAAAATTTCCACCAAGTTAAGAAACTATCACTTATTGATGCCAAAATAGACAAGCTACACTATGTCCATGCCTTAACCAAAACCAAATCTATCATCACATTAAACATAAACTCCTTTAGAGGAAATAAAAAACACAGTAATAAATTATGCTAAATTTCTTATGATCCCCATTATTAATATACTCATGCAAAAAGTTTCCCACCAATACCAATCAATACACACAAATCGCTACTGCCTGCACCATCCCATTGTCAGCATAAGTGATGAAAATTCTGACAGACTCTATTATACTGAAAAGTAAGCCACTTAAATGTTTCCCCTCACACCAATTGCAAGCAGCCTCAGGCTCACAACCCACTTAACAATCAGATAGAAAAAGCAACCAGAATCTCAGAAAAAAAGAGAAACCTCTCCCAACTTTAACCATGAACAGTAGACACATTTACACACCTCAAATTGTTCCAAGGAAGGATAGGATCCATTTGCCAACTTCTTCCTCACTGTGGCAAAGTCCATAGGATGCTCAATCACATCATGATAATCAGGAAGCTGCATTGAAACATAATTTGAGCTTTCAACTTAGATTGCCTTCCAAAAGCAAGATTAACAATTCAAAGGAAGAAAATCCCGCACACCTCTTCTGGATCAACCGGCTCCGCATACACACCATATGTGTCCTTCCTGCCAATTTACCAAAACATATGACATCAGCATGCAGTAATGTAAGTTGAAGATTCTATGACAATCATTCACCTCAACTCAAACCAGTAAAAAGAAGGAAAATGGCTATCAAAATCCCCTTACTTCTGAAGCTTGTCAAGGATCAACTCCAGAGTCCTTTTGTCAGGCAACGGAATCCCAGATGGAAGCTTCGACGGAGTTCCTAACACTAGAAGCAAAACAAAACAGAACAAAAATAACCCAATTGAGAGACTCACAGTTGAGATACGGTAACAAATACACCGGCACATCCGTTTCAGTGTCCAACAAGGTACATAAAACAAAAGAAATGGGGAAGATATAAGAATTACATTAGGACCGAAAACCATAAATCGCTACACACACCTGAAACTGAGTGGAGCCCTTTAGAATCCACTTTTCTGCCCTTTGCCTGTCACAAGAAACCACACACAATTAATAACGCAACCCAAAACCACAAAAAAGGCAAATACTGTGTTTATATGAGAAAAATGATGCGATGGAGACAGAGACAGACAACAACGCGTCCTAAGTTATCTTATCTATAGTCATAGACAGAGAGAGAAAGAGGGATAATAAAATGAAAGGAAACACTCAGTGAGAGTCTGCATGTGTGGGATAGTTTTTGACAGTTGACCCGTTATTAGTTATCTCCCCCAAAATCCCGACACAGAGAGAGAAAGAGAAAGCCCTAGAGAGAGAAAAAAAAACACAGAGAGAGAAAGATAATTCAATCATGGACCAATTGGTACCCAAAGAAAAAATTCCAAGGTGGACAGTGAACACACTCTTCTTGTTCATTACCTCACGTTCTTCTTCCTGCTCCTCCTCCTCCTCATTCCCTTCCTCTTCTTCTTCCTCTTCCTCCTCGCCCTCTTCCTCCTCCTCCTCCCCCTTTTCATCCGGTGCGTGTAACCCACGCGCCCCTCTGCGACTCGGCGTGTTGTCGTCGTCTTCGTCCTCATCCTCCTCCTCGTGGTTGTTGAGCTTCACGACGAGCTTGAGCTTCTTCTTCTCACGCCTCCTCTCGTCCTCGTCCTCCTCTTCGTCCTCCTCGTCGAGGTAGTCATCGTAGTCGATGTTGTAGCGCACATTCCGGCGGCGGCGGCTTCGTCGGAGGTCTGGCTGTGCGGCGGCCGGAGATTCCCCGGAGCGGCGAGCTAGATCTGTCTTGGAGGGACGCCCCTTCTTCTTCCTCCGCACGATCTGACCCATCATCTAATCTATCGCTGTTGTTGTTGCTGCTCCTTTCTTTCTCTCTCTAAAACCCTGTTTCACTTTCTCTCTCTTCGTTTGCTTTGGGAGGCTCCATTATTTTCGAGGGTTCTCCCTTGGCTTTTTTCCAGAGGCTCAGTCAGGTCCGAGCCTGGCTGTCACCACCCAAACCTCAGCTTCGGATCTTGGTGGATGCGCTGCCTCACTTTCAGTCTCTATTTCTCACTTCTACTTCTGGTTCCTTTATTTCTTTCTCTCTTTTGATTACTATATGCATATATAAACGTATTAAATAAATAAATAATAATCACCAGTAATAAATATTTTTTTACTATATGCATATATAAACATATCAAATAAATAAATAATAATCACCAGTAATAAATATTTCTTTTACTATATGCATATATAAATATATCAAATAAATAAATAATAATCACCAGTAATAAATATTTTTTTCCTTATTTTAATATAAAAACACGTTATCACGTAAATAAATAAAAATAATAAACTCAGTTAATTTTTAAAATAATATTTTCAATATATAAAATTTATTTTTATTGTTACTAATTTTTAATTTCTATTTGTATTATTTACTCTTTTGTTTTTTTATATATTTCTTATGATTATTATAGAAAAGTTACAAAATTTATTGATTTTAATATAATAATCATACAATTTCTTATTTATTATTTCGTCTTTCCCTTCAACGCAATACATATATGTATAAATTATTTAAAAACATATTTAATTTTTTTTACAAAATATTAATAAAAATATAAATATTTAATAATAACAAAAAAGAATTAAAAATTTATTATTATTATTATTATTATTATTATTATGAATGTAAAACAGGGTTAGTTACTAGAAATGACGGAGTCTTCTGTTAATTTTGCAATTCAAATTAAACATAAAACCACCTCAACTTCAACATTAGTAATTAATTAATAAATTAAATTGTTTCAGTTAGTTTTTAAAAGTAATTAATTGATATGACAAATTAAATTAAGTAACTAAATATATTTTAAAAAGTTTGAAATTGGAGTAATATTGATTTATTCAAATAAAGTTTTTGTGGTAATTATTTAATCAATTAATATGACAAATGTGATTACCTCAGCTTAAACGTAATTAATCAATTAATATGCTTACAATCTACTTGAGCATGATTTCAATTAATATATTATATTATTTACTAATTTTCTGTGTGCTATTATAATTCATTTTAGTTCAATAATACATGATGAAAAATAAATATAAATTTCTTGTTATATAACAAATTCAATTAATTAAGCTCAAGTTCAAAATTAAATATTAATTGACATGACAATTGAATTAATAAGTATTGTTTCAACTTCTACAATATACTTAAATATAAATAATGGTAACTTTTTTTATTTTATTTGAAAATATTATTGTGTAAATATCATTCATTTAATAATATTTTTTAAGTTTAATGGTTTTAGAGTAAAAAACGAAAAATAACTTCATTAGATTTTATATTTAAATTAATTTTACATTTAGTTTCTACTTAAAAGTTAATTTTTTAAGTCTTTACAAATGTTATTTAAGTTTTTTAGTCATTGATATAATAGGTTTTATAAACTTGTATAACTGTTTGTAGGGTGGAGGGAGGAGTTGGTATAAAAAAAATAAATTCCTAATTTATATATGTATATATATATATATATATATATATATATATATATATATATATATTAGTCCCTTCTTTTACATATTTTACTTTTACTAACGACTGTTAAATAAATAATTAAATAAAACAAAATAAAAATTAGTGATATTAATTCATATTCTTAATTATTACAAATTTATTTATTTATTATATTGACTTTTAGTAAAGTATTATTATTTTCATCCCAAATTACTGTATTATTTTTTGTTAATAATAATAATAATATTTATGTAATATTGTAAACATTCTTAATGGAAGTTATTTTAAGAGATACTTAAATAAATTATTAATTATTATATTATATTACTTAATTTTTTTTATAGATACAGATAAAGAATGGTGGAGATAAATAATAAATTTATATTACTCTCATTAGACATGTGTGTTACAAAATATGTTACACTTTTAATATATATATATATATATATATATATATATATATATATATATATATATATATATATATATATTATTTTAAAATAATTCAGATGACAAATTATATTAATGATTACATTCTCCTGCTAGTAAAGTAAATAAATGTAAATGTTTTTATTTTTATTAATGATGCTACTCCTAAAATGTTTACCATTGATTCATCATTTTTTTTTCATTCATAATATAAAATTTTAATACAATATATTTTAGGAGAAAAAAAACTAAAATATTATACTTCATTTTTTACTTGAAAAAGTATTACGTAGTTTTTTTTTATTTTTTAAACTAAACATTTTAAAGTAATAACATAAAAATTTAAAAGTATAAAACCTACAATTATACTTGTAACAACTAGAATTTAAAGTAATAACATAAAATTAAAATCTAAATTGTGTATAACTATAAGATAAAATATGTAATTAACAAAAATTAAATTAAAATTTGTGAAATTAAATAGTGTTAATTGGTTTCTATCATTAATGTAAAGTTTACTTAATTTTTTATATGATGTAGTCTAAAATAATAATTTTACATCCATTCTAAAATGACTTAAATTTATTTTTTTTGTACAAATTAAAAATAATAATTTATTCTTATATTTAAAATATTGTATAGTAATAATATTGTTCTATAAATAAATATATTACACTTATATGTTGTAAATATAAATATTGGTATAATTTCTTAACAAAATTAAAATAAAATAATTAATATCTATTAAAAACTAAGAAAAATCAATAAAATTCAATTTAACAAATTAAATAAGACCACATTACAAATTTTGGGACAGAAGTTATACTCAATAAAAAAATAAAACATTGCATATTTTAGTTACTAAATATTATTTTTGTTAATATGCTTTGTTTTCATATTAAGTTATGAGAATGAATTAAATTAAAACAACACAGGTATACTTGAACTTTACTTTTTCTTATTTTCTCTTCAATTCATTGAAAATAAATTGTTAAATCATTTTGACCAAATTTTCGTAGTGATTTTTTTTTTTACTTTGTCTCAAATTATTAAACAATTGGATCATTATACTTTGTACAAAATTGTACTGAAAAATTATAATTAATTATTCATTTTAACATAATTATCTAGTTAATTATTTTTATTTTAAAAATATTAATTATCTTTTTTATTTATAACATTTTTTTAACACAAATTGTAATCAATTCATGATGATTGTGTCAAATGAAAATTGACATAATGAGGTTAAATATGACTTTTATGTTTACGAGATACATTTTGTCCAAATTTGTATTATTTTAAAATTTGTCTCATGGTTTCTATAAATATATTACTTTATAGTTATTTATAAATTTGTTTCATGTGTTTTATTTTTTATTATGATAAGTAATATTTGTAATCAAATATAAATCAATAATTATAATCAATACATTTTTTTATATATATACATTATGGACTTAGGAGGTTTATGAAAAGCGATACTGGTAGTAGTGTTAAATACTCAAAAATAAAATAAAATTTATCTCCATTGATCTAACTCTAATGAAAAATATTTTTTTTATTCTTAAATCATGTGTTTCTTTAGTTAAAATATATTTATATACTTTGTATCTTAATTTTATAATTAAACCAAAAGTATCAATGTATAAATAATGAAAAATATCATAATTAATCTTATAACATTATAAACATTTAAAATATTAAAATTTAAAAGTGTTCTCAATATATGAGTTCACTATTTGTTAATGATTTTTTCTGGTAACATGTAACAACTTTTATACATTGATTTTTAAAATATAAGTTTTAAAAAGAAGAACTATTATTTAATGTATGCGATGTTACATTATTTATATATATATATATATATATATATATATATATATATATATATATATATATATATATATATATATATATATATATATATATAAAGACAAGTTAATAAATATTAATTCTCAACCGGTCATGGTCTTTCAGTTGTTTGCATGTGAATCTTTGTGATGTGTTGCTCTATCCCTTTCACCAATTGAATGTTGTATTTTGCGCACGTGTGTGTGTGTGTTTTTTTTAATATTTCTATTTGATAATTAAATTTGATAGTTTTTTTTTTAATTTGATAAAAAATTGTTTATTTACTTCTCTGATACAAATAGTGTTAAGATTTTTTTATATAAATAATGTTAAAATTTATTTTATTATGTGATTAACAAATCATAACTCTATGGATTATAATTTATTTTAATTTTATATTTTGTTATCAATATGTATTTTAAGTATTTATTTTAGTTGTTAAGGTTGGCAGAAGATGTTTTGACAAATGAAACTAAAACAATTTTTTTCCATCCAAATCACAAATTAAAATATTGATTTTTTTAATATTCTAAATTAAAGATGAATAAACCACATAGTACATTATTAATTATTAGTGGAAACAATTAAAGTGCTGTATGATTATTTGTTTATAATTTTTTAATTTAATTTATTTTTCTTTCTCTTATTTTCTAGATGTATTATATGTTTTTTCTCCACTTATTATATATTAATTTTTTACTCTAAAATAATTAAAAAATGAAATATTTTTATTTATAGTATAATTGAAAGAAAAATATTCTTTTCTCCAAATATATCCTACATTCTTTATTCACTCATTATACATTTTTTAGTTGAAAAAAAAAAAGAAAAAATTCCTTGGTATATATTATTACAGTGGATATTTAATAATATTTTAATTTTGTACCTATAAGTTAAATTACATCTATGCAATAACATATATATAAAATGATATTATATTTTGATAAAAACTTGTGGACTTCAATGAAAAGTCAAAACTTATAATTTAACAGTTGAATTAATAAAGTTTAATATGTAGAAATAATTATTTTTCTTCTTCATTCTATATATGTATTATGTCTTTATAACCACAAAGTCTTTATTCAATCACTCTTATAATATTATTAACAATGTTTGATTAATAATAACTTTCTTAAAAGTCAAACACTCTTCATGATATAAAAAGCATAACTTTATGAATAAAAATGTCAGTAAAACTAAATTCTCACATGCATTAATGTTATGTTATGTACACTAGATCAAGTGAGCATATACAATGATTTTTAAAGGCATTACAGTGGGTTTGGTTTCAGATTACACAAAGAGGACTTAGAACAAAAGAAACTTGTTTCCTTAGAATTTGTATAGGAATAAGATCATATGAAGATAGAGAAGTGGGAAGAATATGGGGCGGCTAAGGTGCAATGAATGCAAATCAGAACAGTGGGGTGAAGCATATATTTTGCAAGCTGACTTTCATAGTATTGTCTGAAAATTTGAAAATCTTGTGTAAGTATAGTTTTCAAAACCAAAATATTGTGAACCTTAGTCATACTCTTTATGAACATGAGGGTTTGATCTGGTTTTAAAAAGGTTTTAAATTAGGAAAATTATTTATGCATAAAATATGGAAGTATATGAGGAAGGTTTTTACTTTTGTTGAGGTAAAAACTAAAAACCAAGCATCAATATCCTTTTGACGTTGACAATATTTGTCCCATTAACATATGACACATCATGGATAATAAAATAAACATTAATCTCAGTGGATGGAGTATCTTGAGAATACTTTGCTCCACTATCTCTCACTAGCATTCAATCAAAATTTTGTTTTCACACGTAAACTTGTACCTTTCATCCAGCTTTAGGGTATCGTTAAGTACCAATCCAACAGTTGTCTACCTCCACACACCCTAAAGTCCTAAACCGAGAACAATTTGCAGCACGCAAAAACCAACCAAGATGGGTAAAAGAGGTTTTGTGGGCTGTTTGTTCTCTATGATCTATGGCTTCTTCGTCTTAAGCTTTGGTACCACCTCAAAGGCTCAAATGGTTCCTGCTGTGTACGTGTTTGGAGACTCACTTGTGGACGTTGGCAACAACAATTACCTCACTCTTTCCATTGTAAAGGCAAATCATCGTCACTATGGCATTGATTTTCCTACCCACAAACCAACTGGGAGATTTAGCAACGGCAAGAATGCTGCAGATTTCATTGGTAAGTGACTCCAAAGAAACTCTAACTATTGCCACTTCAAATGTTCATTTGGTGATTTATAGTTGTGAAAATTCAACAATGATATAGATTGGTCTTATATATACTCTTTTATATACTCTCATCTTCTGCATTTCGACTTTAAAAACCTTATAATTTTCAAATATACTGAATTCTGTCTTCTCAGGTATTCTTGTGCCTAAGTTGTGTATATCTTGAACTCACTTCCTATCTCTATGCTTTATACTTCTGCTTGTATATGTTGTTTTTCAAAAAAGTGATGTGGAAACCAGACATATACATGAGAATCTGATAACGAGTGATCCAAAATTTTGATTTCATAAAATTTGAGTGGACCTAATTCATCTTCAAAAGTTAGTTCATGAGAAAACTTATTCTTACATTGTTACTGGCCAACATTCCACTCCAACAATGTTTAAGAAATAGGTCTTCTGATTAAGAATTACTTCAATAACTCTATGTGGTTGACAAATATTTTTGGAAGCCAGATTTGTTTTCTGCAATTCTTCTCCTGTAAGAAATTTATATAAAAAAAAAAACACCAACATGTGACTGACAACCGAAAAGCACAAAAAGACATCAGTGCACAAACTCGTTAAAACTTTTCAAGTTTCTTATTATAAAAATAGAAAGTTAATTACATGGTTATGGAGGAAAAAAAAAAAAATACTGTATAGTGACAGTGTACAGTTGTGGAATATGGATACAATTTTTAATTAATATAATGATTGTGTTGTGTGGGTTGCACTTGCAGCTGAGAAATTGGGTTTGGCAACTTCGCCACCTTTCTTCTTTCTAACATCAAAGGCCAACAAAAACAATGCATCCTTCATGGATGGTGTTAGCTTTGCGTCCGCAGGTGCTGGGATATTTGACGGTTCTGACGAACGTTATGTAAGTCACCAATTTTTTTTATTTTTTTTTGTACTTTATTTTTGGTCCAATTTTTTTTTTTTTTATCTATTTATCGTATAAATATGTGCAAAGTATGACCCAAATAGGGTTCTGGAATCTGACCCAAGATGGACCAGAATAGGCCTCTGTTGAAAAGGAGTCGGTGGTTTGGGTCCATCTTTTTGAAAGACGTGGACCATTTAAAACTAGATAGAGTGATATAGTTCCTTTTTCTGTAGAATTAAGCACATTATTATTAGAAAATACGAGATAATCATATATTCATTTTCTTTTATCTTATTGGTTGACAGAAGGCTGAATTTTAAATTTTGAGAATCTTTTTAACACTATTCTATCACGGTCAATATACTAGCTTAAACAGTAAAAACTGATCAAAAGTTTTGAAAATAAAGTTTGTAAAGGTTTTAACTTTATTTTAGACAAGTCCGAATTTAACTATCTATCTGTATATATATTACTGGCATTTATTATTATCGTTTATTTTTGTCACTCTCCTTTTCTCTCTTCTTTCCACCCCATTATTATGGATCCAGAGACAATCAATACCGTTGACAAAACAAGTGGAGTACTATACAATTGTGCATGAGAAGATGACAGGAGAAGTAGGAGCAGCTGTTCTACAAAAACATCTCTCAAAATCAATTTTCGTTGTGGTGATTGGCAGCAACGACCTCTTTGGATACTTTGAGTCATCGGATCTTCGTAAGAAAAGAACCCCGCAGGAATATGTGGATTCCATGGCTTTCTCACTCAAAGTGCAGCTACAGGTAAACCATGTGAAAATTTAATTATTTGTTTAGATGTAATTTTTAGGTTCGTCACTCTATATATTAAATATGTTTAAGAACCCATCACATTACTTTAAAAATTTTGTAGCATTGACCTAATAATATATTAGTTTTGCGGGGTAGTTTCTGTTAATGCAATGCAACCTCTTTGCATGTTACTTTGTCGTAAGTTACTACTTATATTTTATTGTGCTAAGAGGTCGGCTCTTGTGTCATTTACTTTGTCTTTTTTCAGTTCTGGCAAGTTTTGATTTTGATTTATTAATTTTTTCTGTAGAGATTATACGACCATGGTGCACGTAAATTTGGGATAGCGGGAGTTGGGGCACTTGGATGCTGCCCTGAATTCAGGCTGAAGAATAAAACAGAATGCGTTGCTGAAGTCAATTACTGGTCTGTAAAATATAATGAAGGCCTTCAATGGATGTTGAAGGAATGGCAATCAGAGAATGGAGGAATAATCTACTCCTACTTTCATACTTTCACTGCCATCCACGATCTCATTCAGACTCCACTTTCCTATGGTATTGTCGTCTACTGTCACACTTCTCCTTATTATATACTATTCTAAATAATAGTTATCTTAGTTATCACAAAATGCAGACATGGTCCAATAAGTCATGCAACTTGTTTGATATAATAACTTTCTAGTAAATTTTAATTAGTCGTTTATTAAGGGTAATAAATTTAAAGTCATTTTATCAATATTTTTTCTATTAAATTTTTTAATTAATAGAAAAACTGCTATTAAACTTTTGGAGACTATAATAAATTTAAACTTGCCTATAAATAATCAATAAGCAGAAATTATTTCATGATAATAGTGATTATATTTATTATAATTTTAAAATAATTTTCTTGAAGTCAATTGTAAATTTCTTAAAAAATATCACTTTTTACTTTTAAAAAAATAACTGTTCACTTTTTTAGGAGTTGAAGCGGATGAGAGAGTCTATATATAATATTTGTTTCTAAAGAACATGAAAAAAAAAAACAGAGACAAGTATGTGGAAAAATAGTCACTTCCCTTATTTTTTGGGTATCAAAATCAAAAGATAATAAAAAGGGAAAGTAGAAAACATTGTGGATCCCATACTTTTTTCTCCCTGGCAAAAAAAAGAAAGGAAAAGAAAAAACTAAAATGAAAACAAGACACAACTGTTGTTATCCAAACCCATCCCACGATTAGTCTAATTATGAGTTTGAAGCAATGGTTGTGGTTGGCAATGATGGCACTATTGGGGCACATTTCTTTCTCAGTTAGTGTTATTAATCATTTAATTCATCATTTGTTTATTTTGAATTTTAAAATGACTTAAAACAGGAAATAAGGTGAGTAGTTAATTATGAACCATAAATGAACTATTTATTTAAAAATATGTAAATATTATAATTTAATAATTAATAATATTGAGTATTATTTTAAAAATTATATTTATTAAAAAATAATTGCAGTGTATTATTTTATATAAGAACATATTAGAATATTGTTTACTTTCTTTTTCTTTAATTCAAACTTCGAAAATGCTTCACTTTTTTTATTGTCTTTTAATCTATCTTCTATATTTGTTTTGTTTTTGTACCAAAGGATGTTAAGTTTGGTTTTCATGAGAATGGGTTGTAATTAAAAAACAATTGAAATCCTTTTTCAGGATTTAGTGAGGTAAAAGCTGCTTGTTGTGGACTGGGCGAGCTGAATGCCAGGGCTCCCTGCCTGCCGTTGTCAAACCTTTGTCCTAATAGACAAGATCACATATTCTTTGATCAATTCCATCCTACGGAGGCAGCTTCTCGTATATTTGTTAATAGACTTTTCGATGGTACTTCAAGCTACGCATTTCCCATTAATATGAGACAACTAGTAGCTGCTTGAACTTGAGGATTCATTTAACCATTCAATGATATTTTTCTTTTCTTTTTATAACTCGATATTAAACTCTAAGTGTGATGTTGGGGAGGAAAAAAAAATCCCCAAAGCCGGCTTCATGGAAAATTGATCTCTGGTTAGCCAAATATGAATTATTTTACTTGAAGGTTCATCCAGAGACGATGCATTCCTGCAAGAAAGATGACTTTTATACTAGTTTTAATAGATGACAATGAAATATGACCCTACCATCAAACCATACATAACGGACATACACCGAAGCTATTAATGTTTTCATATCAAGTAGTTATAGCTTATGTTGACAAGGTGGGAAAATCCAACTGCTTCAGGATCAAGAGTGATGTTCTGGACAAAATCAACCGAAAGAGGAAAGGAAAGAGAAACATTCGTAAACATATGATCACACAGGGCATCTCAATAATTCCTACGGAAACCAACAACAGGTAAGGCTTTCAGTCACGAAGCATCAAGAAGAACAAGAGAAAATATATCCTCAAAGAAAAGTTTTAAGTCGCCTTTTTCAATATCGAATTCCAACAATTTCTCCATGGCATCCTGCATTCCATTCAGAATTATAAATAAAAATATCTGAGAGAGTAAACAATATATTGCATTAAAAAAATATCCTGCATTCCATTCGACTCTTGAAATTGAAATGTCACCTTGTATTGACGATCTTGAGCAGAGATGTTCTCGTTGGATAACCGCTCGACATGATTATTGTTTGAAACGGCCTCCAACACAGCTGCTGCTCTTTTTACGATTTCCTCTGGCACACCTGCATGAACGGTGCAGCTTGTTCAAATAAATAAATAAATAACAGAAAGTAAAGTATGCTTTATATTTTTTTTCTAAGAAAAAATGAATAATATGCCTTGCGTTTTTTTTTATCAGGAGATATCATTTTTAAGTAGCAGTTTTGTAAATTACCAGCAAGCAGTGCACAATGCAGCCCTGCAGGATTCCAAATACACACATCATTTTCATTGGTATGTCAATTGATATAGCGAAAAGTGTTAGTAAACACTTCTGAACTCATTTTTTCAAGGCACTTCTCTGTTGCTCAAATTTATTAAAATGCACCAAATGTGTATTAAAGAATGTGTTTTACATTTTCTTTATTGTGTTAGAAAGTATCTCTAATATTCTTGACACGAAATACCCAATAAAGCAAAAACATACCATAGCTATGATGCGCATGCCCAGGGACAAGCCTGCGTGGAAAACGATAATAACAAAGATGAAGTCTAGCACAGCCACTTCAATTCTATACTATCTCAATAGTCTAGACAAAGTACAAGGGTGAAGTAGAATGAAATCTCCTCTGCTCAGCGCATTGCACGAACCAAATACTATCATTCAAGTGCAGATTATAATGTCCAGGATGAGCTCACCGAGCCAGAAACATGCTTAAAAAATTTGCATCTATTACATCAATTTTTTAAAATATATACACACATACGTTTGTTATATTGTCTGATCAAGAGAAGTACAATAGCCTTCCTAATTTCTATCAAATCCGTTGACATAAAATAACCTTATGATGGTAAATATATAGTTCTAAGCATACTGTATGGCAGAATCAACAAAATATACCTGTATAAAAATACAATCTCGTCAATATATGTGGAATTGTCGTCAGGCCTCAGCATACTCATTGTGTAAAACTTAATCTGCTCAGACTGAAATAGTCCAAAGGAATCATGTTTATGATCATTCAACAGAAGTTCAAATACTTTAAACTCCTTGCATAAGTGTAAGTGCATAACCTTGGTCAAGGAATGCCCATGTAATAAATCCATGAGATGAGTGCACACAAAAACCTACAAAATTTGCAGAAAAAATGACAGTTACAAGCTCTCTATGAGAAACTGCATATCGTCATTTCACCAATTGTGATTATATTTTCCCATTACAATTTGACTCTAGGGTCTGAGTTAATACTTCATCTTAATAAAATGTCCAGGGAAATTGTCTTTCAATAACAATATCCTAATAAACTAATGCTTGAGAGTGTACAAAAACTGTTCTTTTTTAAATTTTCAACAGAGATAAAGGAATGATCTTTTAACTTCTACCCTCATGAATAATGATCACTGAACATGGTTAGTTCATAAATATACAATCATGTGGAACGATAATCGTCCAGTTAGGTAAAAAAATAGCAAAGCTTAATTATACATTTTTATCATTTAACTATCATCATTTTATAATTTACCACCCGTGTTTTTTTTACCATCATATTTTTCAATTTTCTTTTTTATGCTGAAGTATTACGAAAGAAAGTTTAAAGAAAATGAAATGGTATCAAAATCACGTCATCTCGTGACAAAAAAAATGTAAAAAAGCAACGACTTTTCGTTTTTTTTCTTTTTAATTTTGTCTTTGACACATCGTCACATACATATATAGTAGTTGCTAAAATGTGCAAAAACTGAAAAATATGATGGCAAAACGTTGAGAAAAAAAGAAAAGAAAAAAATACTTGTAAAATATGTAAAATTTAATTAAATAACAGAAATAGACTTGTAAAGAAACAGTTAAAAGATTACAGACATGAGACGAGAGCAACTGAAGCATAAAGATGCTCATCACAGGAAAATGCTGTGAAGCATGCTGCTCCGGAAATGATAATATAATTCCTGAAAGGTTGAATTATTACACACAGACGTATATATATTCAGGGAAAGATGTCAAACCTTTGGAGGTTCATCACTCGTGACAAAGTGATTTATGGTCCCAGCAAGTAGACCAATACCATCTGAAAGGAAGATTAAAACATTGAATCAATTATGCTAAAAACTATTATCTGAAATACGCACCTACATCCCATATTTTTATGATTTAGACACGCTAAACATTGCAGAAACAAACCTTCTGTAAGAGTGCCTTTACCAAATTCATCCACCAAACAGAGAGATTGCGAAGTAGCATGCCTGAAGATTTTCTAGACATCAAAAGAAAATATACATATACACACACATTGTTCTTTTAGTAAACTGCAAATTCTCTTGGAACCCTCCGTTATTTAATTGTTCATATAAAATGTTTGATCTCTGTACCAAGAAATTCTATGTTTTATTCCATTTTATGAATAACTTTATTTAGTCCCTGTTAGTTAGTTTTTGGGTAATATAAAGCCACCACAAAATAGACATATAAGAACTAAAATATAAAAAATTTAGTACAGATATTAAAATGTAAACTTTTTAGGTAGAGATTAAAATAATAGTCAGCGCTGGTATCGGAAACTATATGATTAATTACTCCAAATTCCAGGAGGTTATACAGATTTTTTGTTGTGACCGTTGTGTCTTAAAGGTATTGAACATGGCTCTATTAGAATTTTTCTTGGTATACCTGAGCATCATTCCTATTTGATGTAGATCAATCATAAATGTTGATTGTTCAGCTGTCATAAGTCTGCTGCCCGTTGCACAAAATATTCTAAAATACCTCCCAAATAAAACGATCAGCATTCAACAATGTAACTCCTGTTTCACGATAGACGTGATTCAATGGAAAATTATACCTATCTGTTAGACCCACAGTTGCTGCATCAGCTGGCACAAAACTACCAATGTGGGAGAGAAAAACAATTATAGCAACCTGCAAAATAATTCTCATTACTTCATAAATAGAGCAACAAATAGCGAATAATTTTTTAGTCTCCAACACAATGCCTCAAAAAAATCCTTGAATCTGGAACGGTGGATAAGCAAGCCCATCTCATAAAACAATAAAATGTTAAAAATTTAGTTTTCATTAATGGTCACTCAGTTTACCTTAAGATAATCATACAAAAATAAGATTTTTAAAAAATACTAGTTTTTTTTAGTATAATTTAATATAGCCTAAATTAATTATAATATTAAATTGCGATGTCATTTAGTAAATTTGATATGCTATTGTATTGATCAAATAATATAATAATTTTATTAAATAAAAATAATATTATGTAATTTTTATCCCGAAAATTCATGCTAATTAAATTTATTTTTCAATTGAATTACAGAAAAAAAAATGTTGAGTGAATGTCAGAAAAAAATAAAAATAAAAAACGTGCAAAACCCAAATCAAAACAGAGCAGATGAATATTAACAAGAAGTTGATAACTTGTTTCATTCAGGGCCTATAAGTTAAAAACATTCTTTCATTTCGATACTAGAAGTTAAGGTCGTACAATGACCTTATCAGCATATAGTTGATATTTTAGAACAGTACAATAAAATATCCTGCGAAATACATATCACAGAAAGATAAAGAACTAATAACTGACCTGCTTTATATAGATGCTTTTTCCAGAAAAATTAGGACCAGTGATGATATTTATTCTTCCTAATGTAAAGAGCAATGGAACAGGGATTAATAACAAAATAATTTGATCAAAATGGATTTCAATAATATAAGTTATGTATGTCTACAGCTATTTACCATCATGAAGAATCTTAGTGTCATTAGGAATAAAAGTGTCTACAGTCATTTCCTGCAAAATATGCCTACAAACAAAACCAGTTTTTATCATTAACCATATCAATGATTCTCCATTAGGTTCTTATAACCAGAGGATCTGAACCTTCCATTTTTTATATCAAGCAAATTTTCTTCAGTCAACGAAGGCCTGACGTAATTGTTCTGCCGTGCAACCAATGCCATTGACAAAAAGCTGAAACAAGATATTAATGATAAAAAAAATGTCTGACGAGCACCAGATATTATAATGACAAAATTTATCTTACCAGTCCAGTTCAGCTGCAAAAGTTGCCACCTTTATCAAATGGGTTTGGAACAGCAGTATACGCGAAAACAAATCTCTGGTGATCGCCCTCTCCATATCTTGAATAACAACAGAACTTATAAATAAGTAACATTTGCACAAGAGACCAAGCATTACAATTTCGGAGGCAAACTCAATATTATCTATTTATTACGTCTCAAATCTTACGGTAAGAATCTTCCCACATAAGCTGTGTCAACGAATTCCATAATTTTAATAAAATCTAATTTCTTACAAATCTACAGTGCATTTGTTTCTCCGTTATCCTGCTTTCTAATGCAACTCAACATGAGGCAAAGTCATGCATTGGCATCAAGTCGGGGCAAAGGCTCGGCTAGTTGCTTGGAAATAAATAAATGAAAATCAGGGAACTATGAAATATATGCTTAAAATACCCAGAATTTTATGATGGATATCTCCCAGCAGACTATCCAATTCACGTGTCTTTGGCGTACGATAAAAGTATCTTCTTGTCTCTCCATCTGTGTCACAAAACTGTATTTGAAATGACTACAAAATATAACATATTAGTTGTGTAAATCACTTGACCGAGTGCAATCGCCAACATACTATGTATTCCCAATCTACAAGTTTCTCCAGAGTGGTTTCTTCAGGTTTTTCTTCAAAGATACACATTAAATATCCTACAGTAGACAAAAAAAAGAAAGATATGCATTGTGCAGTAATAAAATATCCGGTGTTGTTTAATACCCGAAAAAAATTATGGAATGAAAAAAAAATGTGATCTAGTGTTGTTAACAGCCAAAATGGCAGCAGTCGAGTTAGAACATTGGGATAGGGCCTCAGTCGAGAGCTCTATTTACCTTGTTTGCACATGCTTGAGAACAAGGTATGATAATCCAACAAAATACTAGTGCAAGGAAAGTACAATGATAAAGTAGTCACCCTCTACGGATTGGTTGATTAAAAAATAACAGCAGTCTATTGGTAAATGTACTTCACAATGGAAGAGCAATGCAATGAATCATTACCATATTTTATGGTTACAATTTTAATTCAGAGTCAGAACTACCTATTTGCTGTATATAAACAATACAAGGAACACGCTTGTCCTTGCACAAACCGGGAAGTTGAGCTAATTCCAATGATGAAACCTGCAAAAGATGTTTCATGATGAAAATAGAAAGAATGAGAGGAAAGAGATCTACTTGTTCGATACGACGAGTTAGAGTTTTACTTTCTCTTAGTCATTCATTTTTTTTTAATCTAATGATCCAAATGAGTTTATATTTTCTTCATTAGATTATAAAAAAATAATGATGATAAAAAATAAGTCTCTAACTTTTATATATATATATATATATACTCAATTACAATTAAAATTTACACCAAAAGCCACCTCTTCCAGAAAGTCCGGCAGTTCCTCATATATTTGCCTCAACTCATCCAACTACAAGAACAACAAAGCCTTATCCAACTAGAAAATGACGACGTTATCCAAAGTCTCAAAATTAAACCTTAGCCACAGTAAAGACAGTTTAACCAATGAATGAATGAAATTTTATACATTAGATTAAACTTTCAACATCTATGTATTACTTCGTATGTTTAAAATCTCATCCTACTAGGTACATGAGTGAGGAAACAATTTGAATAACACATTTTTCAACGTGAGTGGCATATGCATATTACCTAAATTCATTATATTCACACACTAAGGCGAAGAAAAGGAACGAGGACATTGGGTTTAACCTCATCACAGAAACCTTCTTTCACCACCGTCGCATATCCCTTCTCTTTAGTTCTATTAACATCAATAACACCAATTACCTGCACAAGCCATAACCCAAACAAAGGAAAAACTGCTGTCGCTGCTATCCAAACAAATTAACTAAATCTCTCAGTTGAGTGAACTTTTGAGATGGCTCCCCTGACGCCACCAGTGCAGAAAATCAGATGCTTTTAAGCATCGAAGCAAATGATATGCAATTTCGTATACTTGTCTATCTCATAAACATATTTAATAAGGAGAATCAAATAAAAATTACCAGTTCATAGACATAACCAAGTTCTGCTGTTATGCATGAACTAACCTGCAGTAACGTTACTCATCAAAAATAAAATCATTTAAGCTAGAATGTATACAGGTGCACTTGAATAGAACATATATGCAATGTACCTTCTCAACAATATCCAAGTTTAAACACTTCAATTCTGCACGAAGACCTTCGGAAATTCCAATTTCAAAAATCTTGTTTAAATGCAACAACGCACAAATACTCTAAAACATGAAAAGAACATAAAAACAGTGCTGACAAGAGATTAGTTACTGACAAGAGAAGACAAACAGGAAAATAGCAACAATTCGAGAAGGGGAAAATATTTGTGGACTTTGATTCCCGTTAATTGTAATAGACAAACAAAGTGTTTATAAGTTTAATATTTCTTCGAGGCCATTGGGGGTCATGTAACTAAATTCGAGGAACAGAAGCAAACATGAATTCTAAATTCAAGTGTTTAGATTTCTTTTGATATGTGGAAGCAAACATGAATTCTAACAAGTTACAGCACAAGGAAATACGACTATATTAGAAACTAGAAAAGCATATAGAAATTTTTACCTTCAGAAGAGCTGTCCAATCATTGCTGGTGCAAATAGAGCTTGGAGAGTCAAATTTCTTTAATGATTGATTAAATCTTCAAAAGTGTTAGTATGCAGAGAATACAGGCTTTTGCTTAGAAAGGAAAATCACATGCATAATTGCACTAAAAGAAACGACCTATCTTCAATAATCTTACATGCTCATAAGATAAAAACAAATTTTCATTGCATACGTGATAGTTAAAATATCATGTTTCAAAATGAATAATGTTCAATATTTGTGACAGAGAGTTAAAACCTTGTAGTTACCAAAGTGTTTAACGAGCATGTATGATGCTTTTTAAGTATTTATTTGGCCCAACCAAAACAGAATCTATAGAAGAGAATTTGAAGAATAAACAATGGCCATATAGTCAGATCAACAGAAGAGCAAGAAAACAAAAACAGGAATGAGAGAGGAAGAGACATTTCAGACCTTCAGCAAGTGGGGAATATCCTTCACAGATTTCAAGGCTTCCCGTAATGAAGTAACAAGTTCTTCTGAACACAGAAAAAAAGATATCTGCTTCGCATTAAAGTAAAACATCAATTTTCATGATTTTATGATTAATTTGTTGAAGATGTGTAGTAAATAGATACTAAATAGACATTCCACCTCCAAAGGGACTATAACTAAGTTAAGTAAAATTTCCTTCCCACCTGAAACTTGGATTCTACAGATTAGTAATGCCTATTCAGACAGTATAACAAGACTGTAGATGGATACACAATTCAAACGGTAGTTTAGTACTTCAAGATCAAGTATAGGCTTTAAGAACCAATTCCTGAAACGGGGAAAATATATGAGAAAAATGTCACCATAAGTTCTGAAGTTTGAGAAATGGGTACACAATAAATTTCACATTCTCACTATTTATTATTCATATTACCTTAAAAGACGTCTACCCATCGGAGTCACACACTGTATATAGAGCAAATTATTAATCCTATACGACAAGAAATTGGCACACACTATTCAAACAACTCAACAAACCTTATTCATCATTCCAAATACTGAAAACCTGCAATTAAGACATTGCCTTAGATATTTACATATTTTTAAAGTAGAATATTTAAGATTAAGTAAATAACAACCCTTCTTTTGCTCTACCAATTCCCATATGACTTGGGTGCTTGTCTATTTGGAATATTTGTAATGCTTCATGAGCTGCTGCATCAAGTTTGAGATAGTTATTTCTGTATTTCCATAGTAAAGGACACCTTTGAACTCACATTTTCTCCTTTCCAGTTTCAAACAGCACAAAGTAGAACGTTTTTGCCTTTAATGACTGAGCAAAGTAAGTACAAGGATACAGTGAAATTTCTGCTACAGAATCAATTATAATTGATGTATTTCCAGATTCTTTTTGCTCAAGAGTATTTACAATCCTTTCATTCTCCAATATTGCAAGAAGACCACCACTAGCACGAACCTGTACTTCACTTCCCATGTCCATCATGGAACTCAACTGCAGTTGTAACAGGGAAGAGGAAGAGGGAAATGCATATAAAGTTATTAGAGTATTGCAACAGCAATAATAATTTAAAGGACAAAAGATTTTCCCATTCAAGACTTGTTATAATATAAGCAACAATTAATATAGAACAAATAATTATTCAAATACTACTTTAAGCATGTGCATATCTTAAGATACTAGGACAATAGTGGGTAGTTTCAGACTCACATAGTAAATCCTCTCCTTGACATTTAATCCATCATCCATCCCCGCCACTCGTAGGTAAATTAATCTGTAAACCAGGATTTGGAAAGAAGAAGAAGCAATAGAATACTGAAGTTGCGGCAGAATTTAATTTTAATTTTTTTCCTTTTTATTGGATAAAAAGGAGTTTACAATTCACCAAATAAAAGATTTCGTACAATAACCTCATTCCAAACCACCACAAAAAAATGTGCATGCTGAATATAATAGACACATACATGAAATACAAAAGTATAAAAATAGATCAAAGGTTAAAATCAAAATTTAGAATCTGAAAAGTCCACAGAAGACAATCTCCATCAACAATTCAAATATTCAATACATCATCAACATGTACACTGCAAACATTGGACTTAGAATTCTCTTTAAGATCCTAGCAGATGCAATACCTATGCCATGCTTGCTCATAGCTGAATATTGAACTTTTCACGAGCTTTACTGTAGGAGACTCGGCTACTCCATCTGCGTAACTTCAATAGGTCAAGGGTCCCAACACTAGTCTTTCATAACTAAATCACATGATGGGCTTCCTACCACATTGTTGCAGAGCAGACAAGAAGGATTCTTCACTTTTAGTGCTTGTGTAAATAACCAAAGGGTTTGCTTGATATTTCACTGCACCAGATATTCAAGTCAAAAGACATTCATTTACTAGAATTCATAACCAGTAAAAGTAGTACTGATCTTAAAGTCAGTGGGTATATGAAGCACAATTATGAAAGTTCCATCAAAAGAGAACATATTGATGCTGAGTCTCAAGTTTCAACTGTGATGCAACAAGGCACCAAGGAGGTGCATAACTTTTTAAATCATGATAGCTACTTTAGAGTTAAAGTTAAAAAAAAAATGTTTATAATCGAAGTTAAAGTTGTTTCAAAATTTTGTAATTTTTAGCTTAAAAGCTTTTTGTTTGTGTTCTCGGACTTGGAATTTGGAATGGAGAAAGAGAAAACAGAACTACTAAAATTAACTTGGATTTATTGTTCTATGTTTTCTTTGTTTAACGTTGGGAGAAAACTCCTTTTATTTTTAGAGCATTTATAGAATTGTGTTTGGCACAACACAACTTCTCCTTTTAAGGAGAATAGAAACCAAAAATAAGCTGAGCAAATTACTACCTAAAACTGTATTCAAATTCAACAATGATAAAAAATAAATGATACCCAGATCAATAACTGGAAAACCTTTGTCACCGTCATCCCAAACTTCGAGTACATAAAGTTGGCGAAGCGTGGAATCATAATAAGAAACCCCTATCCTGTATTTGAGTAGGGAAAAAAGGTGGAAAACATAAACATGTAGCAGGACCAAGCACATTTAGCTACATAAACCTTTCTTAATTATGTAACCATTTTTTTTCCAAGTCAAAATTACCACATTACACATAATATTTAATTTTCCTTGTTTCTGAAACAATTTCCGACTTAATTTCAAAAATCCTTCCAGCAACATCATTCTTCACACTATTTCACTCCCAGTGCAAGGAAACTATCATTTTGTTTTTGCACCAAATAATTTTATGCCAGATTGGGCAAGAGATACTAAAAGAAGCTTACCTATGACCATTTAGTATGCAAGCCATGTACACCTGTATAAAGTCCAAAATTCCCAATCAAGGACTGAGGTTGCAGTGAAGCAAATCTATCCTTTAAGTAAAAAGGTTACAGGAACCAACTATTGACTCTAAGCAGTCTTGAATGTGTAATCCTAAGAAATTACATAGTATTAAATATTTAACAATTAAAAATTTAAACCCTTTTCCTACTAGGCTAATAAATGATAAAATATCAATCAAATTTCACTATGTAGCAATAAACTTACTCTGAATTTAATTAAAGTTATTGGTGAGATACTTCATTCTATGACAGTCTCAATTTAAATTACATTACTGCAAAACTAGTTTATCAGACAAACAAATTTTGTTTTTTCACATGTTGACTTCTAAAAGGAACCATGTAAAACTTCTTACATAAAATTCATTGAACTTACGAAAATTTATTCAACACTTGAGAATATTTGTGAGCATCCCCTGTTTTTTCTTTATTTGTTAAAGATATTAATCTTCATTTCTCATTATGTTAACTACCTCCGTATCTGCTTGCAATCATTACAGAACCAAAAAACCTTGTGGCGCAACACAAACACAAGCCTACCAACTAATAGTAAACAAAGTTATTGCTTAATAGAAATCACGTCATGAAATCGAAACTCGTTTTCCTAAACTTAACACTTCTAGTAACTGTTAAGACAGAAGCATTATAAACCGGTGCAGACAAGGGCATGCCTCCTGCCGTTGATGACTGATAATTATCCCTCGCTATCATGCACTAAGCTTGAATTCTATTGCCATAACAAATCTAGCTAAAATAACAAAGCAGTTAAAAGCATTAAAGAGTCAAAAATATCAAAGTTGCTTGAAGCATAAATATAACGATTAAGCGTCATCAGAATGTTTTGACAAAATCCATTCAAGTCTCAACTTCGGTGAATCAATTTTAACGAACAAAGGTTGTACCTAATCGATCTAAAACACAGGTAGCCAGACAGTTATAGGAAATCAAAGTTTTGAGGCAAATTGTGTGAAAGGTGGACCTGAGGAACAGCATCGATCTCGTCCATGTCCTCCATTCTCAGCTATCCGGATTCTGCACTACAGACTAAGCTAATGAAGCTAACAGAAACCCAAATATCACCAGAATTTGAGCGCGCGGACTTCAAAATACACTTTCTCCCTTTATATAGAAAAGCAAATAAATATTCACGCCAATTTCCTAATTAGGCAACTATTATTATACAGCACCACTTTGTCTTCATCTATTGGGATGCATAGCTTGATAAAAAATAGTTGAGCATGGGCATATAGAATGTGTGAATTGATGGAAAAAAAATGAATTAAAATAAAATAAAATAAAACACAACGAAAATAAATTATTTGTTAGCTTGGATGTTTATGATAGAATTTAACTAAGGAAAATATTTAACAATCCATTCCAATCTTTATTATGATTAATAGTAGAATTTGTCAGTATTTTTTATTATGTTTTGTTTCATGATAAATTAAAATTAAATGTATATATTAAAATTATTTAAAATATAAATAATATTATATATAACTTTGTGTGATGATAATTTTTTTATATTAAAAAAATATTAAAAAATAAACAAAAATAGTATTAATATATATATATATATATATATATATATATATATATATATATATACATATGTATTTCAGTTTCCCTGTGATAAAAAATATTACACTAAATTTCTTTTAATAAATATTACTAAATACATAATTAATAACAAATATTACAATTAAAAAAATTACATTATATAAATATTTTTATATTAACAAATTGTATTTTACGTCTAAATATTTATTCTATTATATATATATATATATATATATATATATATATATATATTGCATTTTACAATAAATTTAGTGTATTCATTTTTTTATTATTAATTATATTAAATAAAAAATTTGTATTATATATAATTAATAAATTGTATTTTTTTAACCTATATAAATTTTCATAACTAAAAAATTTGAATGATATATTTACTAAATACATAATTCAAAAAAATATTACACTAAATATACAAAAAAAATATTTAAAATAATGAATAATAATTTTAAAATATTAATTTTGAATTTCATACAAACTTATAAAATATTCACAATATTTATAACAATCTATTTATAAAAATAATAAGAGCGTTTTTCATAATTTTTAAAAAATATTTAAATTTTTTTTAACAACTTTTTCTTAACTTAATTTTTGAATTTAAACTTATTAAAAAATTAAAAAAATTATAAAATAATTAAATATTTTATCATGTACAAAATATTATATATATTTATGAATATAAAAAAAACTTTAATGTAAAATGATATATATTCATGTTTTTAACACATTTATATTTTAATGATGGATTAAGTTGAATTCAAATCTTGGGACTAATCCAGAGATTGAAATTAGTGGAAATATTAATAGTCTTACCAAATTTCAAATGGATCGATTATGACAGTAACAAAATATTAAAAACCCTTATTTCATTAACCTTCCTAAAATATTCGCATATTTATAATAATTATAAATCATTGGAATTACTAACTCATGACAACAACCTACTCTAAAATGATTTTTTATATATATAATTATTCAAGTTAGGATAGGATATTTTAGTGATATGTTATGTTTTCTAATTCATTGTGAAAATAAAAAATACTCATAATTACGTTGACATATATAAAATATTAGCAAAATTAAAATTCAAAATGAAAATTTTAAAAAATATCATAATAGTTTTTTTACTATTTATTATTCAAGGCTATTATCCAATTAATGTCAATTTCAATATATAATATTTATTATTCCAATAATATTGATTATTTATTATCTATAATTTCTTTAAAAAAATTATCTTTTTATTTTTCACCGTTATCCTTTTTGTCATATATTTCCTCTTCATTTTGGTTCTGTTTTCCTTTTTATCAAAATAATATGTTAGGGCAACTTATAAATAGTTATTGTAATTTTAATACATCAATTAAACTGTAGAAACGTAAATTAATCTTATAAATAATATAAATTAAACAATATATTTAAATACAATTTATATTCATTTATTTACTTAATTATATATTTATTATTTATATATAATTTTTTTCATAATTCTATATTCTTTTTCTTCATTCTTTTCTTATTTTTTGGTAAGTATATTGTTTTTCTCTATCATCTCTCACTTTTTTTAATTAAACTATTATATTGAGATTTAATAAAAATTTGTTAAAACAAATATTTTAAAATACATTGAAACTGAAAAAGATATGAACTACTTATTTAAAATTATGATAATAATAAATAAATTTATTTGTTATGAAAATAAATAATTTTATTTGTAATAAGATAAATAATTAATTCAAATTTTTGTATCATAATAAATAATTACTTATCTAATTAAAAAATCAAATCTTTATAGGTTAAATATTTTTTTAACCTAATAGTTATAATTAGAATGAGTTAAGATAATTAATTAGATTAAGTAATTTTAAAATAATATTTATTAAAAAATTACTTTAAAATAAATATTTATTTTTTATCAATAATTATAAAATAATAATATCCCAAAATTTTCATTTAATATTAAAAAAACACAATTTATTAAAATTATAGTATTTTTGAACTATTTAAATATTTTTATTTTTAGAAAATAATAAAGAACTTATTTTATCAAAATTTAAATTTTTATTATTTTTAATTAAAAAATAAGATGATAAAAAAAAATAAAAGAAAAGGAAAAAGAGAAGTAAAAGAAACATTAAATAAAGACAAAATAGAGAATAAAAATAAATAAATAAATAAATAATAAATAAATAAATAAAAATATTATTTATATTATATATGATAAATTTACTTTCTCTTATCAATTTTTATGTATGAATAATAAACATATTTAATTTGATAAATAAATTTAATAAAATTGTATTTAAATAATTTTTGTTAAAATATATTATTTATGAAATTAATACGTGAAATCAAATTAATTGTATTTCTACATCAATATTAAAAATATCGGTCTCCAAATAAAAAATTAAGTGATCGTTGTGAGAGAAACTCAAGAAAATTAATAATAGGATGGCCCAAAAAACCGTGTTTAATGGAAGATTGTAAGTAAACAAATTTATCCACCAAAAATTTAAAAATAAAAAAAGATTTGTATTTATTACATGTAAAATTATTTTTAAGTGAATAAATTTAATTAAATAATCTAACATATTATTAATTTAGTTTAAATATTAAATTTCTTATTAGTGAACGTAGACCGTAGGATGAAACGAAGGGTGAAGATTCTGTGAGTGCGAGCTTACTTAAACCCTATTGCTTCAACTAGCTTTCTCTTGTCTCCACTCAAAACCCTAGTTAGCCTCTTCTCTCTCTGCAATCAAAGAACGTCAAAAAATGGTTTGTTCTGCGTCATTCTCTTGGAATCTCTCGTTTTCTTGTCCGAATATTCAAATTTCTCACTTGTTTCTGTTTTCTTTGTTTATTTATTTTGTTTTCTCAGACAGAAGAGGCAGTGAACCCAAAAGCTTACCCTCTGGCCGATGCGCAACTCACGATAACAATACTCGATCTTGTGCAACAAGCTGCCAACTACAAGCAACTCAAAAAGGGTGCTAATGAAGGTTTTGATCTCTTTTATTTCTTTCTTTTTGAAGTTAGAAAAATGAAGATTCATAGAAAAAAAGTGGTTTAGTCTGATTGGTGTTAGCGCATCCGATTCGTTTCAGCCACCAAGACACTGAACAGAGGCATTTCTGAGTTCGTTGTCATGGCCGCAGACACTGAGCCTCTTGAGATTCTTCTCCATCTTCCTCTGCTTGCTGAGGACAAGGTAATTTATTTCCCTACAATTGCTTCTTATGCAATTTGATTATTGACAACTTGTTGTGAACAATAGCAGAATAAAGATAGACAAGAAAACGAAAATGATAAAGAAGCTTAAATACACGGTAATCAATAACATTTTATATTAATATATGCAAATACGTTTGATTAATAGACTGAGCCTTCCCGTGCTTCTCATATTTTTGTCTCTTGTATTAGGTAGTTGCTTTAAAACATAAGCATAGTATTGGATAGGTCAAATAATATATTATTAATAAATAATAAATAAATATAAAATGAAGTAAGAAGATGAAAGGATGAAATGATAAAATTGTAAATATATACTTAAATATATTAAATGATCATTAAATTTGAGGAAGACAAAATTATAAATTATATGAGAGTTACAAAACTGAAGAGGTGCTTGGAGGATAAAACTGTAAATATACAAGTAAATATATTAAATGTTCATTAAGTTTGTGGGGCCAAAATCATAAATTACATGGGAGTTACAAAACTTTGACAATCCCTTCAGCTCTCACGAAGATCCGCCACTGCATGCCAATTGAAATTTAAAATTGGTTAAAAGTTTTTTCTCGGCTATCTATCTTATTTGTGTTATTTTGCTTGACATAAGACATCGAAATTCTGCAATGTTTCTTTAACTAATTGAGTATTTCCATTGTGGTCATTGAGTCCCCGATTCTTGTGTGTATATTTTGCTACGAATTTTTTTTTTTTTTTCAAACTGATTCAAATCTTTGAACATTCACTGTTCCTGTCAGACAGGTGCTGGAAAATGTTATGACTTTAGACTTGTGTTAATGCTCTTATAAAATGGATCTGAAGACACCCCAATCATATACTGTGTCAATTATCAGTCGTCATGGTGTAATTGTCAGTTTCCGATGCTTGGAACTTTTGCATTTGATATTTGAGATTTTTTTTCATATTCAATTTAATAGTATACAGCAGATAACAATTATGTAATTCTTACCTAAACTTAGGCAAGAATACATAGATGGAAATTTTGCATGTTCACCGTCACCCTTCATCCTATCTTTAGATGTCTACTATTTTTTCTGCTTCTTGTTCATTACATTTGTCTTATTTTTTAGTTCATTGATATCCTAGTGTTTGGTTGATCCATATTTCTCAATGAACACACTTGACCATCTTATGCTCTCATTAAATTATAAGACTTTTCTGCTGTAAGACATCTCCCAAGAATATGAATATAATTTTTCATATTGTGTTTGAGTTTGTGTGATCAATCACACATTGCAAGTTGGAAAGGCACTAGTACTGGCATAATGTTGGTAAAAATTTAGTTAGCTTTAGATATTAATACTTGAGTATCTTTTTCTTTTGTATTCATTACTCCGGCTGCTGTCATTTCACTTCTTTTTTGTTTATTGTATTTTATCTATATAGCAACAAAGTAACCGTTACCTGTTTGCTTATTTGAATCTTTCAGAATGTTCCCTATGTATTCGTCCCATCAAAACAGGCACTTGGGCGAGCATGTGGTGTCACACGGCCAGTGATTGCATGTTCTGTAACAACTAATGAAGGAAGTGAACTGAAATCCCAAATTCGGCAACTAAAGGTATTCATGTCGCTTTACTTTAACAATGTTCATGTACTTGTTAAGCGTATTATTAATCATGCTATGTGTCATCATACCAGTCGATCAATTGGATTGTAACTGAGTTCTGGTCAAATCGGTATAACAAAACATGTATTTTAAGTATTATATAATATCTTAAGTAAACTATAACCAAAAATTACCGATCTTATAATAAATCAGGCTCTTAACTAATGGTTATCGTGTTCAATGGAATAAATATGAATTCTGAGATTTTGTGGATGTGCAGGATGCTATTGAGAAGCTTTTAATCTGAAAATTGATATTCGGTATGACGGGCTTCTTGAGTTGTGCTGATTGCTCCTTCAGAAGCTTTGACTGGACCAGTTGTCCTGTTCAACAGGCAAAGGTGTTTCATGTGTAAACTGGTTTACACTGCTACTATTAATTGTCCTGTGCTGTATGTGGGGGGGCTCTTAAGAAATATTTTCTCGTACTTTGGTTAGCTTGATGAGTTCTTTTTTTTTTTCATGAAAAATTACTTATTGTTTCTCCATTTAAGTATGTGAAAAAACACCTGTTTTTGTCAGGTGGAGTTTGCCTAATCTTTTCAGACACAAAATTGAGAATATTGACAGTGGAGCGTAACTCAATTCTTAGAGACACTGAGGTGTTTCGGGACTATATTTTAATAACACAGAAAAATAAAATAGAATACTACTTTCAAATTATTAGTAAATAATAGAATCTGTTCAGTAAGTAACAAACAACAAAATTATTGCTCTTAGGATTGCGCCAAATTTTGACATAAAACGTGCAAAGCTTGCACCAAACGTCCACATAATTCTATTGCGCATCATGCTATCCCAAGTTTGGGTATATCTTTTCCTTTGTGTAAGTTCGTTTCGTTTTCTTTGTTATGGGTAATCTTAATCTACGAATCTATTTTAAATTGCATCTGTCAAATTTGAATAACTTTAACTTTAGTTGTTATCGTTCATTTATTTATTCCCCATATTCTTGTATATGGGTTCTAAATTTTTTAATATAAATGAAAATAATAATTTATCTGTTAATCAGAAAACTGTAGGTACATAATTTTATTTTATTTTATTTCATATACATTTTTTTCCTTTAAATTTTAGTTTTTTATATGAATAATAAAAGAGTTTGGATACTGCAGTAAGTTTTATAATCAATTTTTTTATATATTTTATTTTAATGACAATTACATATATAAAATCAATAGAGTGACTTCAGAATATACTTCCGGCGATAAAAATGAATCATCATAAATGAAATTTAGAGTGTAGAAAAAATTCCTCTTCTCAGTTACTCTGACATTTTTTGTCAAATGGTTCTATCCTTTTAATGATGTTTCTGCTTTTGGCTATTATCTCTTCCAATCCATTGGAATGAAGATTGATTCCACTCGTGATAACATGAATTGAGTTACGAACTTTCGCACTTCTGATAACATGGGTTGGAACATTGATTTCCTGTTGTCTAAACAATACACGTTCTGTCAAACAAAAAAAAAAAAAAAAAAAAAAAATATATATATATATATATATATATATATATATATATATATATATATATATATATAATCACAGTGAACCTATTAACGTCTTTGAAATATAACAATCATTGAGTATTTAAATTTCAAATCTGTATTAAGGAACGAAAAACAGGTTTTAAATCAAATGAATTGTTTTTTTGTTTTTTCTTGAATTGTAATCGCAGTTTAGTTTGGACGCAGGAAAGGACAGTCAGTGGTTTTCCTACCCATTTGACGCAATTTAGCTTTAAATTTATCAAAATAGATAAAATTTGAAAAAACTATTAATATAAAAAAATCGTGCTAGATGGCTTTGTACAAAAATCATCCTATCTGCCACGTTATCATTTTTTTTTTTTTAAGTAAATCGTTATATACCAGATGACTTTGTTATTTTTTTCTTTTTTATTAAAATCATGTTTGTAATACTTTGTATAACTTTTTCTATTCAAACTTATTAATTTATTTAGAGTTTATATATATATATATATATATTAATTATAAAATAATAATATATATTGTTAGGGTTTTATAAGTTTATAATATTATATATTTTAATTATATAAATATTATCTATTTTAATAAATTTAAAACTAACACGCCAAATGGTTAAAAGAACGGGCAGATTGTAGTATGCATTTCCAGAAGCGAATCTAAGGCCGGCCACTCCCAGTGGTTTAACTCGCCAAATGAGACGGACACATACATAAATAACGGAACATACTAAAATTAGTAATTTAATCAATAATCGAAAAAACAAAACCCCGTTTTTTGTCCCGGAATATTTTAGTGAAGAGAAGACTTTGTGATCTTCCACTATGGTTAGTACTTTCTTAGGCCATTGGAAGCATCAAGTTGATATTCTTTTTGCATCTACTACGACGCTTCGCTGACTACAAATACTGAAAGCAATGACTCAAAGCTAACTCATAACGGTTCTATCTACCTTCACCTCATCTTCTTCGTAGAATGAACGAACGCAAGGACGAACGCGTGTGTGTGGATTAGCGTGCTCCTTAAGGTGCGCAGGATATGGAGGAGCAGACTTTCGTGTCGAGAGCGCGGATCGCCTTTCATTCTGCGGCGGCTAAAGCGGAGCGCGTGCTCATGGATTTCAAATCCGATCGAGGTGAGTGAGGTTCTCCTCACGCCACATCGCAACAACCTCTCTTGTGATCTATTTTCTGTATTTCTTTTTTTATTTATTTATTTTTAAACGGATTTGCCTTTTATTTCCTTTCCTTCTCTTTCGTAAATTTACGGAGATTTAAACAATTAATATTAATTATTGTTTTCGGAATTTGCATTGACTCAATTTGTTGACCCTGAAGAAGATCACAATAAGCCATTGTCGCCGGAAGCTGATTCTCCCAAAAACAACGGAAACGAGTCCAAGGTAATGGCCATGGATCAGATAATTGTTAATTGTTTGTCTTTTGTTTTATTATTTATTTTGGTGTTGGTCATAAAATTTGGGTGATTAGTGTTTAGAAGGGGAAACATTGAATTTAACTACTTCAACCGAGGTAGGATTCGATTTTTGTTTTTTTTTTCCAATGTGTGCACTTTCTGGAGCTACGTTTGCTTATCAAACGACACTACAGTTGTTTGTTTCGTTAGGTTTTAATTTTAGGTTGGAAATTTAGATTTGGATGTATTAAATTCGGTATTTGGTGAACCTGATGAACTCTGATTCGTATTTAATTCGTTCACTCAATGTGTTTTCTCAACTATAGCATCCACAATAAGCCTGAAGGCAACTTCTTTAGTTTTGTTCGCAGTTTGTTGTTGGAATACTTGCGGAACCTATCAAAATGGAAAGTTGTAACTGAGACGTGGGTTTTTTTTTTATTATCTGTTGCAATTTAGTTTTTAATTTATCAAAATGGGTAAAAATCATTTTTTTGTTGTGCTAGGTGGCACGATTCTCTTATATAAAAATCATGTTACCCGGCACACAATGTTACCTGCCACAACTTCAGTCCTCCATTTTTTTTTTCAAGCAAATAGTTTCACGAGATATTACTTTTTCTATTTTTTATTTTATCAAAGTAGTGCTTTATAGTATAATTTGTGTATTTTTTTTTATATTCAAGCTTATTAATTTATTTAGAGATTTTTATATATTTATATTAATTATAAAACAAAAGTATATATTTTTAAGGTTTTATACTTTTATAATATTATATATTCTAATTAAATAATATTATATATTTTAATTATACTATTATAATATATATTTTTTATTTACTATTGTTTAAGATTATGAATTTATAAGTAAAAAAATAAAATTAGAACAATAGTTAAAAAAAATACATGTTATTGTAGTAGACCTTTCTAATTGTGCACTTCGTATGGTTGAGTTTGGAAGGAAAACTGTATTAGGATGAAATTGATCTTGATAGGTTTTTTAAGATGTTGTCTAATTTATATACTGGATCAATGTATGTCAGCTATGATATGTGAGTGAGACAGTGGAATACAATTTGATTGTATACTTTGTCCTCATTCACCATTTTATAGATTTGACAATTTTTATACTTGAAACTCACATTTTGTTTAATATATCTTTGCACTTAGTACATTTTAATATATAGTAGTGTTTTATGAGTAAGACAACAATTTCTTGGTAGTTTGTTAAACTGAAATGAAAATATTAAAAAATGTATTATAATATATTATAATTAAAAAATATATTATAATATTATAATTAAAATATATAATATTATATAATTAACATAGATGATATTATAAATTTATAAACCTTGAAAATATGTACTATTATTTTATAATTAATATGACTATATAAAAAAAACTCTAAATAAATTAATAAGCCTGAATATTAAAAAAAATTACACAAATCGTCATGTCAGGCAAACTTTGGTAAAAGAATAAATAAATTATAGCAAAGTCGTCTCATGTTGAATGTCTCATTTAAAAAAACAAAAAAATAAGACCACAATTTTATATAACATCGGGCCATTTAACATGATTTACCCATATCCTTAATTTTTTTCAAATTTTAGCCATTTTAATAATTTATAATTAAATTGCATCATATGGGTAAACACCCCCACCCCCAAAATTTGTCTTGGATTAAAGACGATTGAAATTTGTTTATCTATTTGACTGTTTTTATGGCTAGCTAGGTACTTATTAGGCAACATTTGTCATGTACTGAGTGGTTACTTACACAATTGTTCTTTGTGATGGGACGATGCAGATTCGCAGTGAATTGAAGCATATAAAGTGGAGGCCTCCACATATAGGAATAAAGCAGGATTGGCAAGATAGAATAAAGAGCATACGGAGAGGGAGAAAAGAAGTTGAAGATACAGATAAAGCTGGGGATGCAAACATGGCAATTCCATTTTATGATGATAATTTGTACACCCTGAATGTGAAGAATGATCTTGATGCCAAGGTAAGAAAATCTGAAACATTTTAACTCAAGGATTCATCTCCCAACTTCCAGCTGTGTGCGGATGATTTAAGTCTCTAAACCAGGAAGATGAGTCCGGAGGTTGTTAGCAAAATCTGATAATGTGTGCAGACTATGAGCATTTTGTTCTCAAAATAGTCTGTGTCCGGTGTGTCATCATCTTTAACAAGAAAGTTCATACGTAAGTTAGGAATGCACGGTATTCTTGTAATAAATTGGTAATGTGTGAGAATTCATGGTGTCCCTCTTTCCAGTAAATCAATTGAAGATACGATTGGGATTTTATTTTATTTTTTGTTTTTAATTATACAAACCGTTTTATTTGGTATATCATTACACACATGGGTTGCTTTAGTGATGTATTATAAAAACTTTGATTCAGGCTTCAGAATTATATCCTTCAGTTGAAAGCCTAACTGCTGCAACTAAAGATCCCATTCCTCCGTCATCTGTACTCAAGCAATTGGCTGTAGCTGTTGAGTAAGTTGTAAATGTTTTTGCTAATATTTTTCCTTATGTTGCTCAGTTTTTCGGCAGCTTTCTGTGAACTACTGAAAGGTTCTATTCAATGTCGTTGCATTCTGTCTATCTGGCTGCAAAATTCTCCTTCTCTATCTGGCTCATATTTGTTGAATTCATGTTATTAATATTATATAGTTCAACAACACAAGAAGCTTGTTCTATCATTCAGAAAGATTTCTGCTCAATAATGGTCTCTTAGTTTTTTTTACCTCTTGCCTAGGGCTGGAAGTAAAGTGAAGTCAATTAAAGATTTTATAGCCTCATCAGGAGGTTCTTCACCTGCTAAAGAGAGGGCAGGCTTGAGTCTCTCTTCTGTGAAGGCTTTAGTGCTACGTGACAAGGACAAACTTACTTCTGAGTTTACTAGCAATGAGAAAGTTGTTCAGTTAATCAATTCTCTGTTTGATCCAGGTATGTGAATTGTAGGTGGCTTGCTGATGATGTAATTACATTGAAAAACCTTTTTATGCTCCTCGTTTTATTTAACCCACTATCTGCAATGATCCTTCACTTTCATTGTAATATTTGCAAGATATTCGCAGAGGGAGATTTTCTTAGAAGAAAGATAAACTCTAATATAGAGGAAACTGCCATGACATCTTTGCCAAGAGATATTCATGGTGCTCCTGCTGAAAGCCTTGTTGTTAAGCTAGCTGAAATCCTTGGAAACTACAAAACTGTCCGTAAAATGGCTCTTTTCTGGTGCAGGGTTGTTGCTGAAGTATGTTTATCTTCAAAAGAATTCCTAGTTCAACTTATTCATACTTTACCCAGAGCTCTAGATTTTATTTACACTATTGATCATATATTTTCAATTATATATTATCTGAAGTAACTGGCAGTTTAAGGGCTTATGATCTTAGTAACAGAGTGAATCATCATTACTAGATTAATATCTTCTTCATCTAGAAAACATGATTTGGCAGCAAATAAATATGCAAAATCACTTGTTGCCATACTAAGAAGTTCCATATTTTATTTCCTACTTGTTTTTTATTTTTAGTTGTTATTTTAGAAGTTTGAGAACTTCATTATGCTTGAGGAGTTGAGCAGTGAAGTTTTTCCCTTCTTGTTTTTATGTTTTCTTTGTTCTGGTCTAATAATGTTTGCATTTAGTTATCCTTCCCTTCCCCTTTGCAAATAAATAGAATATGTGGAAAAGGAACCAGCGGATTGTTCATATGCTGTTATTGGAAACTTAAAGAACTCAATCTTGTACTACAAATTTGTTTGCCTTTTTTTCCTCCTCGGATCAGCATGTCCAAGAAAAAAGAAGTCATAAAAAAACATCTTCTGTTTTAGGATCTGTTATTTTGTAATGCTACTTTTTTTTAATTACGACCTAAAGAAGAATTTTATAAACTTATTTATTTATTGATACAGCTAAGAAAACTTTGGTCTGAGGAGCAACACATACCGGGAGTCCCACAGAATGAGATTCCTGATTTGAAGTCATGTCTTCTCTATCAACATTTTCAAGTAATCAATTGCTGCATCTCTCGGAAAAGGTTCCGTTTTATTGCCACTGAATCTCTAGACTCTATGATGATGCAAGCTAGTTCAGACACAAAAGAATCATCTGATTATAATGCTGGAGCTCCTGCAAGCCCTGTTCTATATGCTAGATTAAATACTGGGGAGCTTGTTCTACGACTTGGTGCAGATCGTCTTGCTGGAGATATAACATTGTTGGAAACTGGCGAGCCTGTCTATTCTCCAGTCACCCAGGTATGATAAATATTTAATTTTTCTATATAATTACTACTTAAACTCACTCTTATAATTGATATCTTTGGACTATTTTATGTAGGAAGGGCCTTTGCTTACAGAAGATCTAATCAGGGAAACAGAGGAGTTTGTGCTGCGGACAGGGAGGTCTGTAAGCTATCTTCTGTTCATCTTTGACCCATCTATTATCTCAAATCTAAATGCATTCTTCGTTTTCCTTATATAGTGTATTGATCCCAATAAACAGTTTTGTATCATGAACTTTTTTCATTAAATAATCAAACACTTCTTGCTTCTTTGGCTCTTCATTGCTTGTTAGATGTGTTCGTGTATACCTTTGTGAATTGTTTCACACGATCTAAACCTACGAATATGACCTATTGACTCACATCTAGGCTATGTCGAGGACCATGTCTGTCGAGCTAGAGTCGGAAACTATGACCTGTGTGTGGCCTTTTTATTCTTTTAATAGTTTATAGAATTTGCATTGGTGGCCTAGTTCATCATTGATGATCGTATAGCTGTTTCTCATTTGATTACTAAGTTACCTTTTATGGTCAGTGTTGGTGCTGGGTGTTCTCAATTGCTCTCGGATATGCAAGCTTTCAAGGTAAGACTCTCCCTTGAAAGGAATTTTTCGTAATGGTATTCTGAATTCTCCTTACTATATTGAATGTACCTAATGTTCTGTCTGAGTTAGTTCTGTTTGTTATCATATTTTAGGCCGCAAATCCTGGATGTATTTTGGAGGATTTTGTAAGATGGCACTCTCCTCCTGATTGGACAGACAATGAGGCAAGTGCCGAGGATAGCGATGTTTTTGATAGTAGTGAGTTATTGTCTGCCAAAGGTCAGCTCAGTCGGCGTATGCAAAAAGAAGGTGTACTTTTAGTCTTTTCCATCTTGAATTGATACTTAAATTCTGCTGCAACTATTTCGTGGTCTATTTCTATGCCAATGGACCATCAACATCTGATAAAATTGTGGATTTACTTTGCTTTTAAACAAAATATTTTGTTCACTGTATCTTGCCACCAACTGCGAGTAAACTTCTGCTATATGATTTGGGGAGTTGCAAAGGTGTGCATGGAATATTCACTATACATGATGAATTTTTTATTGCAGGTTTATGTAAAAACTTTTGAGGCTAACTGGTCATTTTTGGTCCTAGAATGTTTAACTGTATAGTTTGAATGTTGAATTAATAATTTCATCGTCTGTGAATTCAATTGATATCAGAATAGATAATCAGGTTCATAATCCTAACTTACTTGGGCAAACGTCAGAATTGAAAGTGTTGGCACCGTATGCCTTAATATCTATAACATTTCTGTAAGATATATATTGCCTAAACTGGATATTATATGGTATCTATTGTAAAGAATTATGCAGACAAATGGATCTGAGTAATGTCTTACTTTTGTTTTAAGCCCACAAAATCTGCATGAAACATGGAACTGTTGAGACTTATTTTCTTCTGATTTCATACTGTTGAAACTTCTCTGAACTTCATTACATGTCAATGATAGGTAATTTGTGGCGTGAATTGTGGGAAACATCAAAACCAGTACCTGCTGTCAAGCAGGCACCTCTGTTTGATGAGGATTTGGCAGTGTAAGTTGATTATGAGGATTTTTTGCATTAGTTTATGTATTTCAACCCCAAAGCCATATCTTGAATCCCATTTTTTTTCATTCACTTATAGGGAGGGCATCCTAAATGCATTTGAGGACATCCATCCTCCTGATCTTTTTGGACAGCTGTTTGTTTCTTTAGTAAGTTCATTATTTCATCTTTTATCACATTAATTAGTTTTGTTGTGTATAGATACTAGATAGTTTATTTATTATTGCATAATGGATCTCTAAAGTATTGATATTAGTACTCATGTGGTGTACATTTTTTTAGTTATGTAAATTATGTTTTTTTATTTCTTTGAGTAAGTTGACTGAAACTAAAGCAAATTGTAGAATGTATAGAACAGAATATCTAGGCATTTTCTGCCATCTTAGAGTCATTATATTGGTATGCGAGTTGGGCATGTCCACATGTTCCTTCACAAAAACTTACCTAGAGCTCTTAATATAAGGAAAATTTTTATATATGTTGGCTGCTGGTTGAAAGAACTTTAGATGAACATATTACCTGTGATGTGGGTCAGGAGAGAATGTATTTTCTCCAGGCATTTTATTTGATCATATAATGATTGGTTGGGATGCCAATTGATTACCTCCGCATGTCCATTCACAAAACCACCCTATAGATTTAATATACAAGGCAGCAACATATCCTATGATGGATTTGAAAGAACGTTAAGGTAGCACAGGATTATTCTGTAACACATGCACTCTTGCAGTTTGGCAATCCAGACATATCTGTTAGTCCATAATCAGTAGATGTTGGTATCGCGCAGCGAATGTTTGCATTAAGACAAAACCAAGGGGGGTGAATTGGTTTTTTATAAAAATTATCCCTTTTTAAGAATTTTCACAAGATTTTACCGATTAAAAGATAATATAATAGAGTACTTAAAAAGTAAAGAGATAAGGGAAGAAGATTACACAAGTAATTTATACTGGTTCGGATCAAAACACCCTACGTCCAGTTGTTAATCACTCTAAAAGAAGATTAACTCAGTCACTAAAATAATGGTTCTCAAAGAAACAGATTACAAATAGTAAAGATTAGAAAACACCTCTCTTGAGTCACACAAGAGATGAACATCTCCTTTGAAGCCACAAAGGATGAAGACAGCTTTCCTAGAGACGGCACAACACTCAATCCACTGAGAAACCCACTCAATGATTCTTATCGCTTCTAGCCCACTCTAAGTTTTCAAAGTCCATTTTTCTTCCCTACTCAAAGTTCTCTCAGCAATCACAATTTTTAACTTTCGGAGTATGAAAAATTTTTGTCATTTTTCTGAGAGCATGAAAATCCTTTAAATAGAGTTTTAGGGTTTTCGAAAATTAGGTCTGAAATTCAAAATTCAAATTCATAACTGACACAGATAATCAATTATCATTAGTGATAATCGATTATCACAGAGCCAATATAAGAAAATCAATTTTGTCCAGGATAATCGATTATCCTGAGTGATAATCGATTATTGCAGAGCCAATTTCGAATTTAAATCCTTAACAGCCATAGATAATCGATTATCCTCAGAGATAATCGATTATTCCAGAGCCACTTTCAGAAAACTTAAAGTTTATCCAGGATAATCGATTATCCTGAGTGATAATCGATTATTCCAGTGTGACATTGATAAGAATGAAGCTTTTGTGGACAGACTAAGTGATGGTTATCATGAACTCTATTTTTACCGACTCAAAATGACAAAACAGAGTTATTACAAGCAATTTCAAATGTATATACGTCTTCTAATCTTGAAATCTTTTTATCTTGAATCATTATCAAAATCTTTAGTCACCATATCCTTACATTTTCAACAGTAGAGAATAACCTTATGTGTATGGTAGAGTCTGCTTCTTAAAGTAATTTCTGAGGTACAACAAACTAATATGCTACCACATAAGTGCAATTTTTACCGTCCTCCTCTGGTTGATGAAGAATCATAAGTTCCTGCAGAAGTAAGACTTGGTGTCTTCTAGTACTCTATTGAAAACGGAAATCCCCTCTGAGAAATCTTTAAAGTTGAACTTGTGGAAGAGTGACTTCGTGGCCTTAATCTTATGCAATCTTAGAAACATTTGCAAAATCAGGGAAGATATTTGAATAAATTATGCATGCACTTAATAATACTGCTATTGAAAATTCTCATAAGAAGCATATTATGCTATTTTAAATTCTTTCTGATCTACTCTCAATGATCATTTCATTTGATAAAAATACCCTTCATTATTCATAATCTGTATAAATTTTAATTATTTTAAGAAATAAAATTAACACTACTAAAGCATTTGTTAGTATAAAAATACTTTTGTGCTTTGACTTTGCTCCAACCACTTCTAAAGCATTTGTTAGTGTAAGTTCTTCATTTTCTGTGTTAACTTGGCTCAAATTAGAGCATCAATTTTCCATCGTGGTATCTGGTTATGATGAGGGTCCTACATCAAAAATTTTGTTTTGAGAAGAAAGGGAAACGAAGAAGGAAACTATAAAAACGTACTTAATCATCTGCCCATATAAATTTAAAGGAGATGAAATATAGTATTACTTTTACTATTTTGCTGTGTAAAGAGGGTGGGAAAGGCTTTTGTTGTTGTGAGGAAGGGGTTGTTCTTCTATTTACGTAGGACTAATAGTAATACCCTGTGTCATTCAATGAAAAATGATAGCCTTCACTGGAATAGGTGCACTGTCAATTAAATACAATAAATAATAAACATCCTGGTCTCTTTTTCGTAATAAAAGAAAATGTAAGACGAGCATTTTAGTAGGAATCCTGTCTGATCAAACTTTTAATGAGCTCCTTGCCATACAGTTTTCAGTAGTATCGGCTGTTAAAAGTTTTATGAGGATTAAAACATTTTCACTTTTATGCCATCGTTTTTTGCTGTGAAGAAATATAATTGTTCTCAAATTTTAACTATTTCAGAATTTTTAAATCACAAAGTATTATGTACAAAATATTGCTTGGTTGATGAATTATTTAAATAATCCTGTAACTTTGTAAAGTTTCTAGATAGAAATTCACCCTGTTCTTCTTTGAACAAGTTGTCTCAATTGACTGATATCTTTTGATGCTTTTACTATTTATATACATTTCTAATCACAACATTCGGTTTTAATTGTATAGCTTGGTTTAGGGTTGGCAATTGCTGAACCTATGCTGTCTAGTAACAGTGACTTCTCGAAGTTATTCTATGACTGCAAGGAGTACGTAGTTGCCGCTTGTCAAAGCAACAAAATGAATGAGAAAGTTGATGATCTTGTCCAGGTGAGTACTCTTTAGATTGATAGAGTTAATATATAACATATCCCGGAATCCTTGTGAAGCTTCAGATCTCTATGTTGATTAATACCTAATGCATGGTCAATATGGCATATGAAGTGGAGAAAATTTGAACAGTTGTCCTATATAGATAAATTTATAAAGCAGAGCTCTGAAGAAAAAGGAACACTTCAAGACTATCACAATCCGTGAAACTTGTATATTTTATGCATCCTACCTTCCAGAACTATAGTTTCTTTATTTTTAGCACACAAGCTTGATAACCCTACCTGTAAGCCCATGGGGAAGAAAATGATTCCACCGAACATGTAATTGATAACATAACTGTTGGTAGTTGATTTTATAAGCAACTATTTGGTAATAATATAATTCATTAGAGAATTTAATGTTTACATTCCTGCGTAGGCATACGAAACAGTGGAGAGAATGTTATTGAATCCTGAAGAAGCATTAAAGATGATTAAGCAGACTGAGGAATCAACCATGGTTACTGATGAAGCAAAGAGCCCGTTGAAGAGACTTGGCCTTATCTTTGGCGGCAAAGATAAACTAGTGAGGAGGTCTTTGTCAAAAGATCAAATAAATGATGAAGATAAGTCTGGTCGACAATCACTCTCAAGTTTCTTTGACAGCAAGTCATCTTTGTTTTCAAAGAAACCTCCAAAGTCTGGATCCCCTCCTCCTTCTGAGAAATCTTCTCTAGATACTGGTTGGACAGTTGTATAGACAAAAGTCATCTTCACTGTGTTTATAGAGGATACGGAATATTTTTTGGGTTCCCCCTCCCCTGCAGATAACTGTAAATTTTCTTTATTCTTTTTCCAAAAAACTTGGTTGTTAATACTTCATTCTTTTTCAAGGGAATTGAAGATAAATATTTTTGGCCTTTAGTAAATATCATTTTTTTTTTGTTTTCTCTGCCTGCCTATACGTGTACTGTTGGAGCAGAGGACAACTCTTTGTAGGAGGAACTCGGTGATGGCTCACTGATTGTGAAGTTCCCGATAAGAAAAATAAATAATAGAAGATTTAAAAAAAATTATATCCTGATAGATGTAAAATGTTTCTTACAATACTTGCTTTTATGTAGTTTAGTCTTTGCCCGATAGTAATTAATCTATGTGAATTTATGCGAAGAGAAATTGTATCTGCAGATAGATATTGTTGTAGTTGTTAGGAAAAGAGATTGTGGAATAAAAAGTCCAATGTGATAAAGAGACATAATAAGCTAGAAAATTGACATGAAAGATGGTTCACGAGAAAGAACTTTTACATTGATGGTGTGAGATGCACTTTTAAGTATAATTGTCTGTACAAACAGATGAAAAATAATCATTGATTATAAGCATCTTTAGCATTAAGAACTTATATTATTAAATATCAACCAACTTATTAATTTTTTTGGTTTTTGTCTGTTAAGACAGGCTGTAAACCACTGAATCGGGGGAACAATTTTGGTTCGGTGAGATTGTAAACGCAGCCAAGTCTAGAATGGCTAATAATAGAACAATAATTGCTAATGGGCAACACAAATGACTCCGAGATGTTTTTATCATCTAAATGCAAACAAAGATAAAACACATTGATCTGATACAATCATTTATAAGGTTTGGCCTCCGCTTGCTCGCCAACTACTACCTGTCTATTCTTCATCTGCTCCATCTTCATCTTCCTCGTCATCCTTTTGCTCTTCGTTTAATTTATCATGTCCCTCTTCATTTTCTATTTCATCATTTTCATCATCTTCGTCGTCCTTTTGCTCTTCGTTCGACTTATCATATCCGAAAGTGTTGGTAAGGATACCTGGCACGACAAAATTCGCTATGAAGTACATTGATAGAAGCACACCACTGCAATGCATAAAGAAATTTTGAGTTAACTTCTACACTTTACCGTGACGGTCAAAGAATGACTCCTCTTGGTGTCAACAACATTAACATAATTAAAAAATAATGTAAGATTTAAAAAAAAATTGTATCTTTTAATAAGATTGTAAGTATTAGAGGATGGTTGTTAAGAGAAACAAAGATACTAGACCTTATTGGGAGTAAGGCTGACATGTCACCCGATTTGGCTGGGGGAACAACCATTACATGTGGGAGGGCCTTGGCAGTTAATGGACTTGTCGAAGGTAAGTGGAGACCTAGTAAAGGTTGGTGTGTAGAAAGCCAAAATAGTTTGGAGGTGTGACTTATATGATGTAGCTGCGGTTTGAGTTTTGCATGCAAGGGAAACATTGGAGATTGGAGCTGAAAGCACCTCATGGAGTTGTTTCACTTTGTTCCTCTATGTGGTGTTTGGAATTGGGATAACGTTTGGGTCTGAAAGGATATTTTTAGTAACATATCATCTTTTCTGTAGGGTCCCATATTTTAGTTTACATTATACGCTCTCCCTCAGGTGGGCTTTGCCTAATCTTTTCAGACCCAAAATTGAAATAAATGTAGACAGTGGAGCACGTAACTCAATTCTTAGAGACTATATTTTAAAAATATAGAAAAATAAAATATAATACTACTTTAAATTATTAGTAAACCTGAAAATGAAATAATTTTTTATCAAATAGATTTAAAATTACGTAAAAAAATTAGTTTTTAAATCAAATTTCTCCCAGTTGACCAAATTTTTCATTAAATTCATTATAAAACAACCATCTAACCCTGTATAACATCTTCAGAATTTACAAACATTATAACATCACCTTAATTCTAATATTCATTTAACAAAATAATTTTAATTAACCTAAATTAATTTTAATTATATATATAATAATAATTTAACTTATAAATTATATAATATATATGAATAAATAATATTGTTTTATTTTATGAAAACAATTAACCTAAAAAACCTGTGAAAGTGTCCATCTAAGTTTAAAAAAAAATTATAATTTTTAACGTGCAATATTTAAAATCCCTATTAATACACATCTCATTCACATTATCTCATCCTTAAAATAATTTTTAAGATGTGCTGCTCCAGGAGTAACAACAATATATCCCTTGAAAAATTGAAAATCACATTTTATTTGACCAGAATTTTGAAAACATGTAAATCTCATGCATCAAAAATTAAAATATTTGAAATTTGTAGAAAATATTCTCAAGAAAATTGGTTATATTCCCATTCCCCTGTTGAATAGATCCACAAACTTAAAATTAATTTTTTAATGGGAAAATAAATTATTATCAGGATCCAACTAAATATGGAATTTACAATTTAATTAATACTTATAAATATTTTTTACTATTTATTTAATTATCTCAAATACAATTAATTCTCTTCAGATTTTATTTTCTTTTATTTTCTCTGTCAAATAAAATTATACAAGCTCTATCATATTTAATTAAAATTTGTATTATATAAATATTTTAGTTTTTTATCCTAATTAATTAACTCTCTCTCTCTCTCTCTCTCTCTCTCTATATATATATATATATATATATATATATATATCAATTATTTGTATAGTATAATATATATTTTTATAAGAAAATAAAATATTTTAGTTTATATGTTACTTGGTCCGATAAAATAGATCAAATGAACTTCTTTAATTCCATGAACAAGAGACAGAAAAAAATGGATTACTATAAAAATTGATTTTAAATAGATAGTATATTGATATCACTATAATGTTTAAAAAAGTTGGTAACAGTTCATTTGTAAAACTATAATTTAAAATAAAAATTAACTTTATTAACCCATTTTTATATTTATTGATATATATTTTAACATACAATTACACAACAAAAAATTAATTAGTAAATGTAGAGAGAATTGATTTAATTAATATTATATTATTTTATTGATTTCGTGTTATTATATTTTATTGATATAAATTATTTCAACCTATATCTCATGAATTATACCTAACGTAAGAAATAGAAATGAAAGAAAGAAAGAAAAAAAAAAAAAAGAATCTGTTATACTTGACTGACTGAGATATTTGACTTTGATAAATTGACAGAGAAATTAGATATAAGAAATGCAAATTTAGAAAAAAGAAAAAAAAAAAACTAAAACTAAAAAAAAACTTAGTTATATTTGACTGAGATGTTTAACTGTGATAAATTGATAGGATATAAGAAATGCAATTGTAGGAACAAGAGAGTAAAATATTATTCTTCAGACCTTAGTTGGCGGCCATTTCTGTTCCATCATCATCATCAACCCTACCTTTTGATCTACCTTTCCCGATCAGGTTTTTGTTGTTCAGTATTCATTCTCTATTCTTCAATCTTCTATACTTCCTTTTTTCATTAGCAATTCTATTATTGCAATATCGCAAATCTGCATCTAGAATGGTTCAGTAGGGCGAATCATTGATGTTCGTTTTGAAACGTGATGAACATGTGTTTGTAGTTTATAATTATTGATTTTGTGATTTTGTTGGTTGAATTTGGTATTTGTGAAATTAGGTTTGAATTCCGGAAGAAGAATTAGAGATTTCTAATAGTATAATCATGTTTGGTGTCGTACGGCGAAGGGTTTCTGGCAGTCCATCTCCTTGGGTAAGAACTCAGTTTGTAAATGTGAATGTTTCTGTGTTTATCATGGATTGATGTTTATGTTTTAGCAAGCTTAATAATACCTGTTTTGTATCTGTTTCAGCTTCTAGGTCAGAAGATTCGGTCTGGCCTCTCTGTTTCTCCCAGAGTTTCTCCCGCTTCTGTCGGCAAAGAGGTGTTTATTTTTTTTTGCATCTTAATTGTAAAATATGCCACTACTCATATCTCTTCTACTCATAACGATACTGATGATTACTCAACCCTAAACCCTAAGGGTTAAAATGCTCTTAGTTTCATATCATTTTATGTAAATGTGTCATATCATATTGGTCTCTATTCCCTGAGAGACTATGAGGATACCATTTTATTTTTAAGGTCTATAGCCTAACATTTCTATATTTATAGAAACTAAACATATTGCCATATTGGAGATGAGTTTAATGTATGCAACTTCACAATAGAATTTGAAATTAATGATTGTAATATTTTTTGATAATTTTATTTTTTCATTTGAAATTAATGATTATAATGTTTTTTGATAAAAATTCTTTTTTGACTTGAAAAAACTTCGATGCCCATCTGTTAAATTTCAATTCATGTTCTAACCTTTTATTTTTAATGTGATGATTGATTTTTCTCATTGATATCTTTGTTATAATGGGTTAGGTTTCAGAATTGACTTGTTATTCATATGCTTTTTAAGTTTCTCACAACTATTTGCTATTATGTTCAACAGATTCCGTTTCACTCAGGTGATTGTGGATTTGTGAGGAACTTCTGTAATATAAAATCTGGTAATGTTGGGTATATTTTATTTTGTAAACTAATTAGATGGTATTTTCTTGATTACTTAAATTATTTCTTCTATTTTGCTATTTAATTCATCAATTTTGTTGCTGTTGCAGGATGCTGGAATAATTCTAAGGCTACTGTAAGGTTAGTGACACCATGTCGATAGTCAATTCCAGGCTTTATTTAAGTATTGCTTTGGGATTTTATTTAGTTAGGTAGAAAAGTTCTAAAAAATTGGAAAATGAAATTGTAAGGGGTATACTAGGTCAAGCATCTTGGGTCTTCCTTGAAACTAACAAGCACATCTGAAAACATGTTTGTTGTGGTAATAGATATGCTTAAAATTAGCTGAAACTCTAAACATAAAATCAAGCTCTCGAACCAGGTCTTCAAACATTAGAATTTTTAAATTTCCTTAAGAAAACAAAGAGTTAGGAGAGAAATTAAGTAATGTAGAAAGATTTTCTGTTTCCACCTTTTTCAGGATAGAGAAAAGTGAAATAGTAATTAAAATATGTGTAGAAAAATAAAAAATTGGAATTATTTTCAGTGCCCTAGCCAATTGAATCCTTAGTTTTAGTTGCAACCTATGATGCACCTCCGATACTGATTCACTCCGATATTTAAAAAATTTGTATCGAAAAAGCATTGGAAAAAAAATCCAAACAAAAATAGAAACAGAATAACAAATATTTTTTTGTTATTATTATTGTTAAATTAATCAAAACAGATTTGAATTATTTAAATATGTATCTCTTTTCCCCAACATTTTATTTTAATAATTATATATAATTTTTTTATGAATTATATATATATATATACACACACACACACACACGTATCTTAAACATATTGTATCTTATATTTTTTTAATATAAGATGAATCGCCGTATTGTATCCGATATTCGTATCGTATCTGTGCATCATAAGTTGCAACAAATTTCATTACCAATATTTCTTGCCTTTCTCAGTTTTATTTGGTTTTTGCAAATTTTACACTTTTTCCTCTACTTAATGCATAGATTGTCCATATAAGCATTCATATCATGTTGTCATCTCATATAATACTAAGTATTCAAACAAGGTGGTGTTATTAAGGGCATTGGATGTCCTGGAGATATAATTTGAAATTGCATATTTTTAACTCCCAGTGGCAATTTCTGTATTTTTGTTTCATTTCATCAGACTAATTCTGTTGATAATCTTTTCACATGGAGTTTAATGCCAAATCATTAATTAATGAGTCGATGGAATGGAAAATATATTCAATTTTTCACCCAGTGACACTGTTTTGATATTGTGTTTTTGTTATGTAGGGTGGTTTTTCATCCAGAGACAGCTGTTCGAACATGGGGGCGTCCATTTTCTTCAGACAGTGGTGAGATATTGGCATGCCTATAATTATGTATTTAAAGTTTCTTTCATTCATGAAGGATAACCGAACACATCTCATGCATTTCATATGTTTAACTCTGAAAGTTCGATGAAAGAGGAGAGCATCCGTGATTATGAAAGGGCATTGCAATCTTTCCTTATAAAAGGAATATATTATATATTGTTTGTTGTATTTGTTTGTAAAGGTAGGACATCTACCAAGGTTTAGTATGGTTAGAATTAGTAACAATCAGTGAGTCTGTTGATTTCATAATTTTCGTTATGGTTTTGTAGTCTCATGTTCAATCTACATGGGCTATATATTATATTTGAAATTTTATTGTTTATATTTTGAGTACTATGTAGATGGAGCTTATACGAAGGAATTTGGTGAATGTTCTAAATTCCAGTTTCACTTTTTTTGTTAGAGTCTAGTATCTGAGACCAAATTTGTTCTCCTGGGAAGAAATAAGATTTGATTATTCATGCCATTCATTTATATGGTCTTTAGATTTTTAATTAACATGTCTTTTTCTGGCTTTTGATTGGTAATATTTTTCTGATGGTAACTGCCATTTATATTTGTGACAAAGGAGATACGGTTGATGTCATGGTCCCTCCTCTGGCTGAATCTATCTCTGATGGAACCCTGGCAAACTTTTTGAAGAGTATGTTAATCCTCGTATATGTTTTTGTTTTCATCTTTTTGAATTTTTTTTTTATGAATTACTGTTGATTGACTGCCATTTTTTTTTTATAAATGAAAACAGGGCCCGGTGACAGGGTTAATGCTGACGAGCCAATTGCTCAAATTGAAACAGATAAGGTGTCATGTTGATTTTAAAATATTTGTGAAGGATTTTGATAGTTATAAACAGTTCTGATTTCTTGATTTCAGAATAATTAAATGCTATATTTTGTTCTTATTTATTAATTAGGTCACAATCGATGTTTCAAGTCCTGAGGCAGGTGTGATTCTGAAGGTACAGTTTCATTGGTTTAAATGGTTTTTAATCCCCTCCAACCACCCCAAAATGATAGAAATTGTTGTTTGTACTAAATTTGCCTTGTCTGATCTATTTAATTGTTTGCAGTTTCTAGCCAATGAAGGGGATACTGTTGAGCCAGGTAACAAGATAGCAATCATTTCAAGATCTGGTGACGCAACTCATGTTGCTCCATCTGATACTACATCTGAGAAAGCCGCTTCTCAGCCAACCCAAAAGGTTAGTGAGGAGAAGAAAGCTCCCAAAGTTGAAACTCAACCTGCTAAAGAGAAGCCCAAAACACCTCCGGCCACATTGAGTTCTCCCACTGAGCCCCAACTTCCTCCCAAAGAAAGAGAAAGACGGGTGAGGCATTGTGATTTTTTGTCCTACCTGAATTATATTTAGCACCCATGTGAGTTATTTTGATTTCTTTGTTGGTATCAAAGGTTCCTATGACAAGGCTGCGGAAACGAGTTGCTACACGACTGAAAGATTCCCAAAACACATTTGCTATGCTGACAACCTTCAATGAAGTTGATATGTAAGTTTTGTTGATTTTGAAGTATAGCAATATTAAGTTTTGTTGATTTTTGAAATATAGCAAAAGCTTTGAATATTGCTTAAGTTTTCTCCCCCATGTTTGGATAAATATTCAGTACTATACATTATTAGATTATAGATATAATGGAATTGCCTAAATTCAATGAAGTCCTCAACTCGTGGTCTGTTTGGTATGTCTATGATACACTGGGAAGTCTTGGTATTTCTGTTAATCTCTCTTGGTCTTTGTGAGATCAACAAAGCTATGTAGTCTCTTAAATTCTATTTGCCAGAGTTTGTGTGTATTTTTTTCGTTTAGAACAAGATAGGGCATGGGGTGACATACATATGCATTGGAGGCGAAACCTTATTCCCATCTTAGATTATGTTTAATTTTTTTGCTCATCCATACACATAATATTACATTATGTGACTTTGTTTCTATGTTACAACACCAGTATCACAGGACATTCTGTTTAGGGGAGGATGTAATTCAGTTATAATATATGGACTCCATGTATTTAATTGTCAATTCTTGATGTTGTATTTCCTGTCATGTCCTTATTTAGTGGATTATTCTTTCTCTTATTACTCTCCTCTTAATGATAGGACTAATTTGATGAAGCTCCGATCTGATTATAAGGATGCTTTTGTTGAAAAGCATGGAGTCAAATTGGGACTTATGTCTGGCTTTGTTAAGGTAAGTTTTCTAATTACAGAAGTATTTAGCTGGTTTTTATCTTTTCTATTTCCTCATATACTTTTTATATTCTCCATGTTAGGCGGCTGTCAATGCACTCCAACATCAACCAATTGTCAATGCAGTCATTGATGGGGATGATATTATATACAGAGATTATATAGATATCAGCATAGCTGTTGGTACTCCGAAGGTTTTTACCTGCCACCTTTACCTTTTCTCATTTACTTTGCTTATGTAGAGAAATCAAACAATATCCGTAATTCTGAACAATTATTAACCCTCGTTTCCATCCCACATCCCAGGGCCTTGTTGTTCCGGTTATCCGCAATGCTGATACTATGAATTTTGCTGATATAGAAAAGCAAATCAATGCTTTTGCTAAGAAGGCAAATGATGGAACTTTATCAATTGATGAGATGGCTGGAGGCACTCTTACAATATCCAATGGTGGTGTTTATGGGAGCCTTTTGAGTACTCCTATTATCAATCCCCCTCAGGTTTGGAAGTTCTACGACGATAAAATTTATTATATATTTCGTTTTCTTTAATTCTGTATGACTTTGATACATATTTGAAACTCTTTGTTTTGATAGTGATAGTCTAAATCACTGATTGTTTTCTTTCTATCTTATTAGTAATTTGGTTCAGGCATTGTTTGCCATTTAATGAAAATGGTCATTCTTTTAGTGTCCACTCGTTCATCAAAATGCTATTTTTTTTTTCACGAAAAGATCAGTGTAATTCAAAATCAAGTTAAATTCTCTGATAATGATGCAAATAATGGTTAACAATTAGATAGTGAACTGTGAATAATTATTTAGAAATAAAACTCACGCAGCTATTGTTTTTTGCAGTCGGCAATCTTGGGTATGCATTCCATCGTGAGTCGTCCGACGGTTGTGGGAGGAAATATTGTCCCAAGACCATTGATGTACGTTGCTCTGACATATGACCACAGAATTATTGATGGGAGAGAGGCAGTGTTCTTTCTGCGACGCATCAAAGATATTGTGGAGGATCCTCGCAGGCTTCTGCTTGACATATAATTTTATTGGTTTTAATTAAACATCAAAATTCAAATAACATAATGGGTACCAATAGTTTGGATTTTGAATTGCGGCTACTTTTTCTGCCCACTATGTACAATTTTTGGCTTCGGAGTTGTATGACACTATACGTAGGGATTGTCCCTGAACTAATAATGCGATTTATTTTCTATGACAATCTATGCTACAATATTTATTTGCCGATGAAATTTCAGATGCGTCTCATGATTTGGTATCCAACATTATTATATCAAGAATACATTTAATTTGCTAGAGTGCCTGTGTTATTGTTCTATATGCCACAAATTGCAGTGTCACCAAGATTATGATGGTTCCGAGTCATCCTAGGATAGTACAATGGACTTTTACTGTGAGAATTACTTCTCTTATAACAAATAGTTTATGTTTGCGGCAATCCGAAAGATGAAAATAAATGAAAAATATATCCTAGTGTTATTTTTTATCATTACTGCGAGAACATCTCCTTCACGAAATTCTATTAAATTATGTATACTTACCTTTAACTACTTATTTCATTGAAGAATTTTAAAACAAAGTCTGAAATTTAACAAACCCGCCACATTTATTTATTTTTGTCAAAGTTAAAGAGTTTTAAAATAAAGTCTGCAATTTGCCTAATCCTTATCTACTACATTTATTTATTTCTGCCCATATTTTTGTGTTTAAGAGCTCTATCACTCATACCAAATTGAGTTAAATTATATCTCATTTTGTTGAAGTGATTTTAAATAAAGTGTGCAATTTGCCAAACCCTTAACTGCTACATTTATTTATTTCTGTCGATATTCTAATGTCTAAGAAATCTATCAAATTTCCTATAAAAACATGCGTCTTCGGTAATCAAGGCAATGTTATATATTCTCAAAGAAAAACTGAAAAGACAGGTAATTGATCTGGGAAGGCAGAGATCATACTAGCTTGCAGGCGATATCCAGTTTTATTCTCATCAATCGTGTTGCCGTTGATTGCTCTTGTTAAAAGTTATTCTGAACCTCATCCGGTCTTGGAAAGGAAAGCATGGCATAATTCTTGGCCGAACCTCACAAGTCTCCAAAAGTAGCTTATAAGCACATAGCCTCAAAGTCTGAATCAACCACAGAAATCAACGTTCAAGTAATTCTACAAAGATGATACCACTTTTATTCATGCTTTTGTTTATCCAAATGGCATTAATCTTAATATTATCCTTTTCAAATCCAATCAGAAAATTGGTGGTGAAGGTGCTAGACCTTTCGAAGCAGGGGAGGGGCCCCTTGGTCATAAAAACTGTGGCAGCGACCATGCTTGTGGTCTTCACCTCCACCGTGTACACTATAACTGAGATCCAAAAGCGGATAAAGGATGCTGGCATTGTTAACTCCACTGACGAGGTTGTCGTGGCACAGCGTCTCTTGGAAGCATCTATCTTGGGTAATTAATTACTTCAAAAATAAATTCCTTATTTCCTTACAATACCTGCATTGCCATTTCTATCAGACTCCATAACAAGAGTGGTTCTTAACTTCTCTGAAAGGTGACATGATGGTTACTTCATCAATATTTCACAATTCAATTTTACCATTTCTTCTCATTCTCATATATTATGTGCAGAACATATAACTTTAAATCCCATAAAATGGTAATTTTTGGGCAGGATTCTCTCTATTTCTTGGATTGGTTATCGACAGACAACATTATTATATTAGGGAGATTAATTTACTGAGGAGGAGCTTCGAAACAGCGAGAAAACAAAATCTAGGTACTGACTCGTCAAAGAGAAGAGTGGCAGTGGAAGATGAGAAGCCGAAGGTCAAGTAATGGAGTGTGAGAAACAGAACAGGACTAATTCGAAGGAGGCCATGATCTGTCTTGAAGCTTGAAGATGTAAAGTGTCCCTGTTGGACTCTGCAACTCACAATTTAATTCAGCATACCTATATAATTGTTCTAATTATAGTTCATTTAAATTATTTATTTTCCTTTTATTTAACAATTATTGAATATAAATAAGTTTCATATTTGAAGATGAGTGCTTCCATGAATGAGAAAAGCCATAATTATGAGAATTGTAATGATTTTTCTTTTCAAATATACTCAATTCCAAAATATTTTTTCATCAAAACCATTACTAAAATATTAACCAAAATATGTGTCGCTTCAAATCTTGTATCCAAATGCTTATCATTAAAATTATCAATATCATCGAAAAACCAATATTAAAAAAACTAAAACCTAGTTCAGAAATATACTACCCTAAATTGAATTTTGAAATAATTTTTCAACAACATTAATAATTTTGATGATCGGAATTTAGTTTTGTAGAGCTAAATTCTGAATTAACATGGTAACTTAGTCTATTTTGATGATGTAGCTAAGAATTATTTTTGGGGGTTTGAAGAAAATAATTCGGAGTGCAGTATCGATCTTTTTTTTCTTTTTTTTCTTTCCAGTATAATGCTTATGAGTGTGTAGCTAGCAATATTTATTATGTTTAACTGTTTCATTTTGTTGAAGAGGAACTAGCTGGAGGTTTCTTTAACGCATAAAATCATAAATATTGCGCGTCTTGTAGCCATTTCACTTCTTCATATGACCTCAGAAACAATATCATATGAAATTTGTCCTTTTCGTACTAGAAATACAAATGATCGATATATATTAACTTTAAATCATCTTAAATATTGTTATGACAATACTATTAGTTCAGCCATTATTAAGGATTAATAAACAGGATGATACCAAGAGAGTGTTCTTCCCCAGAAAGAATAAAATCAACAGCATATGTAACTGCAACATAACATCATAGAATTCATACCAAATCTTGAAACTGAAACAAACAGTAGCACATGAAAACCTCAAATTCTTATTTCAGAATAACAAGGACACAAATACAAACTAGGGAGAGGTAACATTGAGACCTCATCCACAATCAATTACAATATTTAATCCACTGCAGGTGTCTCTTCGGTATAATGAGGCTGGTTGTCCAGTGGCTTTGGTGAGCCCACTGGAGGCACTGGAGAAGGTGATGGTGACAATGACACTGGCGTTGGTGATGGTGACACCACCACAGGCACTGGTGATGGTGGCACTGGCACTACTGGTGATGGTAACACTGGTACTGGCACTGGCACTGGTACTGGTACTGGTACAGGCACTGCTTGCTCAAAGGCACATAATCCAAATATGCATAACCGTCCAAGGGGGCATACTCTTCCACAGCTCCCACAGTTGAAAATGTTCAGATTTGTGTTTACGCAGAAACGGTTGCAGCATTGACGATTGAACAGGCACCTAAAGTTACATGCCCCACAGTTTTCATTGTCTGAAGTCACGTCCACACAACGGTCTCCACAACACATGGACCTTGGTGGAAACTCTCCTCTGCTACATATCAATGGTCTTCCCGCACATCCAGTGATTTGGTTATCATCGTTCTCCATCAACGATGTTGAGTTAGTGCCATTTTCATGCACTTCTTGTGGTGTTGAATTTCCCTCTATTTTGATCAGCAACAGCACCAACAGCACCATCACAAGAGCTGAAGACTGCGCTTGTAGACTCATCTTGAGGAAGTGGTTTCTGGCTTGAAGGGTTGGGTTTTGGAACCTATATATATAAAGAGAGATTTATTGTATGTAGGTAGCTTGCTTTTCTAACAAGCCAAAGGGGCGTGTTTTTCTTGCATGGTCTTTGTTATGGACGGTGAACGTTGTCTATACATGCGTTTATTATTTGAAGGGAAGTTTTGTCAGCTAGCTCTGCGTTAGTTGGCTGGCTTAACACTTTCATCTTGATCGATCCTCAAAATAAGCTAACGTGCGTGTTTTCGGCATGATGTGATTTACTTTACTGTCACGTTGAAGGGAAGTGATTCACATGAAAACGGAAATGCCTTCAAAAAAGATGGTAACTACCCCATGAAATTCCGTATCAGGTTTTTTTCACCATCAAGTTTTCAACTTTCCAATGTTATCACATTTTAAGAAAATAAAATCTAGAGAAAGAAACGCGCTTTTGAACTTTAAGCAGAATTTGAGGACGCTGAATAAAAGTTAACTACAAAAAAGTGCCCAATTCCCAATGGTAACACTCATCTTATGACCAACGTTAAATTCCTCGTGTCTTATCCAACGTTCATGATCTGATATTCAGACCACTTACACACCTTATCGGCAACTTTATGAAAAGACAAAAGGATCACAATGTGGATGCGCATCCAAGGGTCATAGCCAATTTTATGTTATTAATAGCAAATTTAGTGCGATATGTATGTGGAAGAAGGTAATTCTCACATCACTCTTCGGATGAGATGTTTTTTGTAATTTTGTTGCCGATACAACTTTTTTGGTATCCTTTTAGAATCTTTCATACACCACTAAAGTGTACTTTGCGCATATTCCAAGATATTCTGTGAGAATAAAGCATGTGAATGACCTAAAACTTGGCGAACTTGAAAATAAATGCTCTACACCGTCTGAGGACTATACTCAGCGTAAATCCACACCATATTTTGAACTGGCCCAATAAGTTTGGCATAACCATCTACCACACAAAAATTAAAACACCCTTCTTAATCAATTCTTTCAAAATCAAATAATCAACCTTTATAATTAATTCTACCAAAATCATAAACAATCAAACACAACTTCACAACCAAGAGAAACAGAGAAATATCAAATATTAATATGCATATATACGAACATAACATTTATTACAGAGTTTAAGCCCGAAATACAGCAAGTGAAAACTTCATCCTGAAGAAATACATGCTGCAGTTTGGTTTAGCCACGACAGAGAGTCAAGTCAAGCACTATGATATCCCAAATCACCAACACTACTCAGGTGAGCAGTTATTTCATCAACTTCCACATGAACGATTCGTAAAGGCATATAAAGGTAAATACATAAAACACGTGACCTTAAGGCTCGAGCGCAACACAATACTACAACTTAAACGGTATAATTCAGCAATTATTCTTAGAATACTGCAGATTCGCTGAATTTTGTTCACATAGTAGTAGAGCCTTGTTACTGTAGAACAACACATTCTTGTGAACCAGCAACCACCACAGTAGGGTGTGCACTTGAGTTGACTGCATCAACTTCCTTGTCACATTGAACAGTATCATCCAATTCATCAGAGCCAATGGCTTCAAAAATAAGGTCATTGACTTCTTGAAACCTCTCTTCAGAGAGGGACACCTCTGCAAGAAGCCTCCAAGCATTGCCTTCAGATGCCTCATCATAATCTTTCTTCCTCTTTAAAACCATGTGCCCACTAATTTCCCACACAGCAGGGTTCACTTGGGTGTCAAGAAGCTCAGCATTCACTTCTCCAAGAGCTTGTTTCTCTGCATAACACTGTTCATATATTTGGGTTGGTAAACACCCACATAACTAACGAAAATAGATTAGGAAAATTCATTTAGTTCCAGAGTTAGTTTACCTGTGGTAACAGAAAGACTTGCTTCCCACAGTCAGAAATAAGAACATTGAATGGTATGTTGTTGTTTTGAAGACATATACAAGCATCTGAAACAACATTTGATAAATCTTCCAGAGTATCACCGCCCTCAAAGACAAGACCTCTGACTGGATACTTCAACAGTTCAGATATCTTCACCCCACCATTTAAATTTGCAATTTTCTTAGTTGGGGCCTTCTCAATGGGAAAGGGCAGAGCCAAATAGTAAGCCTGCATATATTCATGTCACAATCATCGTAATTAAATTTGACTACATACAGAGTAGTGTTGAACAACGAAAACATCAACACGACCTATACATATAAGTGGTAATTCAGCAGTATCCAGTACCTGGAAATGGAGATGGTTAATAGTTGCAAAAGCACCCAAGCTGTTGTAACCCAATCGGAAATATGGATTATCAGCTTCCACTGCCATGTGAAGTGCAAGCAGGAAGCTATCACGGTCAATCCTTTGGGGCAAACAGTCGAATATGCGTGGAATCAGCAAAACATGCCCATATTCAATAGGACTGACCTGTTAAGAAAATAAACAAAAATAAACATCATCACATACAGAGCCTAATAATGAACCCAGAAGAACAAAAGCTGGTATCCATACATTGATGGCAACAAAACTGGGAGAATTGTCAACATCAACTGGAGCATTTGGAAAGAATTGGACTTGTCCGTCATCGCTAGCTTCAAACTGAAAGAGGACCTCTTCTTGCCCAACTTTGGTAAAGTTGAATTTGTTTTCATCAAAGGGCTGGAGGACCTTATCAACTCGGAATTCAGTTGGTCTCTTCTTGAGGTGACGACCCTCGTTAAGCTGAGCAACGAAGCCATATTCTCCAGGAATCACCTACATAAAAAAATCACCACAAAACACATCAAACTCACAAACCATACCATCCATATCTATGCAGAGAAAGACAAAATTTAGAAAAAGCAAAACAAACCAAACCTTTGTTTCACAGGCAGTAACATCATAGCGGAAAAGTCCTCTCTGCATGCGATCTTCCCACTGCCATGAAACGGTAAACAACATTTTACACAAAGGGTAACAAGAAAATATTATGTTAACAGTACTGCATCTCCAAAATTCCATGGTTACCTCTCCAAGAAGAAGCGAATCCAGGAATGCTACGGGAAGTTCCCCGCATTCACGCTGAGACAAATCCTTTCCATTAACCTTCTTAAAAGCATACAAAGGCAGCTTTGCATCTGTAAACAAAACAGAAACACAAATCACAAAAGATAAAGGAAAAAAAATGTGTGGTTCATGGATCCAACTCACTTTAGAGGGTAAAGTCAGATATATACCATTTGTTGATGAGAAAATCAATTGTGAATAGTACAAGTATATTCATAACAAATCATGAGTATATTAAAATATCAACTGTTCCTTTTCTTATCAACTACCGCAAATTAGAGATACGTTGGTTTTTTATGTGGGTGTTCTAAAGTCAGTTTAAAAATAAATTCAATTTCGTAACACTTTGCTTATCTTAAAAAATAAGATAATACATTAAATTTTTTGTTAACAAAAAAAAAACTCAGTCCTTCAGATACAAGATTTCAATTACTTTTCCAAACTTGAGTTTAACTCAAATATACATCTATAAACTTTTAATTCCAATACGCACCAAGTAATTTACCCTGAATCACTTTAATAGTAAAATTATAACAGTAGCGAAAGTAAGTTAAAGAGAAAGAGAGACCTGGAATGCAACAAGCTTTGAGGCAATTCCGACCACAACCTCCGACGGGACGAGTAGAGTCTCCAGCGTCGTCTTTTTGGTAGTTGGAAACGACAGTGGGAACCCTTTTGATTCTGAGCATCATTTTGTGAAATCCAAGAAGAAGTGGAAGAAGAAAAAGAAGAAGAAGAAGAAGAACAACAACAAAGAGCGGAAGTAGGTGCGTGTGTTGGGTTAAAGAAGTTGGTTAGCAAGCAGGAGAAAGGAGAAAGAAGAGCTAGCAGAAGGAGGAGGAACCGCCACCAGCGAGGAAGAGGAGGTCGGAGGGGCTACCACCTTCGGAAGGCAGCGCACCACGCCCACCGTGCGGCGAAGGGTTGGCGAGATTTACGCAAACCGCCCGTCGTACAGTTGGGACATGAATGAGAGAGCGAGAGTATCTTAGAATAGCCGTGATGTCTGCAACGCTTCAACCCGGGGTTTCCACCCAATCGCCTCTTCTTTCTCTTTCTCTTTTCTGGATGAACTCCTCAACATGCAAAGTTGAATACTCTCTCGGATTGGGTTTGGACGAGGTGTGTGTGAGAGGAGGAGGTTCCTTCGTTTGTTATTATATAGATAAGAGTTGAGATTAAGAGAAGAGAGAGGTGGTTCACTTCAAGTGTGGTTGTGTTTGAACTTTGTGTGGTGCGTGTACGGAGTGGAATGAATGAATGAAAGAAAATATGGAGAAGGAGAGAGAAGAGACAATAATTGAAAGAGAGAGGGTGGTTTCGCTTTTTTGTTTGTCTTGGGTTTTCTTCACGTTGCTTACATCTCATGCTAATGGTGACGGGTGCGTGTCATGGACGCTCTTAGATGAAGGTTGCTTCTTCCAGGAATATTCCACTTTAGAATCTCTTCAATTTATCTTCAATTTATTTCTAATCATTCTCTTTTTCTTATCTCTAATTTCAAAAACAATTCTTTTAATCTTTCTTTTCAAATATCCTCTCCAAATAACCCTCACAAAAAACATAAATAGATATACCATAGGATAACATATTTTATACGTTGTTACGTAAACCATTTATAGGTAGTTCATCACGTGAGCGCAAATTTTACAACATCTAACATAGTTCTCTTTAAAAAACAAAATATCCATGTTAAATTTGTAAAAACAGAAACAACTTTTTTTAATTTAATTTAAGAAAATTCTAAATTATTAATAAGCAATACCATCTTAAGTCTAAATGTTTCTAGAAAAATAAAATAAAATAAAATATTCTACAGATAAAATTAGTTTTTTCACAAATTAAAAATAAGAAAATATAGAAAAACTATTCGGAGTATTAACGTGAGTTTGGATCAGATTCGTTAAATTTTATTGGTTCAGATTTTTTACAAAAACTAAGATTTAAATTAAACCAATCCAATTAAGAATGTGCTAATTTAATTTAAATAATTTATATAAATTTGAAAGCAAATATATAAAATTCTATTTAGAAAAAAAATACATATTAAATAATCATACTTTTATTTTTAGAAAATTTAATCAATATCTTTTATATTAAAATGTTTATCTTATTAAATCAATTTTATAATAATATTCAATTAGATATCTTATATGTTTAAGATTTTATATTATAATTAAGTTACATCAACCAAATAATAATGATAATTATCAATAATATTATATAATTATATATAAAATTTCATTTATAATAATAATAATAATGATAATAAATATATTATTAGTTTAGTTCGAATTCATTAGGTTTGTAAATCATAATTCGATATTTAAATAAAACATTGGATTTAATTATTTTGATTAAGTTAAAAATTCAAATTAATTTTGATTAATTTAATTTATATTATGTAATTGGTCAAATTAGTTTAAATGAATGAAAACCCATGAATTCTATTAAAATGTTTCTACGAACTATTTTATACTCAAGTTAATTTTATTTAAAAAAATATACTTTAATTTAAATATATATTTGAAATTTTATTTTAAATAATTTAATTTAATTTAAATATAAATAAAATACAAATTTTAAATAAATGGATCCTTATTTCGAAAAAAATAAGATAAATATTTAAAATTTATAAATAATATGACTTTCATACCTAATAATCTATTAACTAATATAAAAATAATTGATTATATAAATATGTACTAAATAATTTATTAAATATGAAAAAAATTTAAAATTTAATTTTTATTAAAAATATTAAATCTTAAAATATTTATTATAAAAAATATATACTTTCTAAATAATAAAATAAATTATTTGTATTGTTATATATTTATTTTAATTTAAAATAATCTAAAATATATTAAAAGAATTATTTTATTTTAAATATATATTTCATTTAAATAAAAAGTATATTATATTATTACTTAAAATAAACTCATGAATATATTTTAAATTATTTTAAAAAAATAATTATAAAAAATTTTAAATAAAAGAATAAGTGAAAAAAAATATTGTAGGTTTGTGTTGCATAAAAGTTATCGTGTAAAAACTACTGAGAAGTATATGCAGATTCCCAGTGTATACGAATCCAAATTTCAATTACATTGGGAAACAACTTTCCTGTGTTTCTAAATTATCGCCCTTCTTTGACTTCACCTACCAATAATCCGATTCTTTATCATATTTTTCATGAGTTTTTTGTTTTCATATTTTTAATAAAAATTATTTTTATCATCAATCCTTAATAGTTAACAAAGACCTATATTTTTAAAACTATAATTAAATTTAAATTGTAATTTAAATCAATGTTCTTTTTTAAATAATTCATTTTTATGTCCATAGTTATAAGAATTGCAAAAACCATTAAAGATATCATGGTCTTGTCATAATGATCTCATGTTAATCATTATGGTCATAGTCAAAACTATATTAAAAAATTATTTTAATTATTTAAAGTTGGCGTTTTTTAATTTTATTTTAATGTTTTCAAATGTTTCACTTTGTGATTAAGATATGTTACATAATATTACAAAAAAATAAGAGAAATACACTATAATAGAAACTTATGTCATATTCATATCATCATGGTATCACCTTAGTAAAAACATTTACATTGTCATAATATCAAATTGACTTTATTTTTTGTTAGACAAACATAATTTGATATATATATATATATACATATATATATATATATATATATATATGTATATATATATATGTATATATATATATGTATATATATATATATATATATATATATATATATATATATATATATATATATATATATATAACAAAAAATATGTCAACTGAAAAAAATACATATTTATAGAGAAAAACTTAAATTTTTAATATAATGTATAATCTAATTTATAATTCATATTAGATAAAAATATTTTACGCTCGTATCTTAAAAGAAAAACTTCACACATTTTAAACTTGAATACATATTCAAGTTATTAAGTTTTTTTCTCCTAACACTCGTCCACCTTCACTTTTTTTCTATCATTATTTTATCATCATCTATAACTATTTATAAATTTTTTTAATATAATAAATTATTATAATTTATATATTTAAAAAATAATAGAAATATAAAAAATTAAAATAATATTTAAAAAAATAATTATATAAAATTATAGATACACGTATGTTTAACGCCTTTATTTTTTATTAATCATTTATAATATTACATATATTTAAACTTTAAACATAAAGATGTTACTATTTTTTTTTCATGGCTTTTTTTATTTGTCTAATATTTTTTTCATTTTTTTTATTTTTTTAACACGACAGTCAAATTGGATTGGAATCGTATATTATGTTGTAAATAAGGTTTTAACATATTACGATGACCATCACTATTATGACATTAAATTAGCATCAAGATCATGTCATATTTAAATTGAATGAAATATGAAAAGAAATATTAAAATTAAAATTAAAATTAAAATTAAAGTTAATATGAAGGATCAAAACTAATACAACACGAACTTTCGCGACAAGTAACTATTTATGTACATGACCAAATCAAATGATGGTCCTTCCAAGGATATCAAGACTACGACCAATTTCTCGCGGATTTAAAAGTTTTAGTAAAACGTGGATATGAAAAGACCAAAAGTAGTAATATTACGATAAAGAGAAATAAAAGAAAGTAGTATAAAATAAATGAAATATAGTGAAAAGCAGTAATTAATAGTTTATTTTACCAATACATTTTGCCATAGATAAATCCTAATAGAGATTTAATTAAAAAAGTAACAGCAAAATGTTCAATGAAATTTATAATCTTTTAAAAGTTTTTTAACAATATGAGTAAAAGTTATATTGTAACGTGTCCACGTCCACGTTCTGTCACTGATTCTATCTCAAATTTCGTTAGCAGAATTAACATTTATAAGACAATATCTCAAGCAATATATGTGGTTAGTTTTTTTTGAGGTCTCTCTATTTATTTGTTTTATTCAATATTAGTTATGAGTAGCATAAAATATAATTACTTAATTTTTTGTAAAAAACATCCTAAATAAATTTATTTTACTTAGCTCAATAAGCATACATTTATTAAAAATAAAAAATAAGTAGTTGGTAAAATATGTTATTTTAAGTATTTATAAGCATTTTATTAATATAAATGTGTAATTTTGAAAATATACAAATTCAAAACATATTTTATTCTGTAAACTAAGTTTACCGATTGCTCAGTATCTAATCCTGATGAATCAGTTAATTAAGTCTTATACAAAAAATACTAAATGATTTTTTTTTCTACACGACAATAAAATATTTTAGAGGAATACATATTTTATTTTTATTTTCTAGTGTAATTTAATGTGTTGGTTTGTTAGGCATAATAAAAAGGAAAATTAACAAAATTATGACGAAAATATGACAACATAATTAATATCAATATCCAAAAATTATTGAATAACACACGTCATGGGAAATTTTTAGAAAATTTCATTGTGTTTAAGGTTTTAGAATCTCAATTTTTGAGTTACTAATGTGACGTATGCCTTATTTTAATATTATATTAATATTATTGTGCAAGAAAACTTCATGCATAGTAAAAATTTTCTTATATATGAATATTGAAGCGGGAGAGGAGGGAAATCAAAAAATTTTCCTTTCATCCTTCTTCTTCTATTGTCTAAATTTCAAGCAACGAGACTCTACTCGTGCAGGATCTGGTGAAACGGGAGAAAACTTGAATTAAGTGGGAAAGCTTCGGTAGAAATATCATATCAGGTAAGGGGAAGTTTAATTCATTCAATATATGAAATTGAATTGTTGGGTACTCTATGAATAAGGAATAAGAGTAGAGATATGAATTATTTGAATGTCTGATTTTGAAGAATGTTTGAAGAATTTTTTATTTTGATGAACTGTTTACCGTTTAAAAGTTTTTGAAATTCTTGAAATTAAGGATGAATTATATAATAAAAGTGTTGTTTTTAACTTAAATTGAACATGTTTATGGTTTAATTTTGATTTGGAACTAATTTGGGTGATTGAAACTGAGAAATTTGAAACCTGGATTTCGAAAATGGCGAACTGGAAAATCTGCAAAAATCGCTCAAGCGAAAAATACATCGCTTGAGCGAGGACACCTGGAAAATTTGGGACTCTCGGGTCCTATCTCGCTCAAGCGACCGGTGTACTCGCTTGAGCGACGAAGCCTTCAAACAAGGGGACTCTCGGGTCATGTCTCGCTCAAGCGACCGGTGTACTCGCTTGAGCGACGGAGCCTTCAAACAAGGGGACTCTCGGGTCATGTATCGCTCAGCGACCGGTGTACTCGCTTGAACGACGGAGCCTTCAAACAAAGGGGACTTTCGGGTCATGTATCGCTCAAGCGATCAGTGTACTCGCTTGAGCGACGAAGCCTTCAAACAAAGGGGACTCTCGGGTCATGTCTCGCTCAAGCAACCGGTGTACTCGCTTGAGCGACGAAGCCTTCAAACAAAGGGGACTCTCGGGTTCTGTATCGCTCAAGCGACCGGTGTACTCGCTTGAGCGAGCGAAGGAAGAAGAAAGGGATATGGTGGGGATTTTTTAAAAAGATCAAGGGTAAACTAGTCATTTTACATCATAGGGACATAAATGGAATTTTCAAAAATGTCCAAGGGTAAAATAGTCATTTAGGAACATACATGGAATTTTAAGAAAAGATTAAGGGCAAAATAGTAATTTAATGATTTCGAAAATGATTTCGAAAATAGTTTCGGAAATGATTTCGGAAATGATTTCGGAAATGATTTTAGGAAAAAAAAAAAAATATATATATATATATATATATATATATATATATATATATATATAGAGAGAGAGAATGAAAGTAGAGTGTTGTGACGTGTGTGGGTCGGACTAAGCTCGAGGGTCGATGCCAGAATCGGTCCCGAGACGTTATATATTGGCTAGATTGAGCCGGAAGGTTGGTGCCGGAATCGATCAAATACTATTTTTATTGACCGAATGAGCCTTGAGGACAGGTGGTCCAGAATCCGGCAAATGTGAATAAATTTTGTATGTTTGAATGGTACTCGGGGTGGTACAGAGTACATTAGTGTAATAACTATGTCGGAGGATTCCGAATGAGGTCCCGGACTTCACCGATTGGTCGGGTCAAGTAGACTATGAGATCGGGTGGTGAGAAGTCGATGGGGATGACTGGTGGCGCGCTCGGAGGGTACTCCAGGTATGAGTGATGAAGGGCGCCAGTAATCCTACTCGTGTGGAGGGTGGTCGGAATGGTGCTGCAGGTACCGATCACAATGTGCCTGCAGATGATAGTCTTTGAGTTCGGACATAGTTAGGGTATACTTCGGAAGGTGTCTTAGTGTGTTGATAATTTCGTAATTGATCATAATATATAATTATTACTTCTATATCTGTTTTATTATATCGAATGATTTAATACTTACCCCTATTTTTCCATGTGGATGAGACTGCGATGATCACTTTTATGTGGGAGCAGATCGGGAGTTGAGAGATGGTGATGTGACTACTTGGACAACGAGAGATAGTTCAGTGGGATAGCTTCGAGGGAGCTACTTTTATATGTATAATATATAAATAAATTATGTTACTATATATTTTTAAGTTCTGTTAGTGAACTGGAATTTCAATATATATTACAATTATAATAATATAATGTAAAATAGATGTTGTTATTTACTTGTTTACTACTTTGCGAAGACATCATTATAGTAGCGATTTCTAGGGTCAGTTACGACTAACACAATAATTTATATTATAATTTGTTTTTTCAAATTCTAACAATTTGTATTTTAATAATTATTCTTTGTTTTATTATATCACCTGACTTTTCTTTTAGTGAAATTTCAACTTTATGTTTATATTTTCTCAAAGAATATTGTTGTTACTTAATTACAATTCTAATTTGACTCTGTTTTATTATTGAAAAATTAAATAACCTGTCTCTCCTCACCAATTTATAACTAGTCACATCATCTTTCTTGATTACAATAAAATAACTTTTTTAATATTTTTAATTTTGATGGACTAAAATTAAAACTTGGTTAAATTTGATTTATAAGTAAAATAATTTGTAAGTCAATAAACATTTTAGATTTATAACAAATTATAGCTCATAAACTATATAAAAAATAATATATTATATTTTTTTCATAACTGATGTGATATCTAGAGTTTTTTTTAATGTGTCTCACTTATATGTTACAATTTGCATACATAATCATTAATCGATGTTAATTGCATTTTAAACTTTTTTTGATATAACAAAATAAAATACCAAAATATAATATTAATACTAAATTATTTATTTAATTTTAACAAAATTTATCATATAACAAATAGAAAAATAATAACGATATACTTATCCTGAACAATGATAATAAGAAAAATATAAAGTGATAATGATGTTAGAAGATAATATTGAGAGCAATAACAACATCTTAAATTGTAGAAAGGAAATTTATTATGCAATAATTTTATGTTCGTATGGATGATTATTAGATAATTATTCGATGAATAATTATTACGAAATCAATCAATTATTACAAAAACACTATTATATTTATATTTATCTTAATTATTACATAATTAAATATTAATTCTCATATAATTAATATGGTGTAAAAAAATTTTTATATATATATATATATATATATATATATATTATTATTACATTCATATTATTTTGCGATCTTTTAACATATATGAAGAATGATAAAAAGAATATAACAATTTCAAAATTATTGAAATAAAAAAAATTATTAAACCAACCTAAATATTATATTTGTTAACAAAATGATATTTCAAAGTTATCCCAAACACTTTACAAAGCTTTAGTTATTTGTCGATTTTTTTTTTTCATTTTCTTACCCATATATGGATTTAAATATGAGTTAGCATAATTTTTAAGCATAACACAATTACAGGATTAAGAAATCAACCCTTTGCATAATTGGATAGCACCAAAAGCTAAAAGAGGGTCATAATTTCCACATAGTTCTGTACCAGAGAGTCCCTATCAAAACCTTTCTCAACCAATTCAAAAACATAACTAAACTTAAAAAACAATAAAAGAATTACGCGTCAAAATAAATACACGTAATTTTTCTCTCATTCATTATTATTATTTTTAATGAAAAGATGTAATATTTGTGGACATGATTTTACATAGTTTGTCTATTCTGAAATTTGGTGAGAAATGTGTGGCAACGGAAGTAAGCACATGGAAGAAGGTCTGAAATTTGTCTATATCGACCATGAAAGTTCGAGGTGAAATGAATGGTCCTCAAAATATCTGTCTTGGCGTGGTCCTTCGTGACCCACAAACACTCTCTCCACATGAGCTGTGCACTACGAAAAGCACAAACACCTTGTTTTTAATAAGCAGAAAGTTAGATCATCACGTGACCACTAATCGGTGTTCAAAATTAATTGGCCCAATTCTCTTTTTCACCACTTTTATATATAACATTCATAAAACGAGACAGAACACGTTTCCGAGGAACAATAATTGTTCCTTCAAATGAAACTCAAATTGAATAATATAAATAAGAGGTTGGATTTGTATTCCGTTCATAAAAAATATAATTGAAAAAAAAAAAAACAGAATATAATATACTCCAATATTATCTAATAAAAATTATTTACCAAATTACTCAATTATCACTCACATCATAGTGTATACACGGATGTATATCATGTTGTAAATTTACTTTTCATCAATTTTATTTTTCTATTTTATTTAAAAGTTAATAATTTTGATTCATCTATAATATTTTATTATTAACCATTAACACATTTATTAGAATAACATGCATATTAAATTTAAAGTTTCAAACTTATTATTAATATTTATATACATATAACATTTTTTATAAGTAATTAGATGAAATATCAATAAAAGACAAAAAAAGTTATTTTTTTTTAAATTGAAGAATCAGATAGTCATTCAAATTTTATAAACATTAAAATTATACATTCTTAAAAATATTAAGATTCAAAAGGAATTTAAACTTCTCATAAATATTTAAATAAAATTAGGATCAAGATATTTTTTTACATGAAAATTTTGTTTATAAACAATAAATTTCTCATTAATTATAATTATCATATTAATATTCTAGGTCACGTAACAAAATGTTATAAATATTTATGAAAAGACAGTTAGAAATAACAAAATTATATAATTATATTAATTAAAAACCTAAGGTGCGTAAAAAAAACTATAATTTACATAATTAAAACATGAAAAACCAAATTATCTAATTACAATATTTAAAAGGCTAAAAATACATTGAGTATGAATAAGGGAATATAAGTTAGAATTCAATCACAAAACTGTCTCATATTTAATTTTTCAAGAGTGACATGGATTTGAATGAATAATGATTTGGGATTGTGAAGAAAAAAATAAATAAATTAGGGAGAAGTAATTAACAAACATAAAAAGTCTTTTTTTTTTTCCCACACCACGGGAGGACAGAGACAACCCCTGAGTTTTGTTTTAAAGTTTATCGAGTCCACTTATCTTAACTTGCAATTATCTTGATATAAGTTGCACTATGACAAATTCAGATTCACCATTCAACTTATAATTACAAAAAATAATAATAATAATAGTAATAATTATTATAATAATTATAATTATAATTATAATTAATTTAACTTTTATGAAATATAGTGCCAAAAGCCGTAAAGATTAAAGGTTAAAACTAAATATATTTATGAAATAAAGTTACTGCAGTTTGGAATATCAGTTGTTTTTATTATCAACCATATTCTGATGTGTGTTCCTTATCATCCTCTGTTAACTATTTGGTCGTTAGCATGGTGTTATCACTGTCATCCGACATTGACCATTTTATCGCTGGAATTCTAAGAATTTTATTTTATTTTCCTTGGTTGAAAAAGGTCACAAGTTTTTTGTTTTCTAAATAAAGATCAACCGATTTGATTATTAAAATTAAACTATTTAGCTGCCATGGAAGCAAAATTCAAATTTGTGAAGGCCATGAAAATTTTGACCAAACATTTAAATGGTCAGGGAAACCCTAACTTCGTCAATGATAGTTCTTATACAGACATATTTTTTAAAACAACGTGGTCATTCAAACTATATTTTATCTTTTTTTTTTTTTTATGTTTCAATATTTTGTAATATTATTTACTAACTGTTAGTCAAAATGTGATAAAATAAAAAAGATAAAAACAGTAATATGAAACATATTTATTTATAGCTTTCAATTATACAAAAGCAACTTAAGAAATAAGAATTTGCATTGTATTAAAATGTTTATTTGTTAGGTATGTTGATGTTTTTGGGAAGAATGGTGTGATAATTCTATTAGTTTAATGTAAGTTAGTTTCTTGATATGACTAAGATCAATTAAAAAAAAAATCCTTGAAAACAGCAATCAAATAATAATATTGGTAGTGAAAAAAGACATAGTTGATACACTTTGTAAAAAAATCATATAAACATTTTTTTATACAAGTAAAAAAAAATGATTAATGTTGATTAGAAAATAAAATTAGTATACAAATATTAAAAAAAAGCCAAAACAATATTGAGTCATCTTGATATTCTCAATCCATAATATTTGGTAATTCATCCAAGAATAGATATAATTGTGAAAATATATATAATATAAAAAAAATTAAATAGGTTCGAATTGGGTTAAGATATAATTTAAAAGAAAATAATTATAAGTTAAAACGAATTAGATTTATTTAATCATTAAATTATATATTGTTGAATCGGTGGTAATTGGATATGTTTTTTCATTTTCAATGTTCAAATTTCTCACGTATATATAAGTGTATCAAAATTGTAATATCATATTCTAAAATTCAAAATGAAATATCAGCTTTATATAATTTGTTTATAAAAAAGAATTGTGTAAAACTTGGCATATAGTTTTTAATCAGTTTTTCATTCTCACCAACATTGCGTTAATAGAACTTTTGTAAGAGAACTTTCACAGTCAACTTAAAGATGTTATTCAACCTTAATGAGATATCTACTACTTTTTCATGAGACTAAATAATAAATCTAAGAAAAAATATATTTTTTATATAAAAATTATTTTATTTTCCTTTAATATAAAGTTGAAATTTACATGTGTATTTATTATAAATACTTCTATCTAATTTTTATGCTTGATAAGTGTTTCATAACCCTCATCAATCAATAAATTCTGGGCACTGTAACAGTAAAATGTTATATATATATATATATATATATATATATATATATATATATATATATATATATATATATATATATTAAGGAAATATTTCATAATATACATGTTTTAATCCCACTAACCCATGGTCTGTTTACATCTGGGCTTCATTATTGGGCTTGGCCCAAATTTTAGTCAGTTCATTTCATAACAACAAAAAAAAGGCTTTTGCTATAATTTATTAATTTTTCAATTTATCTGTTCACATACAATTCTTTACTGGTTTTTGCCATTCTTCCTTGTTGGTAGCCCTCCTCTCTTCTCCAACAACTGGAGATGAATAATTACGATCTAAACCTCCCCAAAACTTACTTTCTCATTTGGTGGAGGAAAAAACCCTAATGATCATAAGAATTCCAGAAAATAAATTTTTTAACTATTTGAAAAAAATATACTTGTACTATCCCGAGAGATATTTTATTAAATTCTACCAAGAAGATTTTTTCTTAACAGTGAAAATAGTAAAATATATTCTACTTTTTTTGTGTGTACATAAAATTTAGAATTTAATAAAAATATTTTATATTAATAGAATTATATTGAAACAAAATTAAGATCAAATTTATATACCTTTAATATAAATTTGGTAAAAAGAGAGGGTAAGCAAAAGTAGAACGTAAATAAAAGGGTTTATAGTTTACAATTTACCTTTTACATAAAATAAAAGATTGGGCTTTGTCTAGGTAATTTAAGTTTCTGAGAGAGTCCAACATCAAAATATAATAATCTTAGCCTAAGTAATTTTTTGGGCTCTTTCTTCAAAACCCTCCGTACCTTCTTCATTCACCTCCATATTTATCTAAAATAATAATATTATCTTTAATATCAATATATTTAAAAATATTTTTTAAAAATGAAATCTGAATTGAATTTTTCGAAAATATATTTAAAATATAACAATCCAAAATATATTTTCAAAAAATAAATTATAGAAATAAATTTTAAATTGTTAAATCTGAAATATATTTTTAAAAACATACAATATATAAATAAATTCTAGATGTTAAATTTAGAATACATTTTAAAACACAATCTAAAAATAAATTTTAGATTAATCATATTATCCAAAATATAATTTTTTTACGGAATTATTAAATATCCAACATATTATATTACTCAAAATCTAAATCACCAAATAAGCTTTTAACTTTAAAGTAAAAACGCTTAAAAAAAGAAAAATTAGACATTTTTAACCTTATATATATATATATATATATATATATTACGTAGCCTAAAAGAAATTATTAGAATAAAAAAGTTTTGCAGTATGTGAGCCACATAATATCACTGTTGTGGGACCCACCACTCCGACGACTAAGAAAAAACCTTTGAGGAATATGCTTTCACCGCCCTTATCAGACAACATCCAATAACGTTCAAATTGTCTCTTGTTTTTGTCTCGCGTCTAATCGCGGTGTAACAAATTTTAATTTCTAGGTTATAATCTCATCTTCTCATAACTCCGTGCTTTAAATTTTCCCAATTTATGCAGATAAAATACGTAATCCGCCGCACGACAGAGTCAGATAAGGAAAAACATGGTCCAAGTGGTTATGTCACGTAACTGTCATGTGCCCACATTCAACACTCTGCACAACATCCTGAAACTGGTCTGCAAGTAAATCTATCTGCTTTTTTTTTTTTTCAAACCCGGTTGGATTAAATATAATTTTATAATCAATTTGCCAAAAATCTAACGTGTAATTGAACTAATTCAGAAATATCTTAACTTGATCAAAAGTTTTAAATTGGAATTTTCAATATAACTACACCATTTTTGCATGTCATCTCCTTCTCACAAAAAAAAAAAAACTCAAACACAAAATTTTATCAATTGTAATAATTTTCTTGAATTCGAACAATTTATTTCTTATAGAGCACAGTATATAAAATTTTTTATTAATTTGGTGAACAATGTAGAGTTAAAATAACTTTAATCCATGACAGACAAAATATATTATCTGTCTGTGCTAGTCACATAAATATTGCACTCTTGGAAACAGTTAGAAATATTGATAATTCACCTTCCTTATTTTTTGCCAATGATATTTTCTTGACTACAATGGGTGAGAATTTTCTTAGAAATTTTAGCCCCCCACATAGATTTTTGTGATGCAAGTGATTATTTTCACTTTCTCTTATTCACTCCATTTTCATCCTCTATTTACATGTCCAGAATCCCACACTTTCGTACGTATTACCTCCAGCTACCCCCAATCATTCTGTCCATCTTTTTCATCATTTATCTTATTCTTGCTTCCTTGGTCTCTTTAATTTCCTGGCAGTCATCAAAGTCATGAAAACATTCAACAAGTTTCAAGTTCTAGTACTCTTTGTCCTTGCTCTTCTCCTTGTTGGGATCACACCCATGTAACCTTCCTCTCTGAGGTCAACCTACCTTTACTTCATCTTCAATGTTCTCATCATTGCACTTGGAGCTGAACCTGGTCTTCTATCAATTGTTTCTAAGCCTTTAGAAGACAGAAAGCAACATGTTTCTGTCACCCAGAAACTTGTAATGCCCCCAGAAGTGTATGAACCTGACGAGGAAAGGGTGGAAGGATTCTTCATAACAGGTGGAAGTGGTGCTCCGGATCACAGTGAAGGGAAGGCTAAGGTTATTGAAATGTTTGCTTCGGATGAGAAGATTGCTGGTGTCACTGAAGTGGATGAGGTGAAAAAGTGTACTTCAATGCCAAACCTTTTGATATAGGAGGTGGAGAAAGTGAAGTAGAAGTGATGGATGAGGAGATTGAAGCAGGTGAGGGTGGGGGAGTTAATGGGCAAGAGTTGTTTGCCAAAGCTGAGGCCTTCATTGGGAACTTCTACAGGCAGTTAAAGATGCAGAGAGAAGCTTATCAGGAAACCTTTTAGGAATGCATGCTTCTTTTTTTTCGTTTCTAGAATAAATTATTTCCAAGGTTTTAAATTACATAAAAAAACTGGTTCTGATCCCGAGGGCATGATAATTGGGAGCCCAAGAGAAATTATATCTTTCTGCTTCGGTGATTTTCTCCCTCTGGGTTTGTACAGATTTTGATTTTGAATTAGAGAGTTCAGGTCTGTTTGCAATTTCAATTTGCATTATCGTCTGATAATGTTCCTGTTACGACATTTTAGAGCGTCCATTTTCATGCTCCAACCAAAGTAACATCTGATTAAAAACAACATTTCCTATTGAAAAAAAGGATCAAGGCGTTATTTTTAACTACTGAAGATAATATTAACAATTTCGATTACAAACATCTGTTTTAACTTCATTGAAACTTGTTCTAATCAACAATTAGTTTTTGCTTTTATATGTTAGTTGATTTGTTTATATATATATATATATATATATATATATATATATATATATATATATATATATATATATATGATTATATGAATAAAACTTAACACTTTTTGTTGATTTTTATATTATTATAAGAAAAATAAATTAAATAACAAGTTTTAATTAAAAAAACTAAATTAATTGCACAAAATGATAAAGATTAATCAAATAACAGGACATGAGAAATAATAATATAAAAACACATGTAAATTTGAATTAGTTATTAACAAAAGTATGTAAAAGAATTACATAAATTATAAAACTTCATAATTGTAAATAAGATGAAAATAGATTGAAAGTTGTAAAATGATATGAAAAGTAATAAACATAACTCTAAATCTAAATACTATATATGATAAATAAAATATATAATACATAAAAATTAAAGTCGTAATAACATAATATTTTTTTATTGGACATAATAGTAAGCGTTATTAGAATAATCCAAAATGCATAAATGATATTTAAATAAATACTTTGATATTTTTTACATTTGTTTAATATTTATTTATTTTTCTTTCATTTTATTAATTATTTGAATTATATCATTTTTAATAGAATGACTTAAAAGATATTTTATTTTAGTTAATTTTATTGATGATTATATATGTTTTGTTTTATTAAATATTTATAAATTTCATTTTTTTAAGAATTAAAATTAAAAATAATTTATAAATATTTGATTATTAACTATTGAAATATTTTTTAAGACAAAATTATAGTAAAATAAAATTTTAAAATAGACACTTTATCATATATATCATGATAAACTATAATAATATTATTATATTATATTATATATATAATTAAAATATATATATATATATATATATATATATTACAATATTAATAACAAAATAATAAAAATGGAAATTCAACATTTTCTTACAGGGATGGTGAAGTTGGTGAGAACCAAAACCTTGGTAGGCAGTAAGTTCTTTTTATTTGGCCCTTTTAAAATATAATAAGTCCCTAATATTTGACAACCAATAATAATATTAAAATTACTCTCTTTCTCTAATTTATATAATAAATGAAGACATTGCCTAGACAGTCTATTTTGACATCCTGTGGGGTCGATTTACCTTGGAATCTTCCTTCAAAATATCTTTTTTACAGGATGCTATCTTCAATGCTTTATCTTTCTTATTCACTTTCATATATTTATATTATTTTAATACGTATATTAATGGGGATTGAAATTTGATTGCCTCTTTTAATACATATACTACTAGTGAATAATCCAGTTTGTTTTTGGCTTAATGACCTACTGAAACTTTTGCTCGAATCCTCTCAATATTCTTCAATTCACTGCATATTCAAAGACAACCAAACTTTGATATTTGTTTCATTTGTTCATGGTCCCATCTCAAAACTTCGACAGATAAGATCAAAATTCCAAAGTAAAGACCAACCTTATTATGTAAACAACAAATGAAGCTAAAAGCTTACATCTACATATCTAGATTTCGACTTCCCATTAGCACCAAATCACAGTATTTGAACACACAGAAAATTAAAAATAAGAGCAGCATGCACACTCAACCTACGTGACAGATCCTTGGTATGAATATGCTTTCTAATTCATGTATTCAACTTTTTGCATATCATATTTGAGTTGCATAATACAGAAGAAATATCCGAAAACAAGAATACATGTTCAGTTGATATGTTTTAACTCAGAGAAAGAGAAAGAGAGTGGTTAGTCCGTACCGTAACCATTTTTGAAATCGGTATAATAATATATCTTCCTAATATAGTAAATAAGTAAATAATATTTCTCCTCCTCTTTTCTGAGAAGCTGATATAATTGAGTTCATCATGCATTATTTGCAATATAAAAGTGGGACAAAGAAAAACTAGAACTCATTCATTCCTAAATGTGCAGTAAGACTAAATTAAGTGGGCACGAAAGATTTGTCTTGGGTGCGTGCAAGCTAACGAGAGAAGTCTGGTATGCAAGCAAAGTCCATTGAATAACTAGAATGTGTTTGTTTGAAGTTATCTTGTCATATTTCTGAAAATATATGTTCTCTTATGTTTGTTACGAGATTAAAAATTGTATTCCTCCTCAAAGATAAAAAAACTTATTTGTTTCCAAGCATGTGATGTATTTTGGCGAATCTTGTATTGGGGAAGAATACAGTTAAATTATGAGAAATAATATTATAATTTTGAATAATACTATCAAATTAAAAAAAAAGTTGATAATAGCATTTTCTTCTCCGAGAGAGTTCTATATATATATATATATATATATATATATATATATATATATATATATATATATATATATATATTATCAAATCGATTAAATAATAATTTATTGTTATCCATAAGTATAAGATTTTTTTAAACTATTCCACGCATATTTAAAAACTTTATTAATATAATTAAAAATATAAATTTATTATAATTTATCTTATTTTTCAAAATTATCTTTAAAATATGAGAAGAATATATAGTAGAGTAAAAAATTAGTCTTAAAGTGATATATATATATATATATATATATATATATATATATATATATATATATACAAATATTTGTTTAAGATCATAATATATTTTTTTAATAAAATTTTAAAGAAATTGATTTTTTATCATCCCTTCCTCTACCCCCCCCCCCCCCCACACACACACACATATATATATATATATATATATATATATATATATATATATATATATTTATATTATAATTATCTTTAACATCATTAAATACTATATTAATATTACCTTAACAGCATCAAATATTATATTAATATCACTTTAATAACATAAATGCTATATATCAATATTTTTCACTAATTTTAATTTATTATATAAGTTTTCCCATCTTGGTGTATAATATTCATCTGCATTTGGATTTTTATTAATGAAAATAATTTATAATTTCTTTTTTAAATCTTAACGAAATAAAAAATGTCATAAAATTTATAAAAATAACTTTGTTTATATATTTATATAAATACAACATTTATATTTATTTTTAAGTATTTCTTTCTAAAAATTATAAAACATATATATTTATGAAATTCATATTATACTAAGACATATTTAAACTAGTTTAAATACAATTTTTTTTTACAAAATTTTGATCAAATACAAAATCATTTTATATTAAATAACTAAAAATATTTATTTAGCAACATGCAATTGCTGCATCTTTTATTTTGAATAATCAAGAAATATTTAATTGTGAGCTTGATAACTTAAATAAAACACAAGTATGGCAATAAGTATTATTATTAATTTATATAATAAAAAAATTGAGTCTCCATAGTTAATGAATTTTTTTTAGTTGATCTCTTGTAAGTTTGAGTTCAGATACTTTCGTTTAAAAAAAATAAGAAAAACAAGAGCCGAGGTAGAAGCTAGTAGTGTAATTTGGAATTGATTTTATTTTTAAATTTTAAATATTAAAATATTAATATTTTTAAAATATTTTTTTCTTGCATTATACGAAATATTTTTTTATAATTATTATTTTACATTTTTTTATAATCTAAATAAAATTTAGGAAGCATAAATAATGTAAACTTTTTATGTTAATTAAAAAATAATTGATATGATAAGTTTTGTTAGACAAATGACATCTAGAGGGGTAAATAGATGCACAAATTAAAATAGATGTCAAATTAAAAATTTATTTGTGAGTCAATAATTTGTTTGAACACAAATAAAACGGAAGCGATAATATAATCAGAAAAAGAGAAAGAGATAAGGGAAAGAGAAGAACACAGAGATTTATACTGGTTCGGGTATATCCAACCCTACATCCAGATCCTAGTCAACTTTTAACACAAGAGTGACTCTCAATTCACTATCTTTCAAAATCAGTTTACAAATTACAATCAACTCAGCAGAAGAACCAGTAAAAGGTAAACTAATTAAAAAGATAATCACCTCCTTAGAAACCCACTAAGGATGAACACTTCCTCTGAACAAATCAAAAGATGAAAAACACCTCCTTAGAATCCCACTAAGGATGAACACCTCCCTAGAATCACACTAGGGATGAAAACCTCCTTTTGAACAAATCAAAGGATGAAAACACCTCCTTAGAATTTCACTAAGGATGAACACATCCCTAGAATCACACTAGGGATGAAAAGTATCTCATTTGCCACCAATACATAAAGGATGAAAGTAATAAAAATAAGAACAGACACACCTAGGTAATGGAGACAACAAATTATAAAAGTCTGTAGAATATTAATCCCCAATAACAAGTGTGATTAATAATGAAAGCACAGAAGACAATAATGGAGACAACAAATTGTAAAAGTCTGTAGAATATTAATCCCCAATAACAAGTGTGATTAATAATGAAAGCACAGAAGGCAGTAGAGAAAAGAGTTTTCTCAGAAGGTGTAAAATATCTCTGTTGTCTTGCTCAGAATTCTTTTCTCAAAACTAATTAAATGTAAATTGTATTTTCGAATTCTTTTCTCAAAACTAATTAAATGTAAATTGTATTTTCGAATTCTTTTCTCAAAACTGATTAAATGTAAATTATATTTTCGAATTCTGTAATTGTGTATTTTTTATTTTTCATCAAAACTTAATTAAATAGAAAAATAGCATCGAATCAGTTGGAAATTAATATTTTCGTGAATAAAAATCAAGATATATTCAAAAACATTTATTCTTCAAACAAATATATTTTTCAAATTTAAATTGTCATAATTAATTATGTTACCAGTATAATCAATTATGACAGAGAAAATCATTTTTCCATTTCTGATGCATCATAATTGATTATGACAGAGAAAAATACCATGTTATGAATTTTATCACACTTGTGCTTTTGAGGCTTATGCATATCATTCTAAGACTCTATCTACTCTTCAGGAATCATCTTGGGCTTGCTTGAATCATCATTTTTATAAAAAAATATCTTGGGCATGTAGAAAAATGTTTCACATTGTCACCAACGTCATAAATTCAGTTTGTCCTTAATTCATCTTGAATGATGTTGACTTGAATATAGTTTACTTGAATTATCATCAAAATCATCTCTTGAAAATGTAGGGACATTTCCATCCATCTCCCCTGCTTTCAAGTTTGATTTTTATTACGGTTGTAAATATAATTATATAAAGTTTTGTGTTTTTTTTTTATATGATCTAATTTTTTACGAATATTTTATCTACTGTTTCTTGTATACAAAATTTGTCACCTACAGCTTACAAATAAACAATAAGTTAAAACACAAGTAAGAAATAATAAATCAAAATAATTACACAATTTTTAAATAATCAAAAGATTTATAAATAATTAAAAAAAACCCTCAACTCATAGTAAAAATACTAAAAAGAGTAAATAAGAAAATAAAATTTATTTCAAAAAGAAACAAATATAGAGGTAGTAATAAATTATTTATGAAAGATAAATAGTAAGAAAAAAATATTATGATGAAGAGGATATAAATCTAAAGTGTTAAAGAAGAAAATGTTATAATTATAAAATAAGTTAAGTTATATTGTAACACTTTTCTTTTCTTATTTATTTTATAAAAAAAAATTATATTGGTTTATCAACGGTAATAAAAAATGACTTTTCATATAAATTAAAATATGAAAAATCATAATAAATCACATGATAATTTAAATTTAAATCGACATAAAAAATATTTTATAAAATAAAAAATATGAAATTTTATATTTATTTATATTAAATTGTAATAATAAATTCAAATTTAAATTGATATAAAAAATTAATGTATTTTTTATTTTATAAAAGACATTTATTCTTTAGATAAATTTTTTTATTGATTGAAATTTAAATTGATATATAAAATATTTTTTCAATTTTAAAAATTGATGAATTAAAATCTCTTGTCATCATTAGATATTATTTTTTTACTAATTTATTCCTTATATTTACATTTTTTTCTTTTTTATTGTTCTTTGTTAATCTTTTTCAACTAATTCAATTTTTTTATCTTTAATTATTTCATATATTTTTTAATATCTTTAAAATGAGTTAAATTCATTTTTTTTATCTTTAGTTATTTTACATTTCTTAACATTTTTAATTAAATTAATTATTTTTAAAAAAAATATTATATATCAATTGTAGTAATATCTAATACTATTTTATTTATAATTTATATTTATTAATTTATTGTTATTTTATGTTTTTAAAATTTATTATTTTTTATTTTTTAAATATCAAATTTTATGTTAATTAAATAATAATATATTAAATGATTAATATTTTTATATAATTGATAATTAAATTTTTTATTATTTTTATAATAATTTAATAAGAGTTATTTTATTAAATATTTTTTATAAAATTATATATTTTATATTTATTAAAACGTGAAGACGATTAACCTAAAAAATAATTAGTTTATATATCTAATTTTTTTAAAATATATTGTTAATATATAATATGAAATTACGAGTATTTTATATCAATATAAAGAATATAATTATGTATTATATATATATATATATGTTTTTTAATATAAATATGATAAATTAAAATATATATTAATCATTAATAATAATTAAAGTTATAAGATTATGAATATTTTTTTGAACAGAAATAATATATAAAAATAATATTTAAATTAATTAATTATAATGAATAGATAATTATATTTTGTTAGAAATATATGAAGCGGGAATGGATAAAAAAACTGAATAGAATGAAAATAAACAATAACTAAATTTCTAACATGACAAAGATAAGAAAGGAAAAGATGATTTAATGAGTGGAAACTGGTGGGAGAGGTAAAATCCGGCTGTTGTCACGCCTAGAATGAGAAAAGAGGGAAAAACTGTGAAGTAAGTAAGTCAGAGAGATGGAAGAGTCAGTGCATGTGACGGAGAGAATTTTAGGGTACAAGTTCAATAACCGGAAGCTTCTAGAAGAAGCTCTGACACATTCCTCCTTCACTGAAGGTGTTTCGTACGAGCGTCTTGAGTTCATCGGCGATCCCATTCTCAGTCTAGCTATCAGTAACTATCTCTTTCTCGCATACCCGCATCTCCATCCCGGTCACCTATCTCTCCTCCGTGCCGCAAATATCAGCACCGAGAAGTTGGCTCGCGTCGCCGTCCGCCACGGCCTCTATCGCTTCATTCGCCACAGCGCGCCACCACTTATGGACCAGATCGAGCGGTTTGCCAATGCCGTCGCCCTAGAAAATCAAGCCATCGTAGTATATGGCGGATCCGTTAAGGCGCCCAAGGTCCTTGCGGATATCGTCGAGTCTATCGCGGGAGCTATATACGTCGATCTGGGATACGATTTGGAGGAACTTTGGAGGGTACTTACAAATGATTTTCTAGTTTAGGTTTTACATTTTACAAATGTTTTTCTTCTCTTAGTTTAGGTTTTACGTTCTCCCGCTGTGTATTAGCATTGATTTTTCAGTAGATGATGATGAATGATGACATTGTTTTTAGCATTGGTCTTTTTAGTAGGTGATGACATTTTTTGAAATTGTGATCCGGATTTTGTTGAAATTAAATTCATGGAAAGATAGATTTTTTTAAGCATTGTTTTTGTTTACAGTTTTGAATCAGTTCATGATGTAGATAAATTGATAAGAATGATAACTGTTAGAACATTTTTTATGAGGTTTTCATTTTGCTCAAGACAGCAATGTAGGGGTGGTGGCTTCAAAATTTTTCACGTTTCATCAATAGTGGATAGTGTTTTATAAATTTTTTGTAAAATTAATAAGATGAAGAGTTGATTGTGATTATGATTTTGACAGAGATTTAGGGGAATTTTGGAACCCATAGTGACGCCTGGTGATTTGGAGCAACAGCCTCAACCGGTGACGGCACTATTTGAAATATGCCAGAAAAGGGGGAAGGATGTTGATATTAAACAAGTGAGAAAAGGAGCAGAGAGTGTAGCTAGTGTTTTTGTTGATGGACAGTTTATAGCCTCTGCCTCCTCTGTCCAAAAGGATCTGGCAAAACTTGAAGCTGCCAAGATTGCTTTGGATAGACTAGCATATGTTGTTCCTCCCAACAGTATGAAGCCTTCCGGTAGTAACATGCAGCTAAGCTTTTGTCCCGACAAGGATGGAACGATGATTATTGAAGCAGCTAAACATAGACTACATGAATTCTGTGAGAATAAAAAATGGCCTAAGCCAGTATACAGGTACCGCTTTTTTAAGATGATTTATTAAATGAGTAACATTGATTTTCATGTGTGAAATTTTGTATCTTTCATGTGGACTGACTAGTTATTTCTCTGCAATGGTGCACAGGATTGAAAAGGATTCAGGTCCCTCTCATGAAAAGAGATTTGTTTGTGCTGTTGAGATAACTACTGAAGAAGAGGAGCAGATCCTTCAAATGTCTGGCGATGAAAAATCTAGGGTGAAGGATGCAGAGAACTCTGCTGCTTCATTGATGCTTATGGCCTTACTTGGAGCGTCATAATAGTGAATGAGAGTGGTGTTGTAATTACTTAGGGCGTCCCCTATCTTCTATTGTAATCAATTATTGTTTAGACATTAGCTAGCTTAGCTTAGAATGTAGACAGGACCAGTTTGATTACTTTAGCAATTTGTTTAGAAATTGAGATATGTTATCTTATTTATAACCTTACATGCACAACGAATCTGAATATTAGTTAATACATTATTATTATTATTATTATTATTATTATTATTATTATTATTTTGCATACCGTGTTTAGTCCTTTTTTTAGTTCTTAGTATTGAAGTCATAGAAACTGAAAGATATAGTTTTCAGGTGTAGGAACTAAAAGTTCAATTTATTTAACGATAATGACTAAATATATATTTTTCGAAATGAAAACTGACAAAAGAGATTTTGACATCGCTTACAAGAGTGTTTAAAAAAAAATGTAGAACTGAATTGTGAAAAAGGGAAACTTAACTTGAAAAATAGCTTGCTCGAGATCTGAACTTTTTTATGGTTTGAACTCGACTATTTTTGTGAACCAAAGGTTAGTTCTTTGTTAGTTTTAAATAATCTTTTAAGGAGATTTTGTTAACTTTTTTAATAAAAGAATATAATACTGAATTTTATTAAGAATTTATACTGTATTCAATCTTATATATATATATATATATATATATATATATATATATATATATATATATATATATATATATATATATATATAAACTCTTAAATTAATATTATAACATAAAGTAAGAAGTAATTTTCGTGAGAGAATTAGTAAGTATTATGTTATTAAAAATATAAGAAAGATGAATGTTCAAGTAAATTAAAAAGGATGAACCAATAATTTCTCCATGTATATATATATATATATATATATATATATATATATATATATATATATATATATATATATATATATATATATATATATATATATATATATATATATATATATATATATATATATTCAATTAAGAGGTAATTGTTTTTATGTGATATACCCATGTAATTGTCTGATTAGACGTTGACCTGTTTAACATCAAACGGATGAGATAGACCCTTCCCTATCAATTTTTCATTCTCAATACATGCCCAACCGAAAATGCCATTTCATGTTCATAGTAAGTTACAACTTTCAGAATTACAGTAGCATGTCAGCGCAACAAGGCAGGATCTTTGTTCTTACGATACCATCATATGATCGAATCCTCCTCCACCTTGAAGTGCAGGTACCCGATTGACTCCGATATTGTGAAGCAACTGTTGTAGCCACCTCCTAGCTGTTGGGTCTTCCTGCATATAAAAATCAAACCAATATAAAATGCAAACAGCCTAAAGGTATGAATCAACTCTTCATAAGGATGAGAAAAATCTCTAGCTCAGAAATTTGATGAAAGCAAGCTTTCCTTGCTAATGCCCTGCTTTTAATATTCAATTTACTTAATCAAGTCGTTCCATTCATATTTTGATTAAATAAAACTTTTACATTATCACTTACACGAAGGCAACTATTGAATGTAGCGTCTCTTAACATGTCCGGAAGACAGGATCTTAAAGCCTCGCAAGCACTGTTTTGAAAGATTACCAAAGCTTTATTAGAAACTTGAGAAGAACATGAAGGGCAAGGCAGGTGCAGTTACAACTGGAGTTATTATAACAAACCTCTGGTTATCTGACAGACGAAGATAACAACGAATAATATGCTTCAAAAGACGGCATGACGGCTGCTCAACAAGAGTGGCCACCATGTTTCCCAAAACTCGACCTACTGCATAAAAGCGCTCCGCCGTAGTACAAATATATTTCAAACCAATTTCGTCCAACAGAATTTTTTGAACTATAAAGGTTGCAACCTGCAGTAATGGAGCTTTCATTATACACAAATTTTCATGTTTACAATTGTTTGATAGGCATAGAAGACGATCACGAGATAGGGCAAAAATAAACATGTGACTTGGCATTTAGCACCACCAAGTAAATATTTCAACCCATGTACTGCAAATACTGGATGCATTTTAATACAACCAAATATGTGAAGAGGAGTTTTAACAGTCCCGTGACAACCACGAAAAAAAAGGCCTATAGTTCCACTTCTATGAAGTACTGTACTAAAACAAACTTCACATGCATACGTGTTGAACATACATAGCCAAATAGCTAAGACAGATGGATAAGGAAAAAGAAATCAAGTTCAATTCATCCAGAAAAATATTTTGTCAGAACAAATTGGTTAAAAACAAGATCAGTAAACTTAACCGTTTTTGACAGTTCACTGCCCATTTCCATACTCCGCAAGCACAACGGAATAATCTCTGTCGAAAGAAGGAAACTTATAACTTCTGTATCATCAACCTGGTTAAATATAAACAGAAAGGAAATTATACACATGACAAAAACTCCAGTATAAATGTAAATGTTACAAGCAACAAAAACAATATTTTCATCTCACTAGGGAAAGAAAATCGACAATATTGCGAAGGGCTTAAAATAGTTGGGAAAATTTTATGCTCTGAAAATAGTGATGAACTCATCCTAACAAGTTTGGTTATATGTTCACAGGAAAGTTAACAGAAATAACTGAAAATATACACGAACATTATAAGACTACCAAGACTAATTATTATTGGCAACTGAACTATTTACGCGTCAAGCGGTTTGCCATTTATAATAATCAATTAGTCATTACTGTTTTCTAAATAAGGCATTAGTTGAAGTTATTGCAGTATGTAGTTTTTTATGGCAAGGTTTTTGTGATAATACTTTTACTAATTGAAACTTTTCTCTTTTCAACATAAATGTTGTATAAATTCTTCCCATATACCCAACAACAGAATCAGCTACGAGGTAGTACCTTCACCAAGGCACCAATGACTCCTAGACTGGTAAGCCTCAAATACTCAAATGGCCTGGACTTACTTGTTGTATTAAGGAAGGGATACAGATATAGAGGTATATGAGCTGCATATGAGACAAGGTAAGTGTAAAGTGTGAACAGACTAATATCTTTTTCCTTTGAGTGTATTTTTTAATGGGCAAAAACCCTGCTGAAATAGATATGATAATGTCAAAAGCAATCTCTCTACATTTATATTAACAAAAAAAAAGGAAAACTGTAATATGTCTTCCAATTCAGCCCAAAAGTTTCTGTCCATGAAAGAATGTGAGAGTATATTGACAGTAAAACAAGGATTATATGATGGAACTTCATTTTCAAGCAAGAAAAAGTAGAAGTCTTATAACAAGATAGGCAAAATAATAAGAGAGCAAGTTACATTTAAAATTGAAGCACATGATTCTGTTTTATACAGGACTTCTTTAGATTATATATGGTCTTGTAACCATCATTCAATAAATTTTATATTAACAAATTATTTTATTAAATTTTAATTGTTTAGAAATTGGTTGTTTTTACAATATCCTATAACAGTTTTAAATAAATAGAGAAAATTATTTAGTGAGAAACAAAGGGAAAATATAACTAGGAGATGATAAGATATCATCAATCATTTAACATCTACTGAACATAAACTGTACGAAAGCAAAAGTCTGGGAATGCCATCAACAAAAACAAAAGCCTTATTCTACTAGGTGAAGTCCGCTACATGCTAGGTACTTTGCAATTACAAATGATTCTAATGACTTCCTCCATTTTAGCCTACACATTTCTGTCAAAGGTGTGAAACTCATAAGCACCAAATCACTTGGTGGAGGACCCTCCCTTAAAAAGTTATTGTTAAGGAAAACAAAACACTTAAATAATCCAGATAGCATTTAATACTAGTTGATGTAAGACTTGGGCATTTCGTAATAACCAAGTCGCTATCATAGAGCTGACTTCTTGGTGACTAACAGTTAACTTTCGAGACACCGCTGACAAACTCTAATAACAATTGATAAGTGCTCGAACACTTGAAAACCTTCCCTTAGAAGTTAGTTGTCAAGGGGCGAACCAAACACTTAAATATTCCACTGATCATTCCATTCCACACTGCTAGATATGTGACACAAGTACATCATAATACACAAGTTTCTAGCAAACATCCCCCTTCATTTCTCCAACAATTTGTATTAATGATCCCAAATATTTAATTTTAAAAACTTGCGGTATGAGATATATTCCCATACTTCCAATTCTCTACTAAAATTGTGAGGCATATATTTTGTCTTACTCCTACTTAAGTGAAAGATTTATATTTCCAATGTCTTTCTCTAAAGCTCGGGCTTACAGTGAATTGATTACTATGGTTTTTCAATCACGATTATATGATCAGTAAAAAAGCACGCAGTTATGGATAATTTTTTGTATGTCCTTAGTAAGGACGTAATAAGCTAGATTAACTAGAAAGGAGTTGAGGCTGAGCCTTAACTAATCCTATCCCTAAAAGAAAGATTTTAGTCTCATCTCTTGGAATCCTATACATGTCTTCTATAGCCTAGGTGTGAGAACCTTCAACTTTTTTATATATTTAGGTGATTTATTTATGATCATGTGCAGCAATGATGAGCTCATCAACTTGGCTTCTAATCCTCCTCCGATGCTCTATTCATATTGGTTCTAGACTCGAGTACTCTTTCCCATTCTAACTATTACCCAGCTAGCATCAACTAAACCTCAATAAGCAGACATCATTTCCCTTAGTATTAGACCCAACTCTTATTTTTACTTAGCACGAGCTTATATTCAAAAACTCCTTAAGATAACTTTCATAAAAAAAATCATCCCCGTACTCAAAAAGGGTAAAATAAAAACATATCACATGTTCCATCGCTATCAAAACAAATAATGCAAAAATGCTTAAGCAGAATAGCAGACAGAAGTTCCCAGTCCTTGGGATGAATAAAAAAAACATCATTACCATTGAGGAATTGCATCCTTGTATCAAGGTGAGATGCCACACACTGTAAGAAATCCATGAGCGTTTAAGAAATCTGTTAGTGAGAATGCATTGAAAAAAAGGAGAAAAAGATCCGCAGGGTATAATATATGTGACTGGACTCATCTCCAAACAAATTAATTTTCAGAATGAAGAAAAACATTTTGGGCATATTGAAAGAGTCTATCTGTTGAAAGCGACATATAAAATTTGATACGACATGATCATCTCAATTCTCACCTGAAGAAGAGCAAGAGCATTACAGACTCGATTTGATTGTGCTGGAGAAAGGTTCGGTGGTGAAATAACAGGGTATATTGAAACTATTTCCTTGAAAAAATGAAAAAAAAACATAAAGCGTAGTAAGTGATGAGCAACCAAGAGTCATTTTTTCATGGAGAGAAAAAAGTCAAAAAACAAAAACATGTTTGATACTCTTCTCACTTTTTGTTTTAAAAACTGTTATTTAAAACAATTATACACAACTCAACAATCAATTTATCAACCAAAATTTATTAAAATTTATTTCTAAAACAAGTGTTTTGAAAACCAAAAATAGAAAAAGCCGGTACCCCTGTTCTATTTTCTTCAAATGCTCAAGTGTCCAGGAAACAAGTGATCAGAAAAACAAAAATGTGTTCTAAGGTTTGTATGAGGCACCAAGTCCCATTCGGACCTAGATGAATGCTACTGTTCCATATATATAAAAAAAAAATCAAAATTGAAAATTAAGATTTATATAATTCACATTCTAAAAACAGAGTTGTTTAACTTTACAATTTTCATATAATCATGATCCTAACACAGAAGAGTAAAATAGGATAAATTTACAATGTAATCTTAACATAAAAATCCCAAGAGGAATAGTATCAACCAAATTTTAGAAAACAGAAAACTATTTGAAAATACTCGTGAATCATGATTCAATGTTGGCAAATAACAGTTACACTATAAGACTATAACAAGGCGTTTTTCGACCCCTCCGCCATAGGTCCCTCTAAGGCCGCGCCATAGGCCTCAGTGACATGTTTATATGGTGAGATTTTGGCCTTCGGCCATTGATAACCTTGTTCATGAAACTCCAAAATTTTAAACAAATAAGGTCAAACAAATTCCATCCCTCAAAACAACCATGAAACAAAATATTAGTTTGACGGTATCCATTGATATTAAATATAAAATACGCGGAAGAATAAAGCGAAAGAAATCCAACTGATAGGGAAGTCACCCACAGCATACCTGCAAAAGAGCTGCCATAGTGCCAAACGAATTCCACAGTAATGGAGCAAGATCCTGAAATAACTCTCTCTTCTAAAATATATATATAGAAGAGTAATAAAAGAAAAAAAAAATGATTAGTTAAGCCGTACGAGTCTTGAAACGACGCAACATGAATACATGCATGAGATGGATGGAGATAGATAACGATATAATTATCCATTCTCCATGCTGAGTATATAAACCCCGGAACATCACATTTAGAACAAGGGAAAATAAAATCCCTAACGAGAGGTTTCATTTTTGGACACAGCGCAAGGGAATGCAGCGTTTCGACAGGTCCGAAAGAAGGGTGTTGTAAAAGTTCCACTGAAAAGACAGGAAGAAATAGATGAAATTGAAAGAGGAAAATCGATAGAGCATACCTTGGAGAGTTCGTGAAGCGCGTTTTCTCGGAGATCAGGGTTGCTGAGTTCGAGGACAAGGTGTTCGACAGACGCCATCCTGCGATCCTTTGTTGCAGAGGCAGAAGGAGTTGCAAAGGACACCCCACTCATTGAGATTGATTGTGACAAATTCGCCATTGACTTGAAAACTCAGTGAGTTTGTGTACGAGTTCTATGGATGCTCTGTGTGTGAGTGTTACGAGTGACGTTTTCTTCCTCTGATGCGATCTTCCTTATTATGTGAAACAATGGTGCGTAATAGAAGGAGGCAGAGACACATGTTCTGCATGCTAGTGAATGGTAACGGCAGTTTCTGTTCCAGCGTGCCCCTCTTAATTATATTAACAGTCCAATTAACATTTAACTTCTTTTACTTTTATAATTTATTATATTTTTATTCTCACAAAACTGTAACTCAATTTTAATTTATGCAAAAGTTCAATATGCTTTTAATTTCTAGCTTTAATTAAAATATATATTAAAAACTAAAACAGTTTAATGTCTATTGAGAATATAAAAAGTTTGATTATGTTAACCTTAATTATTTTTTTTAAACTTCTCAATCAAGAATTTTAAAAATAAAAAAAATTGAATTGGATAATTGTGTAGAGCGTATAAATTATTTTTACTCTTTTAGGTCACTTTGTGAATAATATTAAAACATTATTTTTTATTCCAAACCATAATCATCAACCATTGTTAGTAAAATGGGAAAACTTGTATGCTGGTGGGAGGTGGAGGTGTGACTTTAGGGGATGCAAACATGAATTTGAAAGGGAGTTGTCTAAAGAGAATGAAGATGTTCAAAAGGTTGATTAGATGGACCAATTATTATCATTTACGAAGAGGAACAGTTTAATTGAATAACCTCTCGGAAGAATAGGCGTTAACGTGTTGGGGGAAAAGTTAATATTCATATTTCAGAGGCTGAAGTTTATTTCAATTGTGAAGAATACATGAATTTGCATTAATAGTTGGAATCACAATTTTATTTTGCAAAAATTTAAGTTATTCTCTTTATTGCTAGTCAAAAGTCTTGTAGAATTGTGCCTTGGTTCATATTCACCTCCTTAACATGATTTTAATTAACAATCAAAAGAATAATAATTCTATAAACATCACATATTTTTATCTAGATACAGAAAATGTGTCAGCAATAAAATTAATGATTTTAAAAAGTTAATATTTTTTCTGACATACTTACAAAATTTAAATAACAAATATAATTGATTAAAATATTTGGCACATGATTATAAATAGTGACATACACGTCATTATCGTCCGATGAATATGATCACGTTGTATTATCCTCTTTCTTTGGACAATTTAACCATCTTTACGAAAGACGACGACATTTATTCTTTCCAACAAAACTAAGTTAATATTAAAATAAAAATATAATATTAAAAACATAAAAATGTATATTGTGTCAGTCAAAACAAGATAATATAATTTTATTATTACTCATTCCACTTCAAAATATATCACGAATAAAAAGATAAATATTATTTTTAATAAATTTATTAATCTTTTTCATTAATACCTTTATCATTTTAATACTTTTTTCAATAAAAATACTTTTAAATAACTTGTTATTTCTTTTCTCTCAATAAATAATATTATTAAACAATAAGATATAATTAACAAAAGAATAATTAATATTATCTTTAACTTCACACAATATTTTTTTACTCAAAATGTCATAAATGGATGAAGTATTTTTTATTTGGTTATCAAATTATTATTATTCAATCTTATTGGTGGAGATATTCACCACCGTGTAGTTTAATTCGGTTCTTCACTATAAAAATATTAAACCAAATCAAATCAATATTTTGTGATTTTATTTAAACGATTTTTATAATTTTTTATCACAATTTTATCATACATATTATGATAAAATAATTATTTAATAAAAAATATATTATAAAAATATCATACATAATTATTCATAATTTCAATTAATTTTATTTATTTTTATATTTAATTTAAAAATAATGATACATATTTAACAATATAAAAAATTAATTAATTCATTTATAAAAAATTCATCTTATATTTTAATTTCATATATATATATATATATATAATACTACATGATGATTTTATTAAAATTATTATTAAGTATTTGAATTTTTTTTCCCTAATATATATTCAATTCTGTAAGAGTGTACAAATATATTAGGTAAATTTGAAGAGTAAATTATCTGACTTACGATCTTATATACATCATTGAATGTATATTATAATTTCAGTTTGATTTAATTTAAAATATTTTTATATTAAATTTAAAATCACATTGAATTAAAATAATTAATTTTAAAAAATTAATTTTTAATTAATTTTCAAATTTACTTTAGATTAATTAAATTTTGAAGATTCCTCCTCATTATATTAATCTTTATAAGTAATAAATAAAATATCTCTTTAACATAATTTTTTTACCATTTAAGTTTTGTTGACATGTAAAAGAAAAATTGAAAAATAATTAGTATAAAATATAAAAAAATCTTGTAATAAGAAAAGTGACAATAATACTGTGAATATATCAATTGTCTCATTAGGAAAATCAAGTCAAAATTAACTCAAGTTGTATATACTTATAAAAATAAAAATTTAAATAATTTTAATTATAATTTATTATTTTTAATGAGTATTTTTTCTTTTATATTATTTTTCTTTTTAATAAATTTTTGTTTACTCTATTTATTTTTTAATTTTACTTTCTTACACTTTATTTTTTTATTACCGTACAAATCGTAAGATATAATAATAAAAAATATTATTCAGAGATAATAATTATACGTTATAAAGAATAAATATTCAATTATTAATTAAAATAATTTGATTATTAACCGGACACTAAAAGATGGAATTAACGGTTAATATTCAATATATTATCTATATTCCTGATTATTTTAGCAGGAAAGTATAGTTTCGAGTGTGCTGATGTAAACTCAATTTTCTCATCAAGAGCGACATTACATGTTGTTCATTCCTTCATCTTGCTATGTTGTTGTCTCTTTTTTTTTTCACGTTAAAAGAAAACAACTGAATAATAATTAATGACTAACATGTTATAAAAATAATAATTGAAGTCACTTTTTATAAAATATGAATTTTATATTTATTTTTTAACATATGAAAACAATGTAAAAAATAAGAGTAATATTTTCGAGTTTTTATGTTAGTTGTACTGTATTCTACAGGAAATCCAATCAATTTCTCATAGATCGTAACATAATATTTTTTTAAACTTTCATTAAACTTCTAGAGATTCCGAAGTAAATAGTTTCACTTTTATTTTCATTCTCGTAATTTTGTATTGTGGTCATTCTCACCCTTTATTGTTCTTATTCTCACGATTGCTGTCATGACCATTGTGCTTGTTCCTCTTCACCTGACGTGATTGTTTGTTTTGTTCTCTATATTCGTTTTTTATTATTCGCTGCTTGTTGATGGTAATGTAGGTTGTTGCTTTATATAATGGTTGGAAGATTATTATTTAGAAAAAAAAAATTTAAGTCTTGTAACATCTTGAACTAATTTTATCACTAATTAGTTTATATTTTTATATTTTGAAATATTAAGTAAATACGTTTCATTTAATCTTTTTATAAAATACTTAAAGACTAATTAAAATATCATAAAAAATATATATCATTTATCATAAAAGAGACCAATATGTTAAACATAAAGTAATATATAGCATGTAAAGATCTCACATTTATATATAAAAGATGTAAATATCAACCGGATTCATCTCATTCGTCTAATTATAAGTGCCTGTATCATTTAATTTTTATATTTTATTTTCAAATTGAATTGAATTGATTGATTAAATAGATGATGTGATGACTTTTTTATTTTTTATTAAAAGATAAAAATTTTGAAGATGGAGACGGAGAGATAGATTTGATGAATAAAACAATGGATCAACCTTGGATTATTATTCCACAAATGAATATGAGTACTTCATTATTTCAATTAAAAAACTTCAATCACACATATCTCAAAAAAAAAAAAAAACACAAGAAATTATACACATTATTAGTTCAGGCAATACATTGAACATCTTGAAATGGATCAACCTTGAATCAGGAAAACATCTTTATCTTTTGGTGGTTCAACTGTTTCTTTTTGGTTCGGACCTTTTTTTGCCCCATGGTTTTTCTTCCGCTGTTTCAACCTAAAGAAGCGAATCCACGTGAAAACCTCCAAACCAAAAGCGATGGCACCCAAAAATGCAAGAACTCCAATGTACCCCCACTTCCATGCATCACCTCCTTCCAAAATGTGGATTCCTTTGAATATGTTTATGACTATGATAGCCAACAGGCCATAACCAAGAAAATGATGGTACATGTTCCAATATTTCCTGTAATCATCCGTCACCTTTGGCTTTAATCGGAAAGCCAACATCTGAAAATTAATTAACCAAACTTCTCTCAATCTTCAATATGTCCCAAGTCTACTCATGAATGCATACATGTAATAACAATGAAAACATAAATAAAGTTATATGTTTTACTTATAATTAATATAATTAGTAGCCTGCATGTTTTCATAAATTTTAGTTTGCATGGTTTCATAAATTTTAGTTTGCATGTTTTACTTTTGACAAAGACTTTTTTTTTAATAAAATCGTTCAGTCTGAATATTATTTAGTTATTATATAATGTAAGCTTAAAAAAAGCTCATACTAATTGTATTATAAACCCAAAAAAAAAATTACCAATATTTTAAAGTTTTAAAACATATTATTATAAAAATAAAAAATAAAAACTTTTTATTGATTATGAATGAGAATTGATAGTTGGACACTCCAAACCGATTAAAACATTTATTAAATCATTCAATTTTATATTATTATTTATCTATATTATTTCATTTTTTTCTTCTATCAACTAAAAATAATATTTTAAAATTTTGTAGTCAGTGGTTGTTGTGCATTTTTTTTTTACCTTCGTAGAATGGTTGATGTCATATTAGGTAGAAAAGAAAGAAAACTGAATAACTTTTGTTCATTAAAATGCAAACAACAAATTAAACTTTACAAGTGCGGGAGTCCTTATATAACTAATTAACACAAGTAACTCTAACTACATAATAAACCAAAAAAATTATAACAGTTTGTTGCTGCAATATAAAATGTGGATCATATAACATTAATTAAATATTTCAAAGCTAAACCTAGTTACTAAGGAATCAATCCGCAAGACAAGGCACTAAAGCATATATGCTTAATCCTCCTTTTACAAAACCTCATTTTTTTTCATGGGTAAGTAGATAAGTAAATAGATAGATTATTTTTTTTTCATAGGTTTCTTTTACTTTTTAAGTTTTCTTGAAGAATATTAACAATGTTTAGTTTGTTATGATGATCTCTTTTAAATGATAAACCTTTCATATTTTAATAATATGTAGAATGAGAGAAGTTACCTGGACTGTGCTAAAGATGAATATGAGAATGGCAAAGGTTCGATGATGGTGGAAGGTGTAGTATCTAGAAGAATGTCCGAGACTTAGTCCAATAGCCCATCCAGCGGTGCCAACTAGAAAACCAGTTAATTGGCAACCAATGTGCAGGTAAAACCACGATGGGTCGCATTGGAAAGGAAACACCCGAAAGTACCTTGCAATTATAATTCCAAACGGCAACAGTGTTCCCCACCCGATAATGTTTAGGACTCCATGTATCTATGTTTCAAACACAACCAACCGTTATAAATATTGTGCTTCTAGTACAAAACAAAACAACTGGATCATTCTTCTGCATGTATTTAACACTATTACCCATACGAAAAACAAACATATATGAACAACATTATGAGTTTAATTAATGATAAAAAATAGTTTGGATGAATGACATATTGAACAGCATGTTTACCCAAGCAAAGAAAATATAGTTCTCACCGATCTAAGATAACTCCGGTACTGTCCAGTGCTAGGACCCTTTCTATCGGTCAAGTTTATGACCTCTGTGCTATCCACGTTCCGGAGAGTTCTTGGATGTCTAAGGGGATGCCCATCTTCAATATCATACCCAACTTGCCACACATGGTTCAGCTTTGTAACGTTATACTCTTCAGTGGGAAGGCTCAATCTAACAGACATGGTGGACATGCCTTCCACCTCTTGCTCAATCGACTTACACAACACAATTTTAAGTTCCGATCGCAGAAGAATGCACCCGTTTCTGGTCTCTTTGGTGATGTTGTATGTGTCCACAACCCACCTTCCATCCGAGTTTTTAACGGCTATGATGGCTTTGGTTCCAATCATCTCGGGCCTTTTTCCAGGGTTCACCCCCCACGCTATCCACCCTTGTGGGGCATTGAGTATGACACCGAACAAGATGTCAACCACGGTGTAGTTGCTGTTAGAGCCATTGCTGTGGAGGTTCCATGCAAATTCAGCTCCCAGAGTGCGCAATCTCTTGCAGTCTGAGATGTTCTTTTGCTGAGCTAGTTTAGAGAATCCTTCACTGCAGACTTGAGCATTGGCACTGAGGGTAAAGGAGAGAAGGGTCAGTGTCAAAATGGCTGGTAATAAGGGTGAAGAGGACATGTTTAGTTGGTTCTTCATTTTTTATTTTTTTTGCTGTTGGTTTTTTTGGGGTGGGAGGAGAATATGTATGGAGAGCTTAAGAAGTGGTCTCTTTCTTCTTGATGGTGTTTATTACAACTACAGTATATTTGGTTTGGTAACGCCGTGACTTTAACTTGCGTGGAGTCTCGTTTGCTCTTTTTAGTTTTTCGAAGGATCTGCCAGTACTGGCATACTTCCCAAAGAGGATAAGAATTTAGAACCTTCAAAGTCATACCGCAAGTGCGACTTTCTCACTCCTACGCTCCCCTTTATCGGAAGCTCTATGCTTAATTTAACCAAGTTGCTAATTAATTAATTATGACAGTATGGATCAATTTTTTTTAAATAAGTGTTGATGAATAAAACTGTGCTGATTCATCTTAGTTAGTACTTTCAAATTTTACGATACAGATATCCAAACACATCATACTCATATGAAAAACTTGCTTTGCTTCAAGTTTTTTCGCTTTTTCTATCAAATTCCGGTATTTAGTTGATAAAAGTGGTAAAATATGGAAAAAGCCGAAAATAATGGCTATCCCTTAGAGTATACATTGTATATGCAATTGATCTGAAATATCAGAACAATATCAGCTGACACAAACATACACTCGTCACTGTTTTTTTCTGCATTATACTATGTAATTAATTTCTTATTGCTGTCTTATGTATATATCATATACATTTAGTCTCTTGGAGAGTGAAAGAAGGGTCTCACAAAATAATCCTCTCCGTAAAGTGCATGTATTAAAAGTATATTAATCATAGACTTTGCCTATAATTAATTGTGTGTGACAAAATTTCACCTGAGGCGAGTCTGCAATAAGATCCTAAAAGCTATGTACTAGCCATAAGAGAGCACGACAACTCGTGTATTGTGCAATATCATTGCTTTTAAAAAAAGGATAAAGATAACACAATTTAATTAACACAAGCTCGAACATTATGCTTACGTGACCCATAGGAAATTCCTTCACTTTTTGCCTTTTTTTAAGTAAATTTTCCTGAGAATGACAGTCCAGTTGTTGGTACATGGTTTGTTATTCTTATATTCGTTACTTTATGACCCAGTCACTCGCATTAGTTTCATTCTTCCATCCAAAGTTTGGGTACCGATACACACTGTGGTGGACCTTCCTCCGAATTGCCAAATAATTTATAATTTTTGTCTCAAATTTAATCATAAGTTAATATATTTATTTATATATTTATAATTTTATCTCATCATTTTTTAAATTATTTTTATATTTTTATAATTCTTATATAATTTATAATTTTTATCCTTTAAATTTAATAATTATTTAATATATTTATTTATATTTATAATTTTATCTTCTTAGTTTTTATATTTTTCTGTTCTTTTATTTATTGTCGTTAATATTGTGAATCATTTTCATCTAATTAAATATATAAATAAGATAGATAAATTAATCACAATATTTTTTATTATTATAATAGTCATTTAACATTAATTATTCCATACGTTTAACGTGAAGCTTCAATTTTTTTTTTTTTTATGGTTTCAATACTCATGAATTTTTATATACTGGATAAATATATTACTCAATGAAGATATGACATGTCTACCTACACATACATCTAGTTTCCTTTCGAATGTGTTTTTACTAAATATCACTAAATGTAGATGCACTAGTTGAAGTGGTTAAATAGGTTAGAATTAATTAATTCATATGATTTCATTATGTGACTCAGATGAAATATAATGATGGACTTAAATGTGATTTAATAAAATATGAGGACCTATTGGTTATTATGTGAAGTTAGAATAAAATAAATATAAAATAAAATATTAACTTACGGTAACTAACTTGATGAACGTTGGTTAATAAAATGGAATAAGAGTTCTGTCTCTGGTTATAAGATTTTTTTCACGGTAAACCATCAAGAAAGCGTGAGAAGAGAAAGAAAGACAAAGAGATAGATTGAGAAAAAGAGATTGGAGAACGAAAAATATTAAAGAATAGATTCTCATGGATCAAAGTTAGTCTTCTTACTATGATTCATGTATTGATGTATGTTATATTGTGAAAATCAATAATCTAAAGATCCTCTATAGTAGTTTTCCATAATGAATTAAGAACGTAGGAAAACTACATAATATTTTACATGTGGTATCAGAACACTGATTATTAGATTTATTATTTTCCTTTTTATGAAAGTATTTATCAAATTATGTTTTTCCCAAATTAAGATAAACCCTAATTATGAATTTAGGGATTTCTCTATCAGATTATTATGAACCCTACTTTATTCCCAAATTTATTTTTCTCAAAATTAAATAAAGAAATAAATCCTAATTATGTTTTCAAGTTCAAATTGAAACCAATTTTATAGCCCCTATGCGTGAATGACCCCGTAATTGATTTTAATGATTTTAATTGAAAAGGCAAATGACATGATAGGGTTAGGGTGAATCATGTATGAAATTGATTTCATTATATGTTATAATTATGATGAGATGTTATGATGGGATGTTATAATTATGATGGAAGAAAGGTAAACGATAAAATTGATATTTTTATGTTTTTACTGACATCATGGACTGCTCTTGCAGACCACATGTTCCTTTTTATTATGCACGATTATTATATGTTTTGTGAAATTTTTTTTGGTAGTGAATAATTAGTTGTTACGTTATATCTACAAATTATTTTGTACACGTATAATATATGTAATAACTGCTGATAATGCACTGTCATGGGATGTGCTCAGTTTTACTTTACGTGGTATAAATGAATGGTTGTCACTGTTATGAGATGTACCCATATATAAATGCTTTAATTGCAAATTTTATTTTACAAATTGAATTGAATTATTTCCGCTATAAGTTGCGCATAAAAGTTTTGAATTGATAATTTCAATAAAATTAAGGTCTTAGGATTGAAAATTTATGGGTTTCAATTTTATTTATGGCATATAATATTTTATTATGTTAATAATTTACATATTTATTAAAATTAATAATAATAAAAAAATGCTATGAATCTTTAATAACAATTAAAGATATTATTTATTTGAAATTAAGCATGATAAATTTTGTTAGTCACTAAAGTGGCCAAAATTTTAAGGTTATTTTAATTTCAAATTATTAATGATTTTATTTCAATTACTCGTAATATGAACGCTAAACTTATGAATAATTGATTTAAGGGTTAATTGAAATTCATTATTATAAGGCATTTCAGGATCGCCCAAAGGTTGTTTAGTTGTTATTATAATTAATGAACATGAAAGTAAATAATTTTGTGTGCGTCACTAATTTTATTTAAATACCCAACGGTGTTAGGCGATTCTAGTTGATGCATATTTTAATTATCATTAATATTATAAAATAATTAGCGTAATTATGTTTGTGTATTGTGTATTATGTTTAATTTTATGACTCAATGTATTAATGTTAGACATTTGTTAATTGCAGTATCTGTTCCTGTAGTTCTGCATTCGTTATCTTCGTCTGTTCCAGTTTTTAATGGGTTAAATTTCCTGACTGGAGTGAACAAGTCCAATTTCACTTAGGTGTGTTGGATCTTGATTTGGCTTTCCAAGTTGAAAAATCGGCTGATATCACTGATGATAGTAGTAATGAAGAGAAAACTCATTATAGAGCTTGGGAAAGATCAAACAAACATAGCCTTATGTTTATGCGAATGAGTATAACAAGCAATATTAAGTCTCCTCTTCCCAAAACTGAGGATGCGAAAGAGTTTATGAAATTTGTGGAAGAGCGCTCTCAAACTGCTGACAAATCCCTTGCTGGCAGTGGCGGATCTTCTTGGGAGCTGAGTGGGGTCGTGACCCCCCCAAAGTTTTGTAACTCCCATGTAATTTATGATTTTGGCCCCCCCAAACTTAATTAACATTTAATATATTTACTTGTATATTTACAATTTTATCCTCTCAGCCCCTCCTCAGTTTTATAACTCTTATATAATTTATGATTTTGTCTCTCTCTAACTTAATGATAATTTAATATATTTAAGTATATATTTACAATTTTATCCTTTTACCCTTTTATCTTCTTTCTTCCTTTTATATTTATTAATAATATATTATTTGGCCCCCCAAGATCAATGGTCAAGATCCGCCACTGCTTGCTGGGACATTGATGAGTACGTTGACCACCATGAAGTTTGATGGTTCTCGCAGTATGCATGAACACGTAATCGAAATGACAAATATCGCAGAAAGATTCAAGTCTCTTGGAATGGCAGTGGAAGACAATTTTCTTGTGAAGTTCATTTTGAACTCATTACCGCTTGAGTATGGTCCGTTTCAGATGAACTGTAACACCATGAAAGACAAATGAAATGTGCATGAATTGCACAACATGTTAGTCTAGGAGGAGACCAGACTCAAGAACCTAGGAAACCACTCTATTCATTACGTGAAAAATCAAGGAGCTAAAAAGAAAGTTGTAAAGAAACATGGAAAGGGTAAATGACCATTAAAGATTAACGAGTTCTCTACTAATATTCAGAAGAAAAATGACAAATATCATTTCTGTGGGAAGTTTGGACATTTCCCAAAGGACTGCATAAAGGGTAAAAATTGGTTCGAAAAGAAAGGTGAACATAGTGCTTACGTATGTTTTGAATCAAACTTAACTGAAGTTCCCCATAATACTTGGTGGATTGATTCTAGATGTACGACTCATGTTTCTAATGTGATGCAGAGATTCCTTTCAACCCGAACCATAAACCCAAATGAGAAGTTCGTCTTCATGGGGAATAAAGTTAAGGTTTCAGTGAAAGTTGTCGGGACTTATCATTTAATCCTTGACACTGGATATCACTTAGACCTTATCGATACTTTTTATGTACCTAGTATCACTAGAAATTTAGTTTTTTTGTCTAAGCTTGATGTTGCTGGATACTCTTTTAAGTTTGGGAATAGTTGTTTCAGTTTATTTAAGCGTACATGTATTATTGGAGTTGGTACACTTTATGATGGTTTATATAAATTGAATTTGGATAATT